GTTCCTTCAGCGCTTCGGCTTTTAGTATCCCTCGCCACATCCTACTCCTCTGTCTACAAGCCACTAGCTCTCAGCTCCACCTTCGGACAAGTCCGTAGAGCCGAGTGGTGCCTATCCAGAGCTTGTGGGTGGCCTCATGTACCCGATGACGTGCACACCACCTGACCTCGCGTACCCTCTCAGCCTCCTGGCTCGCTACGTGGCTCCGGGTAGACACCGGAAGGTGCACTGGGATGTTGTGAAGAGGGTACTACGTTACTTGTGCAGTACATCGGGCATGTGGCTTGTGCTTGGAGGAAAGGGTTCAGTGGTACTCACAGGACATTCCGACGCTTCTTGGGCCGACGATGAGACGACTCGGCGTTTGTCATAGGGTTACACCTTCAGTCTTGGCTCTGGTTCTGTCTCGTGGAGGTCCACTCATTGTTCTTGGTTCCAGCTGTGAGGCCAAGATCTACGCTGGGGCTATAGCTGCACAGGAGCTACGCTGGCTGACCTACCTGCTGACCAACTTGGGGGAGCGACCTCGTTCTCCTCCAGTTCTGTACGTCGACAACAAGGCCATGCTTGCCTTGTGTCAGGAGCAGAGACTGGAGCACAGAACGAAGCACATTGCTCTTCGCTACTTTCTTGCTCGAGAGCTCCAGCAGCATGGCCAGCTTCGCCTTTCCTACGTGGCCTCTCGGGCCAACACTGCTGATGCCTTCACCAAGGCCTTCGGGTCTGGTGATCATCAACGTTTTTGCACTGCTCTTGGGCTTCTGCCCATTCTGCCTCACCTGCTGGTTGCTTGACTTGTCTTGTACTGTGATCTATATATATTTATACCTGCATGCTTACTCTTGCTAAGTTGTGATCACTGTACTGCTTGTGCTTTTATAAATCTGCATGTGAACTGGCCTTGTGGCCGCTTGCTTGTGCTTAGAATGCGTGGTGATCTTGAGGTCCACCCTGAGCTTTGCTTTGCTTTGTTCTCTTGCTTGACTGGTCTTGTGACCATCCGTTGTGTTTACTATCTCCCACTTTGCCTATGGGGGTGTGTCAAATTGCATTTGTTATCTCTAGGCTGTAGTGGGGCACACTCTAAGGAGTACAACACATTAGGTCATTCCTAGTACTTGTACTCATGCTTGCCTACTAGTCCATCATTCCTACATTCTATCTCTAACATGTAAGGCCCGAGTGGACGACATGGGAAAAGGCTAGCTGGGCAATAGGCGCGTGGAACTGCTGGAGCTAGGAGTGGCTGGAGCTAGGAACTGTTGGAGGTAGAAACAGCTAGGACCACTAGGCTATGAACGGCTGGTGCGAGGAGCAGCTGGAGCGAGGAGTGACAAAGGACTGTAGGCGGCTGGAGCTAGAACGGCTGGAGCTAGAACAGCTGGAGCCAGAACGGCTGGAGCTAGACTGGCTGGATCTGAAACGACTGGAGCTAGAACGGCTGGAGCGAGAAGGGCTGGAGCTGAAACGGCTTTAACTAGAAGGGCTGGAGCGAGAACGGCTGGAGCTAGAATAGCTGGAGCTGAAACGGCTGGACCTAGAACGGTTGGAGCTAGGGCTGGAGCGAACACGGCTGGAGGTGAAACGGCTGGAGCTAGAACGGCTTGAGCAAGAACTGCTGGAGCTAGAACGGCTGGAGATGAATCTGCTGGAGCTAGCACGGCTGGAGCGAGAACGGCTGGATCTAGGCACGGCTGGAGCTATGAGTGACTGGAGTTAGGAGCGAACGAGGCTAGGAATGCCTGTAGCGTCGGGGTACTAACCCTAATCCGTGCCAGTAGAAGTAACTGCGGCTGCCAGCCGCCACTAGAGATGCCTATGGAAGTAGGCGTGGTGTTGAAGTGGCGGCTGTGGTGCGCTGTGGGGACTAGGAAAGGGCTGTAGGCAGCTGGGAAGGCCTGTGAGCGGCTGGGAAGGCCTGTGGGCGGCTGTGAGGGCCTATGGGCGGCTGTGATGGCCTGTGGGCGGTTGTGAAGGCCTGTGGGCGGCTGGATGGCGTGTGCTGCTCTACTGGGTGGCGCGCACTGTTCTACAAGGGTGCGCTGCTTTGCAGGGGCGCGTGCTGATCTGCAGGGGTGCGTGCTGATCTGCAGGGGCGCGCGCTGCTCTGCAGGGGCGCGTGCTGGTCTGCAGGGTGGCACGCGCTGCTTTGCAGGGGCGCGCGCTGCTTTGCAGAGGCGCACGCTGCTCTGCAGGGGCGCGTGCTGGTCTGCAGGGTGGCGCGCGCTGCTCTGCAGGGTGGCGCGGGCTGCTCTCCAAGGGCGCGCGCTGCTCCGCAGGGGCGCGTGCTGCTCTGCTAGGTGGCGCGGCCGTCTCGCAGGGGCGCGCGCTGCTCTGCTGGGTGGCGCGCGCTGCTCTACTGGGGTGGCGCGCGTTAATCTGCTGGGGTGCACGTTGCTCTGCAGGGTGGCGCACGTTGTTCTGCAGGGTAGGCTACTACGGAGCGACAGAGCGACTACGGAGCGACGGAGCGACTACGGAGCGACTACGGAGCGACTACGGAGCGACGGAGCGGTACTAGGCTAGGCTAGGCTAGGAGCGTACCTACTCATGATACCATCTCAAGAGTGATGCATAGCGGAATGATGAGAATAGAAAGGGATGGGGTACAAATATGCAAACCTAGAACTGTACCCCCTGCAAGGCACCTCACAACAGCCTACAATAGTTATTATATTTTGACACATGCATGCCTCACTCCTCCGCATGTAGAACTCCCCTTGTTCTTCACACCTCTTGCCTCCGCACCCTTCCGTAGTTTTCCCTACAGCCAGTTTGAAATCTTTCACGCGCTCAGCTCCCTTCCATCATCACTCCCTGGCGTGCCCCTCTACCCACCTATCTGTCTGCAAGCCTCTTCTGGCCGATGAATTGTCTCAGCTTGGTTAGGGCAGTCAGGTCAGGTCCTTCATCCAATCATTCGTGACTGCCGTATCATCCACCCAAAGACCCTCAAGGCTGGTCAGCCTCCCCACATGCACCAAGCCAGCATTCGTCACTCCCGTGCATCCGGTAAGGCTCAATACTTCGAGAGTGAAGATGTGTCAAGTACTGTAAACCAGCATCGGTCACTTCGGTTCGATCGAGATAGAGGCTTCTCATGTGCTTCTTCGATTCGATCGATGTTTACCATTGAGTCATATGCAGGCCCCTACATTTCAGCTTTTTTACGCTGATTCAGCATTTTTTCAGGCTTTTTTTATGTACCAAGGCCGAATCATCAGCCTTTTCCCCAAAAAACTGGGTGATTTTCTAGTGGTTTTTAGTAGCAAATGGCAATTTTGGCTCATTTTCTGAGTAAATTGTCAGTTGATCTGCACTGTGGATGCCCGATTGATCATTGGGAGGGTTACAGGCGCGTTCGCCTGGGGGGTTATGGGCGCACGGACCCGCTACTGAAACAAGCCCTTTTATCCCAATGGTCTAGTGGTTGGGATTCTGACATGGTATCAGAGCGGTCTCGGGTTCGAATACCGGTGTATGCACATGCAGGCGGTTGCCGCTGTGCTCAGTCCTGGGCCTCCCAGTGTGGGGGGGTGTCAGTTGATCTGCACTGGATGCCCGATTGATCCTTGGGAGGGTTACAGGCACGTTCGCCTGGGGGGTTATGGGCGCACGGACCCGCTACTGAAACAAGCCCTTTTATCCCAATGGTCTAGTGGTTGGGATTCTGACATAAATTTGGCAGTGAACTCTGATTTTTCAGCCTACCCCAAAACCAATCTAGGGCCCTGGTCATATGTCCGACCAGGCCCTCAGATATCAGCGTAAAACACGCTGATTAGGCTGATTTTGTAGCTGTGATTTTCCTTTTCCCTGAGAATTCAGCATATGCTTCAATTTTGCACTGAAATTTCAGTATAACCTATCTTGTCACACTGACCATTTTGCGTGTTGCTGTACAAGTAACACTGACGAATCAGTATAGTGATGTGAGTCACACTGAAACGAACTTGACCGCGTGGGAGAGGGGGGGTGGGGGGGGGAGGGGGGGGAGGGGGGGGGGGGGGGGGGGTGAGGACAGGGTACGCGTGTACAGTCTGTACCTTCCCGTGATTCACGAAACCCCACCCACACTTGGATTTTCTTCCCATGCGCTGTACAGACAGCTGGTGCGCGCCAAACCGTTTTGCCTCGCTGGAAACTACCTATCACAACACAACAGCTCTGCTGACACTGCTGCACAACACTCCGTTTTAACCTTGTTCACGACTGCCCACTATCACCTTGTTTTTTTTACACTGATGGTTCAGTATACTAAGAATTTTTACACTGACAAAATCAGTATAAACAAAACCATGAACGCTGATTTGGACACCTGGTTGGCTGGGGCACGCTGATCCATCAGCATACCCTCAAACCAATCTGAGGGCCTGTGTCCGACCTTGCACATCCACGAGCTCGATCACGGGTACAGTACACGCAAAATAGAAACCCCTGGTGCAAAGATACGGTAAGCCTGAGGCGGGCTTTCGAGCTGCCTACACACACTTCAGGGTGAACCGCCAGGGTATCGTGGTACGATATGTTACAACTCTGACGAGATAGAGAAAACTTACTGGTGGTGTTACTCCGAATTGAAAAGGTTACACCGAGATAGTATAATCAACTCGTATAATTACACACCTGGTTTGACCACAATACTACGGTAGTACATCAGTACGCGAGAAAGAGCATGATAAAGCACAGGTTCAAATCCAAAATGCAGCACTGGCTTCTCAACGTAGCAGGTCTTCCCAGTCGAAACACATCTCTGCCGCAGTTTCACTAAAAAGTGATTGAAAAGGAATAGCTACAGATGTCAACTTCTTCTTTCCCCCCACCTAAGTTGTGGACCGGATGCTTGTGTCTGGCGAGAGGTGCTTACCCGTATGTGGCATCCACACAAATCTGCAATCAGAGATGCACCATTTGGGAAGCATTGGAGATATTAGATGCTACATGGAAGTGCACTGCAATACAAGCATGTATATCAGTGCAATGCTCACAACAGAACAGCTCTATATGTGCAAAATTACCTGATCACTATCGCGCTGCGAATCACGGAAGGAGAGCCAGGGATTGAGCCTGCAGAGGTCCAAGAGGGTGGTTCCATGGTATGCGGCAACCTCCTTGAAGTCTACGACTTGGCCAATCACCACCTTCTTCACACATGTGGGCCTGGCCTTGGCTGGGTTGCGCTCCACACACAGAGAGCGGAACGCGGGAAGGAATGAGGAGCACTTTACGCCGGGGTTGAGCTGCTGCATGCTATCATAAGAGAGGTCGAGAAGCTGAGCGACAGAGGAGCATGTGTCACCCTGTGGGAGGGAAAGGAAAAGGGGAGTAGAATAGAGGGAGGTTGAGTAGGAAAAGGGGTGGCAAATGGGGGTGAACGAGGATGCGGCTACATGTGATGGAGGTAGTGTAATGCTTGGAACGCCTGATGCAAGGACGAAGGAGTGAGGGTGAAGATGAAGTGCAGTGCAGGGAGGAATTACCGAGAAGCACTTGGCAGCACATGGGAGCACATGGGAACACATGGGAGCACATGGGAGCACATGGGAACACATGGGAACACATGGGAGCACATGGGAACACATGGGAGCACATGGCAGCACATGGGAGCACATGGGAACACATGGGAGCACATGGGGCCACTGGTAGATTCCCAGTTACCCATAGATGATGCACGAAATGCTCCCATAGTAAAACTTGGAGTTAAAAACGTCAAACTCACGGGCTGGATGTAGTAGAAGGCGGAGCAAGGTGAAACTTGTTCGAGCAGCTCGTGCACAATGAGCTCGCGACCTTCAGGAAGTAGAACGGCGCAGTCGACACCCTGGAGGGGATGAGCAAGTGGAAGAGGGTGAGGGTGAGTGGGAGAGGGTGAGGGAGGGGGGAGAGGGTGAGAGAGAGAGAGGGTGTGAGAGAGAGAGGGTGTGAGTAGGTAGAAGACAGTATGGTAGTTAGGATACCGGCTTTGTTTGCTTGTTTATGCTTGTGTTTGCATCTACCGTTGTAACACCCCCCTGATTAATGCAAGGACCATTCGAGAGGGTGTGAGAGAGAGAGATAGGGTGAGAGAGAGAGAGAGAGGAAGAGGGTGACAGAGATGGAGAGGGTGAGAGAGAGGAAGAGGGTAAGAGAGATGGAGAGGGTGAGAGAGAGGAAGAGGGTGACAGTGAGGGGCATGAAAGAGGGCATAAGAAAAAGAACGACAGGGCATGCTTAAGAGAGGGACATTGAGCTGCACTATTAAGGTAGTTTAAAGTAACATGGTGCAGGTCCCACCTCGTTCATGGTGGTAAAATCGTTCAGCGTGAGGCCATACATGCTGTACACGTCCTTGCACCTCCAGTCGCTGCCTTGGACCGTTATGGACGAAATAGCCTCCACATTCGGATCTGCACACGCCCAACAGCAATGGTGAAGATTCTGCGTACGTGGACAGGTATTGCTGATCAGGCCAACACACCGACAAGAGTCGGTCATGGAAACCCGTCCGAAGAAACACACAGAGCGAGATTCGTTTATTTTAACACCTATCTTACAGAATCGTACAGGGTGTTGGTGGCAGAGAGCGAGCAGCGAGCTCACCACAGAATCTGCCACCAAAGCGGTGGTTGGGCGGGCAGACGCAGGTGTAGTGCAGGGTGCCACTGTCAATGCATGTTCCCGCCAGACAAGGGTTGACTCTGTCGCGGCCACACACGCCCACTGGCAGGGAGGGGACACACACAAGAAGCAGAGGATGGCAAGAAGTGGAGGGGAGTCGAGGATACAAGATGGGAAACCATCCGTGGGGCAGGACAGGGCAGAGGAGACGAGGAGCGTAGCGATTGCCAATATTGAAAAGTCTTTGATCAAACAACGCACGTGCACACGTGAGTGAAGCCAGCTCTCCACAGCCACCCCCTCTCGTGAGAGCCCAGATCAGTTTTAGCGTGTATGGATGGTAGGAGGGCGAACGACTGGGGTGAAGCTTACTGGCTGAGCTTTGTGAGTCTGGGTACTCAGAAGGAGCCTTGCTGTTGGTGTCGCTGGCAGGGGGTGGGCTGTATTCGGCATCCACGCAAATCTGCAATGAAAGATGCACCACATACAAAGGCACACAAGAATGGAGAACGGGGATTATATGAAGCCACGGTATATGTCGGCAGTATGTAGATGAGGGCTTGCTGTGATTGTATGCATTGGGCTCAAATATATCTGGCAGCTGGCGAGATCGATACATCCTACAAAATGAATCGTCTCAGAAACTACACATGCATCCACCATCAATGCAGAAACCGGCACACTTATCAGTAAATCGTCAGACTTACAGGATCATTGCTGCCCTGGGAATCGCGGAAGGAGAGCCAGGGATTGAGCCTGCAGAGGTCCATGAGGGTGATTCCAAAGTATGTGGCGACCTTCTTGAAGTTGACGACTTTGCTGATTTTTCCCTCCTCCACAAATGTGGGCCCAGCCTTGGCTGGGTTGCGCTCCACACACAGAGAGTGGAACGCAGGGAGGGGTGTGGCGCAGTTAACGCCGGGGTTGATCGTCTGCAGGTTTTCATTGGAAATGTCGAGAAGCTGAGCCACGGAGGAGCAGGTGTCATCCTGTGGGAAGGGGGAATACAAGAGAGCGGGTTGAGCAGAAAAGGGGTGATCCATGCAAGATGGAGTAGTGGAATGCTGGAATATTTTGGAAAAATGAGCATCACTTGCTAGTGCGAAGGATGGTGCGATGTGAATGCGTGGGAGGGGGAGTGAAGGTGAAGAGAGTGCAGGGGGGAATTGCTGTGCACATGGTGCCACGGATACCTTCTCAGTTATCCATGCACGATGCATGGGATGCTCTGTTACCAGATAAAAGCTGAGCTGAACACGTGAAACTCACAGGCTGGATGTGGTAGAAGGCCGTGCAGGGTTGTTGCCTCTCATACACCAGCAGCTCCCGACCTTGAGAAAGAGGAACGGAGCAGTCGATACCCTGGAGGGGAAGTAAGTGAGAGAGGGAGAGTGTGAGAGAGAAGCAATTACCGCGGAAGCTATTATCCACGCTACTCGGACTTACCTGGAGCAGCACACATCCCCTCTATGGCTACTGGAGTCCACGGCAGGTGCAGCAGCCCTCCTCACTCAACTCGGCTCCACCCCCAGCTGTTGGCGTTGCTCCCACTATTTGAGCCATCCTTGCCCGGACTGGTTACCCCTGCAACTCTCCCTGTCCGTCTCGCTGCAGCTGAGCCAGACCTCCCTCCAGACGCCCTCCCCACTCTCACCCAACGCCGGGAGGGTGCAGACGCAACGAAAGGCCCTATCGCTGGCCGTCCACACAGATCGCTACGGCGAGCTTCTCGAGCAGAGAAGACGGATGGAGCTGAAATCGCTGATGGGACACACCTAGCGGCTGATGTCGCCGATAGGCCTAGGAGCAGGGGACCGGCTGATGGCCAATCCCCTTACCTACAATCTGCGCCTCTCTGCAGCCAACTTCGCCTCTGCCCTGCCTTTCCGACTCGGCCTACCTCAAGAAGTGCCAGGAGCATGCGACTGCCGCGACCAAACTGCAATACTGGACACAAGCCCCCCCAAGCACCTGCTGCGGTGCGGAACGGGGAAAGGGCGCACAGGGACGCACCATGGCCTGCGCAACGAATGCGTCAGAATCGCGGCCGACTCTGGCTTCGCCGCACAGTGGGAGACGACACTGTCTGTACACCCCCGTAGAGGGACTGAAGGTTGACATGGCCATCCGTGGAGGGACTGAAGGCTGCCATAGCCATCCGCCACCTCGACTCTGAGCTGGTCTGGATCTGTGATGGCACGGTCACAGACCCAGTCTCCAGCCAAGACCCCCCAGCGTATTGCGGCGCGGGCTGGGCGGTAAGGATAGCGGCTTCCAGGGCGAAGGAGCACAAGTACCGCCACTGATCGGATTGGGTGGGGTTCAAGTTCAATGAAGGCCATGGCAGCCGATACTTACGGGCTACTGCTCCCCCGTGGTGTTCGAGTTCCTCCCCCCTCTGTGCCGACCTGGCAACCAAAAGACTCCACGACGCGGAGCCCTCCTCCGCATGCTCAAGAGAGGTGTATTGAGTTGCAGTTTTAGTGATCATGTGGTCTGAGGTAACATGGTGCAGGTCCCACCTCGTTCATGGCAGTGAATTCGCCTTGCGTGAGGCCATAAACGGTGTACACGTCCTTGCACCTCCAGTCGCTGCCTTGGACAGTTATCCACGAAGTTTCCTCCGTATTCTGATCTGCACACGCCCAACAGTTATAGTGAAGATTCTACATACGTGGACAACTACAATTGAGAAGACCATCACAATTACCAGAGTCGGTCATCGCAACACATCTGAGAAAATACACAGATTGAGTCTCTGTTTCTGAACAACTGTTTTTAGCATAAAGAATCGTATGGAGTGTTGATAGAGAGAGCGAGCAGCGAGCTTACCACAAGAGTCGCCAAGAGAGCGGTGGTTGGGCTGGCAAATGCAGGTGTAACTCTGGGTGCCGCCATCTATGCACGTGCCTGCCCGACAAGGGTTGACTCTGTCGCGGCCACACACGCCCACTGGCAGGGAGGGGACACACACAAGAAGCAGAGGATGGCAAGAAGTGGAGGGGAGTCGAGGATACAAGATGGGAAACCATCCGTGGGGCAGGACAGGGCAGAGGAGACGAGGAGCGTAGCGATTGCCAGTATTAGAAACAACGGTGCTCTCCACGGGCACAAAACATTGATATAGATTCTCTTGTTCTAAGGCCAGCTCACCACAGCAACCCTCTTGTGTGGAAGCCCAGAACGCTTATTGCGCGTATGGTCAAAAGGATGACGCACAACAGCATTGGGTCTTACTGCTAGAACTCTCGGAGACAAAATGCTCACATCCTGATGTGTCGCTGGCAGTTGCTGCTATTCGGGAGACGCAGCGGGTGGACTTCACTGCCAGGGGCAGCTTGTATCTGGGCACGGGGAGGGCAGAGTGAGTGCAAGCAAGGGTCGTTGGTGAGGCGGGGAGTGAGGAAGCGGCACTAGTAAGCGCATCAAAACAGAAAAGAGGGAGAACCGAACGCTAACCTCTGCTTGCCTCGCTCTAGAATGTCCACCGCCTCTCCTTTGCACCCAGAAGTTTGGAAGAACTCGATCGTCTTGCAAGAAATCTGGCCACCCTGCTGCCACGACACCTGCATCTCCCTCTCCCCACCAGCAACAGCCTTCCTGTCGGCTGGAATGGCGACACATCGGCGGAGCGGGTAGAAGGTGAAAGCGCGGTTGCTGATGGTCATCAGCGTGCCCACCAGCGGCTTCTGGGCTCCCACGCCCTCCAGGTGACTCGCTGCGAGAATGGGAGCACGTGAGAGGCGAGAGTGTTGCACGAGTGTGGGAATGAGCACGTGTCGGGCACGGGGCCACGGCACCAGTGCACCTCTCTCTCCCCACCAGCAACAGCCTTCCTGTCGCCGGGTGTGGGAATGAGCACGTGTCGGGCACGGGGCCAAAGGGCGTGTGACTCAGCCGCCAAAGTCGGCCCGACTTGGCTTGGGGTTGAGAGGTACTGGTGTGGTGCACGTGGTCCGGGCGCATTCTCGCGCGAGGTGTATTGGAACTGGTGTGAGCATGATGAAATGCGAGCATGGGTGCAAGATGAGCGCATGAGCGCGCACGATACGTACCAGCTACAACGATGACGAAGGCGAGCAGCGCAAGCGCGGCCTTCCCCATGATGCTGTCGCACGAGGTCGAGCACTCTTAGGATCGTAAACGCCTTAGTCGGCAATAGTCTACTTGCTATTGCTTATCGTGTTCTCCACGATCTCACGAATCCAATGATATGCGCAGCTCTGCTTGAAGTTGTCAATACACACTTCAGCAATTTTCAGAATCTGATTGGTTTCAATGTTGTCCAATGTTGTGATTTCCAGAATGAGTACAAGCAGTTTTATGGTCATGCAAGACACAAAATGCGATTCGTAACTTCACTTGTTTCCCAAGTAACCGCGTGCGCCTCGTTTCACCCCGAGTCGCACACGGAACCGAACCGAATTCGGTGAACACTCCTCAAGACCGAATCTGGAACCTTCTCGAACGCGCCTTGGTCTCAGACCACAATTTCCCCCGTCGATCTCATCCTCGATGCTTCTCCTTCTCTCTTCCTCCATTTCTTTGGTTCCTTCTCGATTTCTCTCCCGCTTCTCACGCCGTAGGCTGATTTCCACCGTTTCACCTAGAATCATCCACGCGCTTCCATTTCGCCGTCATTCCGCCGTCGTAGAGACTTTCGCCATAGGTTCCGTGGTTGGGCGAACCAACCCTAACAATCTCCCCTGTGGTTCGTCAACCACGAACTCCACTCGCACTCCTCCCCTGCTCCTTGTAGCCTTCACAGGGTCTAGGTCGGCTTCACACTCCCCTGCAGCTCCTGCACCTTGAACCTCTGCTTACGTGTCTTGAAGTTGAGCGCCTTGACATCCAAACCTTGAGAGATTTTCTTAAGCCTCTCACTTCTCCTCGGCATCTTTACACCCAACACCTCTCGGGTCTCGTACCCTTCAACGCGTTCATCCTCCTTAAGCACTTGCCCCTTTGCAGTTGCATTCGCCTTTGATCCTTTCACCATGATGTCCCCTTTCACAGCTTCAACTCCCACACACTTCGCATTTACTGCTTCATCTTCAACCACGATCGCTGCTGCAAAAGTGTTGACATCGTCTCCATCTCCACCGTTTACTGCTGCTGCCTCCATGGTCACTATCTCCTCTTCCTGCTTCACTGCTGCCTCCACACTCGCAGCCATATCATCCGAGTCCTCACTCTCATCATCCTCAGTAGACTCAGGATCCTCATAAATCTCATCCTTATCGTTCGTCGCGACCAAGTTCATCTCATAGAACCCATCACTGAAGTAACCATCAGCATACTTCTCCCACTCAGGACCAAACACTGTAACCTCGCCACTGTCATAAAATATCTTGCAACCCAAGTCATCAAGCTGTGACTGACTGACCAAGTTCACCTTCAAATCCGCAACTAGCAGCACACTCTCCAGTTTCACCTTTCCATACGGACTCTGCAGCACCACGTCACCCTCTCCTGTCACTGGTAACTTCCCACTGTTACCTTGCAGTATATAATCCTCACTCGACTCCCTCTCATTCTCCATCCAATCTGACCTGAACGTCATGTGACGCGTGCATCCGCTGTCCATGAACCACGCCCTCTTCTCACGTCCATCTGTCTGAGCCTCCTTCGGTAAACGCACCACGTTCGCGAGATGCGCTCCTCCCAAAATCACATCCTCCTTTTCCGCTTCCACTGCATTCGCCTTTGTCGCCAGATTCCTCTGCTGCGACGGACCCTTGTAGCTCCTGCTGTTCGGATTGGAGTAGCACTCTGCGGCACGATGCCCGTAGCGCCCACAATAATCACACTTGCCGCCAAAACCTCGTTTCTGCTGCCACCCCGCTCCTGCATTTTCTCCTTTCTCGTTCTCCATCGCTTTGCCCTTATAGTTTCTGCTTCGCGGGTTCTCGTAGCAATTTATCGCCTTATGCCCGCGCTTTCCACACTGGTAGCATGCTCCAAACGCCTTCGTGGCATTCACCATACCCGGCCTCTCCTCGTCGAATTCCTTAGCTGCAGCTGCTGCTTTCTTTTTCCTCATCTCCTTCACCGTCTCAAGCGACTGCAGAATCTTCTGCAGCTTCATCAAACTCTCCGGCGGTTGGTACGTAAACATACCGATGTCGGATTCCCACTCCTTAGGAAGGCCTTGGATGATATAGTCAATCATCTCATGCTCCGTCTCCGCGGCTCCCATCACCCGCAAATCGTCGTTGTAGCTTTTCGCCCTGTTGATGTAGGTGATGATTTTCTCGCCTTTCTCCATGCTCAGCATCAGCAGCTGCTTCCGAATCGCCTTCTTGTTGACATCGTTCGTACCCATGTACGTGGACTCTAGGTACTCCCACGCTCGCTGTGCAGAGTTCAGCTCCCCTGCAAACTGGTCCAAATCCACTGCGATTCCATCGGCAACTGAATGACAAAGCTGAAAGAACGCTTGCTTACTTTGCTTTTTAAACGCCGCTATTTTCTCCTTCGTATCCGTCGTGGAAGGCGCAACTCCCTCCATCGTCTCCTCATCGGGGCGGTAGTACGGCAAGAGGTCCACCTCCTCTGCCCTTCGAATGAACTTCTTCCGCCACACGTTGTAGTTGCTCCCGTTGAAGCGCTGGGCTTCACTGAGCCCGATCGTCGGTTTCGCCACCAATCGGCCACTCGCAAGGGCCTCGAGAAGAGCCTTCAACTGCGGGTCTCCAAGACTCACACTGGAATCCGAACTCGCCTCGTCTCCCATGTCGTAGGCGTGAACGACTCCTCTTCTCCACTAATTTCACTTAGCGCACCAAGTGAATTCACGACGATCGACGAGCCCGTTCGTCAAGCTCTGATACCAGTTCTTAGGATCGTAAACGCCTTAGTCGGCAATAGTCTACTTGCTATTGCTTATCGTGTTCTCCACGATCTCACGAATCCAATGATATGCGCAGCTCTGCTTGAAGTTGTCAATACACACTTCAGCAATTTTCAGAATCTGATTGGTTTCAATGTTGTCCAATGTTGTGATTTCCAGAATGAGTACAAGCAGTTTTATGGTCATGCAAGACACAAAATGCGATTCGTAACTTCACTTGTTTCCCAAGTAACCGCGTGCGCCTCGTTTCACCCCGAGTCGCACACGGAACCGAACCGAATTCGGTGAACACTCCTCAAGACCGAATCTGGAACCTTCTCGAACGCGCCTTGGTCTCAGACCACAATTTCCCCCGTCGATCTCATCCTCGATACTTATCCTTCTCTCTTCCTCCATTTCTTTGGTTCCTTCTCGATTTCTCTCCCGCTTCTCACGCCGTAGGCTGATTTCCACCGTTTCACCTAGAATCATCCACGCGCTTCCATTTCGCCGTCATTCCGCCGTCGTAGAGACTTTCGCCATAGGTTCCATGGTTGGGCGAACCAACCCTAACAAGCACACGCTGATGGGCTGCAGCGGAGAAGGCTGTTGGGATCGATAACACTGACAGCGCGGACGAGGATGGCCGACAATGCGGGACTCGCGGATCGGTGCGAAAGCCTCAATCGCAACTTGAATAGGCAGCGCCGAAAAACGGGTGGTAGTAGAGTCACAGACACGGGGGCGTTGGTGCTAACTGGTGCACAGGCGAGAGACTTTTGAGAATTCTCAAAAGTCACAGGCGAGAGAAGCTCTGGTAGAACGAAAGCCCATGCTCACTATAACTTATAGCGACCCTTGAAGGGCGTCAGCGACTGCAGAGTGAGTGGGACTCCGCATGCCGCGCGAAGCTGGACCTGTCACGGTGACGGGGAGATGCGCACCTACTATAGGCACGCGACCCGTGGGCCGTGGGGCATTGTTGCGGAAGATGGCACAGAGAAATGCGCAGTCTGAGAAACGCGTTCCAGAAACGCGTTACTTGGGCTTCTATTGGGTGTCCGTATGCTGCGTGCAGACGCTACAATGGGTATTGGTCGAAGGGGAATGGATCGCGTTAGGGCAAGTCCAGCGCATTTGTCCCTTGTTCGTTCTGTACGGTTTCTCTCGTTGCGTCACGGTACATAACATTGAATGTTGAAAACCGCTGTGCACCGTCTGGAATCGTCTTGCGCCAGGACGTTGAAGGGTGAGCGAGCGTATGCGATGGGTTCGCCCTCGGGTTTTGTCATTATTTCAATATTCGTTGACTTAAAGAGGTTTACCCTGGTCCGGAAAGGTTCAAAGCGGTGAAAGGAATGAACCGCTCTTGAACTTGGTTGACCGTATCAAACCGCGTTAAACAAACCCTGAACCAGAAAGTGTGACTGTCCTTGATGGCAGCGAAGTCGAACGAAAGCTGACAGCGCAGAAGGCGGGGGCGTGGAACATTGCTTGATGGATAGGGCCTGAAACGTATTATATGAATGGTATCATATGAATCATATGTATGCTTCAATTGTACTGAGTATGCAAGTGCATATCGGATCCTGCTCACCTTTCCAGCCTGACCAGGCTCGCTATGTGCTGTTGCTCACATCTCACGACGCCGTCTCAATCTCCTGCCGCTCGCGCCATCATGGCTCCCGCCACCGCCATTGCTCCCGCGCCCGCCTTCCGCCCTCCCGTCAACGCTCCCCTTCCCGCGCGATTCCGAGCGTTTCCCCCGCTCGCCGCCATTCCCCCGCTCGCCGCCATTCCCGCAGTGAGCCCCGCTGGAGTCCAGCGCTGCATTGCCGCCGCAAAGAGCGCTTTCGCAACGAGAGGCGACGTCGCGTTGCGAATGGAAGTGCGACGAGGAGGCGCTCCGTCCTCGTCGCCGTCGTTGTCGTCAGCGAGCAGCGCGCGTCGTATCCCGCGGGAAATTGCGGCTCGCGCTGCGCAGCACTCCGTCGTCGCGGCGGCGGGGGATGCGGCGAGCCTGCCCGAGGCGCTGCTGTTCGACTGCGACGGCGTGTTGGTTGACACGGAGAGGGACGGCCACCGCGTGTCGTTCAACCAGGCATTCGAGGAGGTGAGGTGGCACAGGGAAGGGGAAGGGGAGGGCGGAGGGTATGCGTGCTGTGAGGCTGTCGGTCGGGTGCTGGTGCACACGGAGAGGGACGGCCACCGCGTCTCCTTCAATCAGGCGTTCGAGGAGGTGAGAGCGTTGCACAGGAGGAGGGGAGGGCATGGGAGGGGAGCGATATACGTGCTGTGAGGCTGTGGTCAATTGCTCGTGGACACGGAGAGGGGTGGCCACCGCGTGTCGTTCAACCAGGCAATCCACGAGGTACGGGGGCTAGGAGTGTGAGAGTGAGGGCGACGGGAGGGGAGAGAGAGAGAAAGACGTCATGACGGAAAAGGCAAACGACCAGATTGGGGGTCCGAAGGTTTTTCGGTCCGAAGGTTTTCCTGCCAAAATGTTTGCAGAAAGGCTGCGAAAGGTGTACAAAAAAACTGCACGCCCAACTTCGACACTTGGGCGACATTGGTTGCACCGAAAGGCCTACTCACGAAAAGGGTACTGCAAACTGACCTGAGCGTCCGTCAGTCGGTGTGTCGTGTCGGGCGGTCAAACGCGATTGCCAGCGGTTACTCAAGGTGACATGGACAGGGGGATGGGGATGTGACGGCTGTGTGTGAGAAAGATGGCACGGGAGACGTGTCTCTTTATGACATGAAACCTGCTTAGGCCGGCACCAACCCACCACCTCTCTCCACGTCCTCTCTCCTCTGCTGCCCTCTCTCCTCTGCTGCCCTCTCTCCTCTGCTGCCCTCTCTCCCCTGCTACCCTCTCTCCTTGCACTCAAGATTGCACCGACCAACGCCCCCTCTGCTCGTCCTCTCTCCCCTATCCCATGCTGTTGTGCTGTCCTGTGCTGCTGCGCTGCTGCACTCGCTCCTTGTCACAGAAAGGGCTGGGGGTCACGTGGGATGTGCCGCTGTATGGCGAGCTGCTCAAGATTGGAGGCGGCAAGGAGCGGTACGCATCGGGCTCTCTGCATTGCATCGCATTGCGTTGCATTAGTGGCATCGAATCACATTTCGTCACATTGCATCATCACCTCTCAAATAATTTACCAAGTGCCTGCATGCGAGGCGCCAATTCCCAGGAACAATGTCTTCGCAATCCCTCGGAAACCAAACCTCTTCGGTTCTCTCAACTCGACTCGGTGGGCTGCTCTGGCCCAGGCAGCCCCCACCCCACCAACCTGTTGGGACGAGTAGGCCTCCTGGCTGCCCCCCACAGGAGCAAGCCGTGTATGTTTTTTGAGAATTCTGAAAAAACATACACCCCACCAACCTGTCGGGACGAGTAGGCCTCCTGGCTGTCCCCCACAGGAGCAAGCCAGCGCCCCTCAACGTCTTCTTGCTTGCTTCCCTCTCTTCGCCCCTCGCTCCCCTCTCCTCCTGCCTTCCTCCTCTCTCCTCCTTCATCCGCCCAGCATGACTCACTACTTCAATCAAGTGGGCTGGCCGCAAGCAGCCCCCACGGAACCCTCAGAGAGAGCAACCTTCGTGGTCCCTCTGCTCCATAAGAGCAAGACGAAGCTCTTCAATGCCTCCTTGCACAACCTCTCTCCTCTCCCCCTCCCTCCCCCCTCTTCTTCCCCTCCCAGCATGACTCACTACTTCAATCAAGTGGGCTGGCCGCAAGCAGCCCCCACGGAACCCTCAGAGAGAGCAACCTTCGTGGTCCCTCTGCTCCATAAGAGCAAGACGAAGCTCTTCAATGCCTCCTTGCACAACCTCTCTCCTCTCCCCCTCCCTCCCCCCTCTTCTTCCCCTTCCCAGCATGACTCACTACTTCAATCAAGTGGGCTGGCCGCAAGCAGCCCCCACGGAACCCTCAGAGAGAGCAACCTTCGTGGTCCCTCTGCTCCTTAAGAGCAAGACGAAGCTCTTCAATGCCTCCTTGCACAACCTCTCTCCCCCTCCCTCCCCCCTCTTCTTCCCCTTCCCAGCATGACCCACTACTTCAATCAAGTGGGCTGGCCGCAAGCGGCCCCCACGGACCCCTCAGAGCGAGCGGCCTTTGTGGCGGGGCTGCACAAGAGCAAGACAGCACTCTTCATGCAGCTCGTGGAGACGGGTGCCCTGCCGCTGCGACCAGGTGTCGCACGGTGAGTGTGATGATTGTACGTGCTTTGCAGGTACTGTGTGACCGTGTGCACTCTATGCCTCTCTGAACGTACAACTGACTTCCCTTCATGGATCTCGTGGAGACGGGTGCCCTTCCCCTGCGACCGGGTGTCGCACGGTGGGTGTGATTGTATGTTCTGGTACTGTGTGACTGTGTGACTGTGTTTCTGAGCACCTATAACTGTGAGGCTCCACAAGAGCAAGACGACAGTCTTCATGGATCTCGGGGAAACAGGGTCACTGCCGCTACGGCCAGGCGTGGCATGGTGAGTCGAAGGTACTGTGCGCCTATGACTGTGCGCCTATGACTGTGCGCCTATGACTGTGCGCCTATGACTGTGCGCCTATGACTGTGCGCCTATGACTGTGCGCCTATGACTGTGCGCCTATGACTGTGCGCCTATGACTGTGCGCCTATGACTGTGCGCCTATGACTGTGCGCCTATGACTGTGCGCCTATGACTGTGCGCCTATGTCTGTGCGCCTATGACTGTGCGCCTATGACTGTGCGCCTATGACTGTGCGCCTATGTCTGTGTGACGGTGCAAGACGGCGCTCTTCATGCAGCTCGTGGAGACGGGTGCCCTGCCCCTGCGACCAGGCGTCGCGCGGTGGGTGTGGCTATACGTTCTGGTACTGTGTGACTGTGTGACTGTGTGACTGTGTTTCTGTGCGCCTATAACTGAGTGTGGCTCCACAAGAGCAAGACGGCGCTCTTCATGCAGCTTGTGGAGACCGGTGCGCTGCCGCTGCGACCAGGCGTGGCACGGTGAGTGTGGCTGTGTGGCCTTATGGCTCTCTAAACGTGCAAGTGGTTGCTCTCTTCATGCAGCTCGTGAAGATGGGTGCGCTGCCGCTGCGACCAGGCGTGGCACGGTGAGTCACAGTGACTGGGTGTGGCTGTACGTGCTGTGCAGGTATTGTGTGACTGTGTTTCTGTACTACGCCACTGTGTGACTGTGTTTCTGTACTACGCCACTGTGTGACTGTGTTTCTGTACTACGCCACTGTGTGGCTGTGCAACCACAAGCTGCATGAAGAGAAACCACAAAGGCCGCTCGCTCGCTCCCCTGCTGCACTGTGTGACTGTGTATCTCTCCATGCAGCGTCTGCTCCAGGCCTGTGTTGCGGAAGACGCACGACGCGTCTTGCGTCTTGCGTCTAGACGCAGCGTCTAGACGCAAGACGCAAGACGCGTGTTTAGACGCAAGACGCTTGGCATAAATTTTTTTGGTCTGCCCGGAAAAAAAAAAATCCCGCGGCCGAAATCGAATTTCGCGACTTCGAGGCTAAATTCAATTTCGCGCCATATGAACCCCACCCCACCCATTTCGACCCTACAAACCAGCCCCCATGCAAAATTGATACCCCCCCCCACCAAATTTGAATGCGCACCGCACTGCACCGCACAACATCTAGAAAACCGAACCTATTGAGGCAAACTACCAAAAGGTTGGGGTGCACAAAGCCCCCATTTGTGCTCCCCATCTCTCATTTCTACCAATTCTCTTTCAAAAACCCTTTAGGGTTTTGCTAGTTCCTTTCCTTCTCGCAACCATGTCCTCCTCGCCTAGTCCCGCGTCTAGTTCCGCATCCGCGCATGACGATGCCATCGGTGAGGGCTCTTCCGCTCGTGTTTCTAAGGAAATGGACGGTATTACCAAGAATAAGAAGTATCCGAAGCACACGATCTACAAGCACTTCTTCTTTTTTAGTGATCCAAAGAAAAAGGGCGACCAAGTGGAGTGTGAGTTTTGCGGCAAGAAGTTTTCGTTCAGTCCTAGCCGTTGCCCCGAGCACCTCGCCGAGTGGCACGATCCCAACCGTCGGCGCGAGGCGGGAGTCGTTTGCGCGGATGTGCCCAATGAGATTTCGAAGGAGATTCGCGAGTTGTTCGAGGCGAAGGTTCGTGCGCGCAACAAAAAGGGGAAGGCGACGGATGCGGCGCTCAGTGCGGTGAGCAGCAAGAGCGCGGCGGGGGGAAAGCCGAAGCGCCAGCGCATGGACGATTTCTACGGCGAGGGTGGCGTCGTGGCGAAGAAGGCGGCTGACGAATCGATTGTCCTCTACCTCGCGGGGACGCGCACATCGGAGTCTCAGTGCGAGCACCCGCTCTTCCTCAACATGGTGCGAGCCGTCGCCGCCGCCGGAAAGGGATATGTCCCCCCCAAGCGGCACTACGTCGGAGGAGCCGGCCTGCTAGACTGCAAGCTGCGCATTGAGAAGGCGTTGTCGCCTGTGACGAAGTCGTGGAGGGAGACGGGCGTGACGATCTCCAGCGACATGATGCAGGACAAGAGCGGCCGCGCGCAGATGAATGTCATATGCGTCAACGACACTGGGGCTGTCTTCGTTGAGGTGGTCGATTGCAAGGATGCGGAGGACAGATTCAGCGGCGAAGGGGATGATGGGCCAGCTTTACGACATCATGCTGCAGCTGACGGAGGAGTTGGATAAGTTGTTGGCTGGGAGGGAGTGCAAGCTGAGCAGGGTGGATAAGGATGCTGTGCGGGAGCATTTGCGGAGGCGTTGGGACGAGAGCCTGGCTTGCCCCCTCCACGTGGCAGGCCGGATCCTGAACCCGGCCAACCAGGAGGAGGGGATCTTTCTGCAGGATGCGGAGTGCACCAGGGTCATGCAGGAGTGGCTGGCGCGCCAGAAGGTCTTCGTAGACACATACTGGGGGAAGGCCCGCGGCAAGAAGGGACCGGTGCGGCCGCTGCACGAGGGGGTGACGGCCTACATCAACGGCTCAGGGGCATTCGGCACTGATACCGCGATCGGGGGGCGTAAGGATATTCAGTTGGGGAAGGGGGACATCATGCTGTGGTGGCAGTACAATGGATGGGAGTACGCTGACATGGCGCGTCTTGCGCGGCGCGCTCTTTCCCAGACCGTTTCCGCTTCCCCGTGCGAGCGTAACTGGTCTACTTGGGATGGCGTGCATACGGCGCGCAGGAACCGGCTCGGGTCGGAGAAGGTGCGCGACCTTGTGTACATCGCGCACAACTGGAATGTTGTGCACGGCTTCCACAAGGGCGCAGATGACGCAGGGCCTAGTGGGGTGGGAAGGAAGGGGGGGGTGGTGGAGGGGAACATTGCCCCCCCTCCCCTCCCCGAGGGGTACAAGTTGGAGGAGGATGGGGAGGTGGAGGCGGACGAGAACGACGTGTGCATGGATGAGTGGGAGGGGCAGGAGGAGGAGGAGGAGGAGGAGGAGGAGGAGGAGGAGGAGGAGGAGGAGGAGGAGGAGGAGGAGGAGGAGGAGGAGGAGGAGGAGGAGGAGGAGGAGGAGGAGGAGGAGGAGGAGGAGGAGGAGGAGGAAGAGGAGGAGGCGAGCTAGGAGGCCTAGCGATGCCATGGCTGTTGAAATACTTCGTGATTGCTATTGCTAGAGTGACTTGGAAACCGAACTATGTATGATGCGGCACTAAGGTTGTTGTGAACTATAAGTATGGGGAAAAAGTTTTGGTACGGCGAAATGTTGACCCATATGTGACATAAGTGCATGTCCCCCACCCTCCCCATGACCCCTATAAAGTTTTTTAGGCTGCCCGAACCTTTTTTTTAGGCCTGCCCGGGTTTCCGTCTTATATGCGTCTTTCCACGTCCTAAATGCGTCTTGCGTCTAAGACGCTGCGTCTAGACGCATCCGTCTAAGACGCAAGACGCGTCTTCCGCAACATAGCTCCAGGCTGATTGCCAAGGCACTCGCACCAGCGGTGCAGGTGGCTGCTTTTGAGGCACCTGTGAGCCAGCGGTGCAGGTGGCAAGGTGGGCACATCCTCCCTGCATGAAGCTGGTGGGGCGATCGTGAGAGTCATGCTGGGCTCATGCGTGCTTACCACACCTCATATCACTGCTAACAAAAAAAAATGCAACCCCAGCCTTCCTTTTTCCCCTCTCCCCCCCCACCCTCATTGACGAGGCACTGGCAGCGGGAGTACCGGTGGCAGTGTGCAGCACATCCAATTAGAAGGCAGTGGGGACAATGTTGGGGTGGGGGTGCTTTCTGCTCTTCACAGCACTGCAACCCCTGCCCTCCCCTTCCCTCTTCCCCCCCAGGCTGATCGACGAGGCACTGGCAGCGGGCGTGAAAGTGGCAGTATGCAGCACATCCTCCCAACATGAAGCTGGTGGGGCGATCGTGAGAGTCATGCTGGGCTGCTGAGCCTTTACTTACCGCACCTCACATCAGGGAAACTCCCCTCCTTCTCCTCTCCACTCCCCCACAGGCTGATCGACGAGGCACTGGCAGCGGGTGTCCGGGTGGCAGTGTGCAGCACGTCCAATGAGAAGGCGGTGGGGGCGATCATGAGAGTCATGCTGGGCTGTTGAGCCCTTACTTACTGCACCACATATCACTGCATCCCCGCCCCTCCTCTCTCTCCCCACCCCTCTCCATCCCCAGGCTCATTGACGAGGCGCTAGCAGCGGGTGTCCGGGTGGCGGTGTGCAGCACGTCGAATGAGAAGGCGGTGGGGGCGATTGTGAGAGTCATGCTGGGCGAGGAGAGGGCGCAGCACATGCGGATATTTGCCGGGGATGTGGTTCCCAAGAAGAAGCCCGACCCGGTGAGCAGAGTGCACACATGCAGAGGGCAGACAGTTGAAACTTGAATGTATAATATAGAGATGGGGAAGGTGAGGATGGGCGAGGAGAGGGCGCAGCACATGCGGATACTCGCAGGGGACGTGGTGCCCAAGAAGAAACCCGACTCGGTGAGCAGAGTGCACACATGCTGCAGAGTGCACACATGCTGCAGAGTGCACACATGCTGCAGAGTGCACACATGCTGCAGAGTGCACACATGCTGCAGAGTGCACACATGCTGCAGAGTGCACACATGCTGCAGAGTGCAGACAGTCAGGCGTATCGTGTGTGTAGTGATGGATAAGATACGGTGCGAGCTGGGCGAGGAGGAGAGGGGCTTCAGCATGCACATGCGGATCTTTGCAGGGGATGTGGTTTTGAAGAGTGCATTCAGTGGGATGTACCATGGAGAGGGAGTGGCGGATAAGGTGGGAGGGGGGCCGAGGAGGGGGCCCGGCACATGCAAACATTCGCTGGGGATGTGGAGCTGAATCCGATATGGTGAGGCATAGGAGTGAGGCATAGGAGTGAGGCATGGGAGTGAGGCATAGGAGTGAGGCATAGGAGTGAGGCATAGGAGTGAGGCATAGGAGTGAGGCATAGGAGTGAGGCATAGGAGTGAGGCATGGGAGTGAGGCATAGGAGTGAGGCATAGGAGTGAGGCATAGGAGTGAGGCATAGGAGTGAGGCATAGGAGTGAGGCATAGGAGTGAGGCATAGGAGTGAGGCATAGGAGTGAGGCATAGGAGTGAGGCATAGGAGTGAGGCATAGGAGTGAGGCATAGGAGTGAGGCATAGGAGTGAGGCATAGGAGTGAGGCATAGGAGTGAGGCTGCTAACCTGAGAGGGAGCAGCGCATGTGGTCCCACTCGATCTGGTGGGCACTGGGGGTGGTGCTGACATGGAAGAGGGCGCAACGCAACAGATGCGGTGCGCACATTTGCTGGGGATGCCGTTGGGAAGAAGGAACCTGACCTGGTGGGAAAACGAGGTGACTTTTGAGTCGACTCAAAAGTCACTTTGGGCAATGCAGGAGGGCGTAGCAACATGTGGCTCCATCCATGCGAGGTGACTTTTGAGTCGACTCAAAAGTCACTTTGGGCAATGCAGGAGGGCATAGCAACATGTGGCTCCATCCATGCGAGGTGACTTTTGAGTCGACTTAAAAGTCACCTCAAAGGTCATTTTGAGTCGACTCAAAAGTCCCCTTGCCCCCCATGCTCCTCTTGCCCCTTCAATTCCCCCATGCCAGGCCATCTACAACCTAGCTGCCACCACACTCATTCCCTAATCCCTGCCCCTCACCCCCCTATGCCCCACATGCCCCTGTTGCCACGCATCAACCCCCCATGGCAGGCCATCTACAATCTCGCTGCCACCAGTCTCAATCCTCTCCATTCCATGCCCCACATGCCCCACATGCCCCACATGCCCCACATGCCCCACATGCCCCACATGCCCCACATGCCCCACATGCCCCACATGCCCCACATGCCCCGCACACTCCGCTTGCCCTTCATGCTCCTGTGGCCATGCATCAACCCCCTCTCATGCCCCTGTGGCCATGCATCAACCCCCTCTCATGCTCCTGTGGACATGCATCTACCCCCTCTCATGCTCCTGTGGCCATGCATCAACCCCTCTCATGTTCCTGTGGCCATGCATCAACCCCTCTCATGTTCCTGTGACCATGCATCAACCCCTCTCATGTTCCTGTGGCCATGCATCAACCCCTCTCCCCCCTTGCCAGGCCATCTACAACCTCGCCGCCACCACTCTCAACCTCAACCCTGCACGGTACGTGCTCCTTGGTCTGCTTCACCCTCGCTCTCCCTGCTTCGGGCTTGCCTCGTGCCTCTTGCCCCTCATGCTCCTCGTGCCTCTTGCCCCTCATGCTCCTCGTGCCTCTTGCCCCTCATGCTCCTCGTGCCTTGGGTCACATGCCACCACCCACCCACCCACCCACCCACCCACCCACCCACCCACCCACCCACCCAGCCAGAGTGACTCCATGGCACTCCATGTTTTCGCACATCTCACATGCTATGTTGGCACATAGCATGCAGCGCCATGCCACCACCTCTCATGCGCCATGCTGTGTGCGTGGTGATTCTGGACATTGCATTCGCCGTGCCACCACATCACACCTAATGTGCCACATCGGACACACTTCTGCCATGGCTTTAAGCCTCATATACCATGGCTTTAAGCCTCATATACCATGGCTTTAAGCCTCATATACCATGGCTTTAAGCCTCATATACCATGGCTTTAAGCCTCATATACCATGCCCATTTCTCATAAGCCATGTTACACCTCTCAAACCTTTCTCCTTTTCCCTGCTGGCAACTGTGTGGTCATAGAGGACAGTCACATCGGCCTGACGGCTGCCAAGGCTTGAAGCCTCATCGACTGTCACATCACTGCATGTCCCTTCAAGGCTCTTATGCCATGTGACACACCTTATGTCTTTTCTCCTTGTCCCCCTGCTGGCAGCTGTGTGGTGATAGAGGACAGTCACATCGGCCTGACGGCGGCCAAGGCTTTAAGCCTCATAAGCCATGTAGCGCCTCGTGTTTCTCTGCTCTTCCCTGCTGTGTCCTGCTGGCAGCTGTGTGGTGATAGAGGACAGTCACATCGGCCTGACGGCGGCCAAGGCGGCCGGCATGACCTGTGTGGTCACCAAGAGCGGGTACTGCTGCCTCTTTCCCCCTCCTCCCTCCCTTTTTTCCCTTCGTCTGGTTTCCCTCAGACTTATCCCGTCTGCTACATTATCGCCTCGTCTACCCACCCCTGCTCTGCTTCGCTGCTCATTACAAGGGTTCTGCCATCTTGTTTCCCCGTGACATTTCCTCACCCCGTTTCCCCACCTGCTTCCCACCCACCAGCTACACGGCAGACGAGGACTTCTCAGCAGCCGATGCCGTGTTTGATGCCATTGGTGACACTCCTGCTGATGGCTTTGACCTTCCGTTCCTCGCCTCTCTGCTGTGACACGCCTCAACACCTCCGCACATGCCTCAACACCTCCGCACATGCCTCAACACCTCCGCACATGCCTCAACACCTCCGCACATGCCTCAACACCTCCGCACATGCCTCAACACCTCCGCACATGCCTCAACACCTCCGCACATGCCTCAACACCTCCGCACATGCCTCAACACCTCCGCACATGCCTCAACACCTCCGCACATGCCTCAACACCTCCGCACATGCCGCTTATCCACGTGCTGCTGCCCGCCTCTCAACCGCCTGATGCTCCCGCCCAGCCTTCCATTGCTCTCTCAGCACCACCTCACAGCCACATGCTGCCTATTAGATCCAATCTCCCCCTCCCTGCCTCGCTGCTGCACCGCGCCTCACAACCGCTTGCCACTTGAAAGTAGGCCATGGTGTATTGCGAGTGCAACCAGGAAAGTCAAGAGATGTGCCATATGTATTCAGAAGCATAACAAATGAAAAAAATGATTTTTATTCCGACACAACTTCAGCATAGCAAAAACATATACCTAGTTGTTGCCTTTGTGTGATACATAAGTGAAACAGCTTACCGTGAGCTCCCGCCTAGAAGACCCGGGGGTCTTATCCTAAATGTGCTCAAAATGGGCTGTGGGGTCTTATCTGATGGCATAGAGTGCATAAGACCCCCGGACATTTATAAATCACACAAAAATGGATTGTAAAGACCAGTATTGAAGAATTTCAATATTTTTTTTGCGAATTCGAGTACGGCTCAAAACGCGGAATTCTATCGCCACTCTCGCTTCGCGCACATCAATCGTTGCCACCAGGGCTCATTTTTTGTTTTGACCAACCCTTACGATCAGTCTAGCACCTGTTCAAAAACCTGATTTTCAGGGTTACCCGTTGTGGAAAACCTGATGCGTCAGGGTTTTTGCATATATTAAAACGACTACCCTGAGGCATCAGTGTACCAATTCGCAAAACCCTGTTTCAGTTGTTCTTGTAACACAGCACACAATAACAAGCTCAATCATCATCATCAGACATGCCACAAGGTTGTTGCTCGTGGTCACTGTCCTCCTCTGGCTCCGGCACTTTCTCCTTGCCTCGAATGAAACTGTATTTCTGGCCAATGGTGGCCCACCTCGTTCCAGCACACGTAAAGTCCTGCCGAAATCTACATTTTCGACAGTTGGCAAAGGGAAAATCCTGGTTCCGGGGTCGGGTGGTTAGGGGACGGGGGGGGGGGGGGGGGGGGGTGGGAGTTCGCTGGTACGCGCTTCAGGGTAAACCTCGATAAGCGGAACGGCAACCCTGAGGCGACAGTGTTCCTTAATCTTAAAACATTATAATTTTAAACACACATTGTGTTTTTTAAAATTGTGTATTGTGAAAGCGAAGCTGCTTGTACTGCACAATTGGCATCGTCGAAGCGCGCTAAACGCCCTTCTCCAACTACAAAAACCGTGGGTTGGAGCTTATTTCCCTCCACCCACGTTTCTCTATTTCAAACGGCTCACTCAACATTTCCGCTCACGTAGTCTTTCTCTCCTTCCAAGCTGGCTAGAACAAAATCGCTTCCTAGAGGCGAGTCACCCTCGACTTTACTTAGCGACATTTTTAACTTCAATCGATCAACGATGGCACCGACGACGACACTTAACAACGGGAACTCGTCCAACCCCGCTTCCGACTCCGACCGTAACACCCGCGATTTTGCGGGCGACCGCCGTAACAAGCGCCGGGCAGAAGATGGACCGCCCGCCCCGACTGCAGTAGACGTGCTGCTGGGCGGGCTCGAGGTCAACAAAAGTGCCGACGCCCAGCAGCACCCTTCGGCCCCTGTGGCGCCAGTGGCGCCAGTGGCGCCTGTGGCACCTGCGGCGCCTGTGGCACCTGCGGCGCAAGTGGCGACGGCAGCTGGCGCGGCACACGCACCTGACGCCGAGCACACGCCAGCACCCGCGGCTGGACCGTCGCGTCAGCGCCAGAGGAGGCGGACTGCGGTCTCCTCGTCTGACGCGACGACCGCCCCTGCACTGACGCAGGCGTTGACCCCGGACCAGGTCAACGCGCTACTATCCCTTCTACAGCAGCAGCCCGTCAGCGTTACAGCTGCGGAAACTGCACTACCCGCTGCATCTGCGTCGGCTAAAAAAGAAAACGCGAAAAAGGAAAAAGGCACGCGAGGAGCACGTACGAACCGGCATGACAACGACGCAGCGACAGCCGCTCCCCCTGCTCCGGCGGTCGACAACGACACCGACGACTCTGAAGATGAAGCTGGTGAGGCTCCAGTCAACACTGCTAATTTTATTGGCACGGAAAACCTCCCCCCCCTTCCTTCTTCTAACCTCACCTTTTCGGCGGCGACTTTCGTCAACGACTCCGTGCGAGAGCAAGCGGAGCTGCTGGAGGACTTGCGTGCGTACCTGCTGCACGCGGAATACAAGGCGCAGCGAGGCGACTCGGCGGGCGGACTCGAACTCATCTCACACGCGCTCAACCTCATCTCGGGGCGTTTCGAGGTGCTTCAAGTGGAGGACGCTTCCGACTTCCGCACGGCGAAACGCTTCAAACTGTACCAGCAGAAGAGCCTGCTGACCTCTCGACCCTTCAAGCAGGCGGTCGCGGATATGGCTGCAATGGACCGCGCGGCAAGTGCATACGCTCGTGTCACCCGCGGCGGAAACAACGGGCCGATGCCGTTCTTACCCAAGCGGGCCCCCCCGCCCACGGCCAATTGTCGTGGGTTTCGGGGCTCGTGCTTCCGCTGCGGCCAGCCGGGACATGTGGCAAGTGCCTGCCCTAGGAACGGGCATGGCGGCCAAGGACCCGCTCCGGTGGTGTAGGAGCGGGCCAAGGGATTAGGCGCCTTGGGCGCTAGGCACGGTGCACTCTTGAGGGCGGAAACCGTGGGCAGCCCTAGGGGTTTGCGATGGCAAGAGGCCAGCCCTAGTGAAGGGTAGTAATAGGCTTTGGGCCTAGGATAGGGAAGGGGAACAACAACCCCTCGGTCCCATGTATTTGGCCACCCGGTGGGGTGATGAATGCTAGGAAGCATTGCAATGTGTGTTGGTTGATTTAATAAAAAGTTCCTTGATTTACTATTTTGCAAAGAGCCTCTAGACACACAGAGGAGGTGCAGAGCATGAGAGAGAGAGAGGAAGAGAGAGAGAGAGAGAGAGAGAGAGAGAGAGAGAGAGAGAGAGAGAGAGAGAGAGAGAGAGAGAGAGAGAGAGAGAACAAGACAAAGCACGGTGGACACGCATGTCCATGGTTCAAAGCACCAGCCCACATGCACTAAAGGCATGCACAACCACGTCTTACCAAGTGGATGACAAGGCGAGCAAAAAAAAAAAAAAAAAAAAAAAAAAAAAAAACGCGATGTGATGTATCGGAAAAAGGGCTAGCCACGGTGCTAGATGAGACAAAAAAAAAAAAAAAAAAAAAAAAAAAAAAGAGGAGGGGGTCCAGAGAGTGACACCTACTTGCCTACCATAATCAGGGTGCCCATGGAGCAAAAAAAAAAAAAAAAAAAAAACCAAGAAGAAGAAGCGTCGGCGCGCGCACGACATATTTGTTGTCCTTTCGATAGATAGGCAATCTCATTCACACCATTGATCAACGATTGCGCGTACATGCACACGCACATGCATGCGTCAAATGGAACTCCCAACCCTACCCCATTTGCCTCAATTACAGGAGCACGACAGTGCGAGGCGGTATGTTACGACGATCCGTATGAATTTGCCGTCACGGACAAAACCATTACACAAATGCGCGGTCGACTTCGTGCGACCTTTGCGTGGTGGAGATCCTGGTGTCCCTGCAGCCTCGTCCTTTCCGTCATCGCCAGGGGTTATTGGCTACCATGGAGCCACGGCCCACCACAACCCTTCCACGATCGCAACCATGTCGGGGCAAACACGCATGCTACGTTCACGCGTACCGCTATCCAAGAACTCCTAGAGACCGGAGCAGCAGTCCAGATGCCCGCAACGGAGCTGACGTGTATAAGTCCACTCAATGTGGTCGAGCAAAAAGACAAATGCAGACTCATTCTTGATCTGCGGAAAGTCAACGCAAGCTTAATCGTCCCCAAGTTCAAGTACGAGGGGCTCAACCGCGTGGCGGACCTGGCACGCGTTGGGGATTGGATGTTCTCCATTGACCTTAAATCCGGTTACCACCACATCGACATCCACCCATCATGCTGGAAGTTCCTCGGCTTCGAATTTGGGAGGCGCACGTACGCATTTCGTTCACTGCCATTTGGCCTCGCGACAGCTCCATTCGTCTTCACGCAGCTCATCAAGCAACTGGCTCGGCGCTGGCGAGAACAAGGCATCCGAGTCATCCCTTACGTGGACGACATCTTATTCCTCTGTCAGTCGAAAGACCATGCGCAAGCGATCTGCCAGCGTGTGATATTGGACCTTAAAGAGGCAGGACTCGTGATAAACGCGAAGAAATCACAGCTGTCACCATCGCAACGCCTACGATTTTTTGGTGTAGAGCTGGAAACCGATACCGGTCGATTCTCCATCGGTCCCGACCGACGAGCCTCACTACATGCAACCATCCAAAACCTCCTGAGCGCAAGCAAGGCATGCCGACCAGTCCCGGTCCGCCACGTGGCCAGAATCACAGGCATGCTCGCATCAATGGGGGTCGCACTTGGCGCGACCGCTCGCGCATTCAGCCACGCCATGTTACAAGTAATCAACGACGCACCGTCATGGAAAAGCAACGTGGTCATCCCCCCAGCCGCAGCAGAGGAGCTACACTTTTGGCTTGAGGAGTTCGACCGGTTCAACGGTGCACCTTTCCACGTCCGGAACAGCTACGATGCGGTAATTCATGTGGATGCCAGCTCTCATGGTTGGGGCGCCACTCTAACTACATTTCCGGGTGGCCTCGAAGAAGCGAGCGCAACCATGTCAGAGCCACTACAGGCAACGTCCAGCACGCGGCGGGAGATCGAAGGCGTCCTTTGGGCGCTCCAAACGTACGCCAACAAGATCAAGCAAAAACACGTTCTCGTGCGGGTGGACAACCAGGGCGTATTCTTCATCCTTCGCAAAGGCGGCTCTCACAGCTCTGACCTCACAATGGCTTGCAAAAGCATCATCCGAACATGCATGGGGCTCGGCACGCGCTTGATCATTGAATGGATCCCGCGAGAGCTCAACTCACATGCTGACGAGCTTTCAAAAATGGTCGACCACGACGACTACGCGTTGAAGAAGCCGTGGTTTCGCATCTTAGAACGTCGTTGGGGTCCGCATTCCATCGACCTCTTTGCAAACTCTCACAACACCCAACTCTCGCGCTTTTGCACCAAGATCCCCCACCCGGAAGCCATCGCAGTTGATGCGTTCTCGATCGCATGGACAACCGAAAACAACTTCGCCTTCCCCCCACCCCAACTGGTCCCAGCCGTCCTCCACCATGCACAACGCACCCATGCATCACTCACATTAATAGTCCCGCACTGGCCAGGCGCAAGTTGGTGGCCACTTTTGCAAACCTCCCTATGTACTTGGGCTCCACACATCCACGCGCACATCCCTCTCACACACGGAAGCCAATGCCTAGATACAGGGTCCCATTCTAGTGCCTTCTCGGGCACGGGACTACCGCATAGCCCAATCATTGCACTGCGAGTGGTATTTGACTAATGCATATTGTCCACTCCTGTGTTCAGATTTGCTCCCAAAGTTACACGACCAACTGATCAAAATGCTCGCGCAGTCACGCGCCGATTCTACGATCCGGACATACGAACCATACTGGGCCAAGTTTCGAGCATTTTGCACAAAAGTGAATCTCTCCTTTCTTCCAGCTTCCGACATGACACTCGCACTATACCTGGTTCACGCAATCCGACGCAAAGCCACCCTGTCCGTAGTGCAGCTGACGTGCTCGGCAGTAAGCTTCGCCCATCGCATGACTGGGAACAAATGCCCAACAATCGGTCCGTTTACCACCCAAGTCCGCGACTGTGCAAAACGACACTGCCCCCGCCCTACTCGTCTGAAGGAACCCGTATCGATCCAACAAGTCCGCGACATGGCCGGGAGTTACCTGCAGTCTGACGACCCTGCGGAATTTCAGAAAGGGCTGATCCCCATCCTCATGTACTCAGGATTTCTGCGATACTCCGACCTAGTGGCCATACAATGGCAAGACATCCAATTCGACGAAGAGGTCATGTGGATCCTCATACCACACTCTAAGACCGATCAGGCCGGTCACGGAACATGGATACCCATTGCAGCAACGACAGACCCTTGTTGCCCAGTGCGCTGCACCCGACGCTTCATCCAACTCGCCGGCTATGGTCCTCAGTCAGAGGGACCGTTGATTCGTGTCTTCGGGCACGCTTCAAGCAGCAAAGGCCAAGCGAAGCCGCCTTCATACACTACAATTCGGAACTGGTGTAAGGAAGCTTTCGCAAAAGTTGGTCTGGGAGAGCTGCAGCTCGGCACTCACTCTTTCCGAAAAGGCGCGGCCACAGTAGCAGCCAACACTGGAGTGCCAGACAGAGTCTTCAAACGGCTGGGCAGATGGCGAAGCGACACAGCTAAGGAAATGTACGTCACGCCATACGTCGAGCCTCTCCTCACAGCATCCCGCAACCTGCAAGATCCGACGCAGGCGGTGTCTTCGGCGCAACACACAGAGGCGCTCGTACGCCATAGGAGGCCCCCGCTGCCCATGTCTCAGAGACCCCAGTTGTAATGAGAACGATGCCAATTGATAAAAATAAGAAAGCAAGCTTTCTCAATATTATAATTTTTAAACACACATTGTGTTTTTTAAAATTGTGTATTGTGAAAGCGAAGCTGCTTGTACTGCACAATTGGCATCGTCGAAGCGCGCTAAACGCCCTTCTCCAACTACAAAAACCGTGGGTTGGAGCTCATTTCCCTCCACCCACGTTTCTCTATTTCAAACGGCTCACTCAACATCCCCACCACCCACCCCAGCGTAGAACGCCTTGCTAATGCCACTTGGATAGGGTACATCTTAGCTAGTGATATTAGCATGCACTAGCTTGTGTTCAATCTCGATGCAAATGTTGTAATAAGCCAGTTGTAATGAGAACGATGCCCCCAGTTGTAATGAGAACGATGCCAATTGATAAAAATAAGAAAGCAAGCTTTCTCAATCTGGCACATCAGGGTAAATCAAGGTCCCGAAAAATTTACCCAACAGCATCAGTGTTACTACCAAAAATCACCCTTCTAATCAGGGCATCAGGGTGATTTACACTGATAACGTGGGCCCTGGTTGCCACGCGTCACACCTCCTGTAATGCCCAATTGTGACAGGTACGTCAGCATTTCTCGCGTGACGGGCGGCAAAAGCGCATGATCGACGTGGCATCATGACTCCATTGACCACGAATTCGCCCACAACGTGAATCTGGTGTTTTTTTAATGTGACTCGCTAAGCATCTCACCGGTTAAACACCACCCATGCAAAAGAGGGGGGGTCTTATAATGAATGGGGTCAAAAGGCGGGTCCTCTCCAGGACTGACTTAATAAAAGACCCTTGGTCCGGATAGAAGACCCACGGGGCTTGTACGCGGGGGGGTCTTGTAACCGGGAGATCACGGTATATCAATATCAACAAGCCCACCTTTCATCTCTAAAGTACGTACCGGTATGTAATTTCCACTTCTGGATCCATTTTAAGCAAAATGCATTCAAACAAAGTTACTATTGGCATTTGTAACATCGTAGTCACTACTGTGCAACCAATCATCACCTTGTGAGCACCTCCACCCCTGTCTCCGTTATAAGCAGAGTGTGTTCAAACTGGGCTGTCAAGGTGCCATCCGCAGTGACTGCCGTCCACCCGTCATCCCACATCACATCCCGCACACCCCCCATCGTGAACATGGGCTCTGTGAGGGAGGGAAACACGGAATGGGATGGGAGAGAAAGGGAATCAGGCAGGAAAAGAAGGGGGGGCAGCGGAGGAGGGTGGGAGGGGGGGAGGGGGGTTGAGAAGAGTCTTGGATTTGGGATCTGAATGTGTCAACAAAGGCCGTGTTTTGAGGCGACTGTCAGAATCTAGCAGTGGCTGGCATCCACCCATCGCCCTGCATCACATCCTGCACGCCCCCCATCGTGAACATGGGCTCTGTGACGGGGAGCAGAGGGGAGGATGGGAAGGGTGGAAACGGAAGGAGATGAATCAGGAGCAGTGCTGTTATACGGGATGTGATGTGGGACAATGGGTGGACGGCCGCCGCTGCTGAATACTGAGAGTCGACTCGAGACACATGCATGTGAGCGCAAGCCAGTGGCATGCATGCCTCACCAATGGTGAATGTTTTCCCCACATGTACGCGTGCAAGCCATGCATGCGTGCGTGCTATGCAGGTCCACATGTGAGTGCAAAGCAGGGACATGCATGACTCACCAATCGTGAATGTCTGCCCCACTTGCATGCGCCCTGGCTCGTTGTTGCCTGGCGGTGCCGGGGGGGAGAGGGGCGCCGGGGAGAAGAGAGGAGAGAAGTAAAAAGGACAGAAGCAGAGAGGAAAAAGGCAGTGAATAGAGCAAACGCGATTTCTGGCTAGCAAAAGGGTAGCAACAGAAATGTGGGGTGCAGAAGCAGGGCTGACAGAAGTGAAGTGTACAGGGGATCAAAGAGGGGAAAAGGTGGGTGGGGAGAAAGAGATGGGGGAGAGAGGGTGGGGGCAGGCAGGGAGTGGGGAACAGGTCATGTCAGGATAGTGCAGCACTGCAGTCAGGCCAATGCCTGGGCTGGTTGTGAGGGAGATTGGGGAGCGAAAGAGGGCACAAAGGGGTGGGGAGAAAGAGAGGGGGGAGAGAGGGTGGGAGCAGGGAGTGGGGAACAGGTCATGTCAGGATAGTGCAGCACTGCGGTCAGGCCAATGCCTGGGCTGGTGAATGAGGGATGTTGTGAGGGAGATTGGGGAGACAAGGGGTGGGGGCACGGTGGGCCTGTGGGAGGCACAGTGGGCCTGTGGGGGGCAGGGTGGGGGCAGGGTGGGGGCAGGGTGGGGGCAGGGTGGGGGCAGGGTGGGGGCAGGAGGGGGCTGAACTCACGGTAATGTAGCACGGCGGGACTGGCATGGAAGACGGATCCGACACCGTGGCCGATGAACTTTCTCACCACCCCGTAGCTGTGCTTGTCTGCCATGGCACTGTGAGACGGGCAGCATGGGGTGGCGTGGAGATGGGTCAGGGAGAAGGTGATGATAAAGACATGGTATGCACTTTCTCACCACACCGTACCTGTGCTTGTCCTCCACAGCACTGCGCAGTGGGGGGCAGCATGGAGAGGCGTGGAGATGGTTGAGGGATCATGAGATGATTACAAGATGAGACTTTCTCACCACACTGTAGCTGTGCTTGTCTGCCACAGCACTGTGAGACGGGCAGCATAGGGAGGCATGGAGAAGGGTGAGGGAGAAAGTGCTCACAGAGACTTGCAAACCACACTGTTCCCGTGCGGGGTATCATTGGGATGACATCAGTTTGCATGGCATCCGAGTCATACACCATCCACATGCTATCCACATGCCATGCCATTCACATGCCATCCACATGCCATGCCATCCACATGCCACCCACATGCCACCCACATGCCACCCACATGCCACCCACATGCCACTCACGTGCCACCCGCATGCCATCCACATGCCACTAACATGCCACCATATAACACCACATGGCATGGCAGCATGCGAATCGACACGCACATCAACCCTGAGGCGAAGAAACAAGAGCATGTGTGCACTGTGCCGGACTGCACTGCTGGGAGGCACGATGGTGCGCCGCACACACAGCAGCAATTCATGTGGATGCAAGAAAGGAGCACAGCAGCAGGGCAGATTAGAATGGCAATTGGCGTGATAGACGGGACACTGGCTGGCATATTCAATGGCGATGGCATGAGATGCTTGGGAGGAGGAGGAGGAGGAGGAGGAGGAGGAGGAGGAGGAGGAGGAGGAGGAGGAGGAGGAGGAGGAGGAGGAGGAGGAGGAGGAGGAGGAGGAGGAGGAAGGGGGGGCAGAGGACGATCGTGGCAACATAGCCCCCCTTACTGAATGGCCTGGCCGATCTTCTTGAACTCGGCGTCGGGCCCACAGATTGCAATGGCTGCATTCAACGCTTCCTCAGTCACCTGGTGGCCCCAACCACACACACGTGAGGGGATGGGATGAGATGGGATGGGATGGGATGGGATGGGATGGGATGGGATGGGATGGGATGGGATGGGATGGGATGGGATGGGATGGGATGGGTAGACATGGTGTGGTAAATTGATGCCAGGAGGAGAGTAAATACACATTATATTAGATTGGTATATGGAGAAGGGTGTACGAAGAGCGCAGCATGGGAATGTGCATGCAAGCATAGGAGCATGCACGCACAGCATCGGGACATTAGTCAAGAGCATGGAATGGAGCCAAACTATCAAGCAGCGCGGTCCTTGGCACAAAGAAAAGCAATGAAGCTTCTTTCTCCTTGCACCTCACACAGAGAATCAGTTTCCTGACCAATCAACCCCGTCAGCTTACCGTCAGTCAGAACACTCTCGCACATTCGCACGCACATCTCCTCCTCACCCCCCTCACCTCCTCACCCCCCTCACCTCCTCACCCCCCTCACCTCCTCACCCCCCTCACCTCCTCACCCCCCTCACCCCCACACCCCCCTCACCTCCACACCCCCCTCACCTCCACACCCCCCTCACCTCTACTAGTTTCTTGGCAGCTGTAGAGACGTTGCCGCAATAAAATGTCTTGGACGTGTCTCCGTGGTAACGCTATAGACAATAGGGCGAGCGGAGAGGGGACATGGAGGGAGGGAGTAACACGTGAAGGGCCATACAATGTGCCTTTGAGTGGTAACCCTGCAAGCGAGTCAGAGGGACAGGGATAGGGTAGGGTGAGTGAGAGCACGTGAGGAAGAGTGAGAGGTGGGGAAAAGTGCGAAGGGGAATGGAGAAAGGTTGTAGAGGGAGAGGGGGAGTGAGTGGAGAAGAGGAAAGGCGGGTCGGGTGGACAAGGGCGTGGGAAGGCTTACGGAGAGAGCGAGAGAGGGAGAGCGGGGTCAAGAGCGGGGAGGGTGGAGAGCTCACGTTAAGGTACACTGTGACGTCGATGTTGATAATGTCCCCATCCTGGTGGGGTGGGGTGGGGTGGTCACATTGCAGCACAGACGCATCAGAGAACACAAAAGCAGCACAGGGAACGAAAGGTTGGAGAGTTAAGGTACACAGTGGCTGGTGGGGCACTGACGAAGGCACACTGTGACGTCGATGTTGATTATGTCCCCATCCTGGTGGGGTGGCTGCCCACATTACAGCACAGAAGCACAAAAACAAGCAGAAGAGGAAAGAAATGGTCGGAGAGTTAAAGTACACTGTGACGTCGATGTTGATGATGCCCCCATCCTGGTGGGTGGCGGGTGAGGCATTGACAGGGACTTGAGAGAATTCTCAAAAGTAACACTCGTTGACCGACGTGCACACGGACTCGAATTGCAGGAGTGGGAGACGAGCTCTCCCCTGCGCTCCCTTCCCTTGTACCAGCACCGCACTCCTTCACGCAATACGTGCAGCCTGCTCTGCTCCTTACCTCCAGCGGGCGGGAGTCGGGGATGCCGTGGCAGGTGCATTTGTTCACAGACGTGCACACGGACTTGGGGAAGCCCGCGTAGTTGAGCGGCGAGGGGTATGCTCCTCCCAGCCAGCAATGCACTCCTTAGCCAGCAATGCACTCCTTAGCCAGCAATGCACTCCTTAGCATGACACATGCACGCCTGCGGTGGCCTGCTCACCTCCAGCGGGCGCGAGTCAGGAATGCCGTGGCAGATGCACTCGTTCACAGACGCGCACACGGACTTGGGGAAGCCCGCGTAGTTAACTTGACACATGCATGCCTACCTCCACAGTGGTGACCAGCTGAGCTTACCTCGAGAGGCCGCGAGTCAGGGATGCCGTGGCAGATGCACTCGTTGACTGACGTGCACACCGACTTGGGGAAGCCGGCGTAGTTGAGCGGCGAGGGGTATGCTCCCGCCTCAATGATCATCTCGTGCACCGCGCGGTCGATCTCGTCCGTTGTCACGCCGGGCTGAGGAAATGGGGCAGCAAGGACGAAAAGTGCACACGGAATGGGGCGAGGGGTATGCTCCCGCCTCAATGATCATCTCATGCACTGCTCGGTATGCTCCCGCCTCGATATCATCTCGTGCACTGCGCGGTCGATCTCGTCCGTTGTCACGCCGGGCTGGCGGGATGCAGATGGGGAGGAGATGGGGGTAGAACCGCACAGCGAGTGGGCATGGGGATGGTTGAGATGGGGGCCATGCGGTGCGGCCGCCTGGATGATCATCTCGTGCACTGCTCTGTCTATCTTGCCTGTCGCGACTGCATGCATGCTGTGGCGATTCCAAGCTGTGGGGATGGGAAAGGGCGGAGAAGACCGTTGAACATGCATTCACAAGTGTGCAAAACGCGCCCTCCCACCCGTCCACCCTTCCACCCAACCACCCACCCACCCACCCACCCACCCACCCACCCACCCACCCACCCACCCACCCACCCACCCACCCACCCACCCACCCACCCACCCACCCACCCACCCATGTCCACCTCCACCCATTCTCCCCACACACCTTCACCTGTGTGCCGAGTGATCCCTCACTCGCGAGAAATTGACCCACCTTGAACCTCAACCTCACACACACACACACATATATATACATATATATACTTATATTTTCTATATATATACAGATAGGTATTAATATCTAAAAAAGAATATACACATACATAACTGTATCGTACCCATCCCACCCACGCACCTTGACGAGTGTGCCGGCGTGGTCTCTGACTCGCGCTGCCAGCTGCCCCACCTCCCTCATGCGCCGCTGCCCTTCCTCCCCATGCACCTGCCACCCATTGCACCCACAACCCACAGCGAGGGGGTGGCAGAGCGGTGGTGGTGGCAGGAGTGAGTGTGGCAGAGAGACATTGCACGAGGGAGTGTGGCAGGCAGTGCTGCCATGCCCTGTGCGAGTGATGCCATGCCCTGTGCGAGTGATGCCATGCCCTGTGCGAGTGATGCCATGCCCTGTGCGAGTGATGCCATGCCCTGTGCGAGTGATGCCATGCCCTGTGCGAGTGATGCCATGCCCTGTGCGAGTGATGCCATGCCCTGTGCGAGTGATGCCATGCCCTGTGCGAGTGATGCCATGCCCTGTGCGAGTGATGCCATGCCCTGTGCGAGTGATGCCATGCCCTGTGCGAGTGATGCCATGCCCTGTGCGAGTGATGCCATGCCCTGTGCGAGTGATGCCATGCCCTGTGCGAGTGATGCCATGCCCTGTGCGAGTGATGCCATGCCCTGTGCGAGTGATGCCATGCCCTGTGCGAGTGATGCCATGCCCTGTGCGAGTGATGCCATGCCCTGTGCGAGTGATGACATGCCCTGTGCGAGTGATGCCATGCCCTGTGCGAGTGATGCCATGCCCTGTGCGAGTGATGCCATGCCCTGTGCGAGTGATGCCATGCCCTGTGCGAGTGATGCCATGCCCTGTGCGAGTGATGCCATGCCCTGTGCGAGTGATGCCATGCCCTGTGCGAGTGATGCCATGCCCTGTGCGAGTGATGCCATGCCCTGTGCGAGTGATGCCATGCCCTGTGCGAGTGATGCCATGCCCTGTGCGAGTGATGCCATGCCCTGTGCGAGTGATGCCATGCCCTGTGCGAGTGATGCCATGCCCTGTGCGAGTGATGCCATGCCCTGTGCGAGTGATGCCATGCCCTGTGCGAGTGAGTACACGCATGGCATCTCCTGCCTGCCAGTGCCAGCACTGTGTGGCGCCACCGCCACTGCCACGCCCACTGCCAGCAGCACAGAACCACTCTAAGCCACTCAGAAGGGTGGGTCGTAAAGCCACTCAGCCTTGGAGTGTGGGGTGGGGTGGGGAGGCACTGGCAGTGGGCAGCGCAGGAGGGAGCAGAGACATGTGCTGTGCCTCCATGCTCGCTCGCACCACACCACAACACGGCATGTACCTGCGGCTCCATGGTGAAGGGAGGGGCGACGCCGCTGTCAGCGTAGGGCGGGCGCGGGAAGTGGGGGGATGGGAGAGGCACACAAGCGCCTGCCCGCTGCCATTGGCCTGGAGCTAGCTACCACTCAGAACCACTAAAAGCCACTCAGAACCACTTCCCTCAGAACCGCTCATTCTCACTCTCGCACCTGTGCTGTGCCCCCATGCGCACACCTGCGGTTCCATGGTGAAGGGCGGGGAGATGCCGCTGTCAGCGTAGGGCGGGCGCGGGACATGGGGTGTTGGGAGAGGCACACAGGAGCCTCCCCGGAGTCCCCACTCGTTCTCACTCTCTCTCACTCACACCTAGGGTTCCATTCACACTACCTGTGGTTCCATGGTAAAGGGCGGGGAGATTCCGCTGTCAGCGTAGGGGGGACGCGGGATGTGGGGGGGCACTGCGCGCATGGGGGACAGCTTTCCGCGCTTCAGGGGGGCCTTGGGGCGCGCCTCTGCTGGCGGGCCTGACATGCTGGGGGGGGGGGGGAGAGGGGGGGGAGGAGGAGGGAGTGTGTGGGGCAGCAGTGTGAGGAGAAGCAGAGCAGCAGCAGTATCAGCGCCTGAGACGCTAGCGGGGAATCATGGGGGCCTTGGGGCGCGACGCGACTCCACTGGCGGGCCTGTCATGCTGGGGGGGAGGGGGTGGGGGGTGGGGAGGAGCAGAGCAGCACGAGTGTCTGTCAGCGCCTGAGACGCTGGCGGGGAATCAAGGAGGCCTTGGGGCGCGACTCCACTGGCGGGCCTGTCATGCTGGGGGGTGGCGCATGGGAGGGTGGGGAGTGGTAGCACCAGTGTCAGCGTAGGGGGTTGTCGGGGGTGCTGGGTGGGAGGGGGGAAGGGAAACAACAGCTTTTCACGCCTCAGGGGAGCCTTGGGGCGCGACTCCGCTGGCGGGCCTGACATGCTGTGGTGGGCGGGAGTGGTGTGGAGGGCGGGCGGGGGATTTGGGGCACTGCGCGCATGGGGGGCAGCTTTCCATGCCTCAGGGGGGCCTCCGCGACTCTGCTGGCGGGCCTGACATGCTGGGGGGGACGGAAAGGGCGGAAACGGGGAGCAGCACCAGTGGCGGCAGTGTTAGCGGGTGTGGGGGATACTGGGCGGAGCAGAGGATGGTGGGGGAAGGGGAGGTGATAGATAGCTGAGGGGAGGGGGTGGGATGCCAAGGGGGCGGATGCCAAGGGGGCGGATGCCAAGGGGCCGGATGCCCAGGGGGCGGATGCCCAGGGGGCGGATGCCCAGGGGGCGGATGCCCAGGGGGCGGATGCCCAGGGGGCGGATGGATTGGAAGGGGCTGAAGGAGACGTGGGCGGACGCAGAGAAGGGGGAGGGGAAGGGGAAACATTTTTAGCAGCAGAGGGGAGAGTGGGCGGGAACAGTGGGGGGACAGGTGGGTCCAGCAGGGGGGACAGCGGGTGGGAACGTGGGTGGCAGTTTTTGGTACTCACGGCGCCCCTCTGTTCGCCTCCCCTTTTGCAATGTCGCTTCCATGATTTCATCATCTACACTAATCCTCATCCCGATTCCCCACCCCTAAGCCCTATCCCTCCGCCCTCCCCCTCCACCCTCCCCCTTCTGCCCTACCCCTCCGCCCTAGCCCTCCGCGTACCCCTTGGACAGCAGCTGCGCGAAGCCGGACTTCTTGCGCGCCATGGCCACTGGCGCAACGGGCTTGCGCGTATGGGGGGAGGCTGGGGGAGGAGGGGAATGGGGAATGGAGGCGGAAGGAAGGGGGCGGCGGTGAATGGGAGGTGAGCAGAAAGACGATGAGCGAATTGCGCGAGATGGCGGATTGCGCGGGACGGTGGGAATTGCGCGAGATGGCGGATTGCGCGGGACCGCGGGAATTGCGCGAGATGGCGTGGCGGGACCCGCGTGGAAAGGAAGGGAAAGTGAGACATGCTAAAAGAAGACGAGGGAATTCCGACATCCGCGTCGAAAAAACGAGCGGCGCCGACGCCGACGAGGGGGGCATCCGCGTCGAGAGAACGAACGGGGAAGGAGCATTGAGAACCGTGCGGTGAAGACGGGGAGGTGGAGAGTACCCCCCTTGAAGTCACTTTTCAGCATTCACTGAAGCGACGCGGTCTACTCGAAGCATGGCAAACGCATCACCCTCTCTCTGCTTTCGGAACCCTAATTATCAATTCCTCCTCTGTGCTGCTGACAAGCTGTACTGGATATACCTTGAAACGCTGGAGCGGGAATGGACCCTTTGGCGAGTCTCGAATCGCTCCATAGCGAGGAATGCTGCCAGCCTAGATTCCCCGCGGAACCCGCTAAACCCTGCGAGGGCGCGAGACGCGAAGCCATCGCACGCGCAGCCATGGTTCCGGCGGTAAACGCGGGGCGCAGTGCGGCGCGCGATGACATAGAAAACGAAGGGGTCACGCTCGCCTCTATGTGGTCTTTGAGTCTCACAGGAAGCCGTAGTGCGTAGTGGAGTGAAGGCGGACGTGATCGCGGCGACGGCGGTTAGCAGGATGAAGTCGTCGCAGCATTCAAGGGCGACAACATTGGTTCGTGGCGACTCTCGTGATTGGGTTAAAGCCCGCGTCCCAAATTGCGGACCGCGAGGGTCAAACGTTACTCGGTGTTAGAAAGAACCAAAACGAACCACAAAGCAAGGAGGGATCCATGCTGTTCCTCTGTTGTCGTCGAGTCCGCCACCGGTTCTTCGCGCACGTCGCCCATTGTAACCCTCACTTGAGTTCCCGTTTCCAGCTTTCGCTTTCCTTCCCTCAGTCCCCCCTCAAGTGAACCTGATCCCCGGCAGTGCGAACCAGGTCTTCAGGTTTGGGGTTTTTTTCTGAGAGCCGAAAAATGAAGAACTTCGCGGAAGTCATGCAGCCGAACAAGGCCTTAAACTCGAACACTCGTTCGAGAAGTAGGGTGAATTGGGGTTTGGGTGCTCCTAAGATTTGTATGCTCCGAAACCTCGCGTATCCAAGCGATGCATGCGCGCAGACATGGCAGGTGACGGGATGACCTGTAGCGCTTCGATGCATGATGCATCCTCCTAGGCTCAATCAGTCCATCCGGGCCCTGGTGGATTCGAATCCACCAGGTCCCCCTCCTGGTGGAACCGAGTTCCCACCAGGGCCGCACGCGGATGCACTGCCTGTCGCGTTCCCCAGCTGGGAATTGCACGCGAGAGGGAGTCCCCCGCCCGCATGCAAGTCCCTAGCGAGATACGGGCGGCGGAGTCAGCTGGCGGGGTGGTCCCGCGCCGAGCCCGGGCCACGCCAGCGCCACGCAGTGTGGTCCCAGCCCCGCCCCCCCCGCCCCCCCCCCCCCCCCCCCCCCCCCCGGCCCAGCCCTGGCTCGCGAAACCCCTCGCGAAACCCCTCGCTCTCCAATCCGAGGGCGAGGGCCGAACCCCAGCGCGCCGAAACGGATCCGGCCAATCGGAGTCGTTTCCGATGGGCTTGTGGCCCGGGCAGGGGCCCAACGAAACAATTCGCACACCTGGCCGCTCGTGCGAAGCGTCGCCTGTGCGCGCCGGAACGAATCCGGCCAATCGGAGACGGATTCTTCCGGATCCCTGGTTCGCAAGCCCACCGCGAAATATTCTTCGCGCGTGCGAAGGGTAGCCAGTGTTCGCCCATAAATCATCCACAATTCAGGAGAGTGTTCACCCAACTTACTGTTGTTACACTTTTTTAATTAATCGCAAACCGTAAACGCGATTGAACGGTATACAGTCCTTCACATGACATTTCCCTTTATATCAAAATTCCCCCCACACTTATTTTGCGAATTAAAATCCCCCACACACTTTTCTTTCAAGTGACACGCGTGGTGCGTTTTGACAAGTCAATTAAACGCGATTTACATTTTTTTGCACGCGTTGTCAAACTTATATGGGTTACATTATCGTAGGCTACAGTGGGTTAGCCTTTAGGGGGATCACAATTCTAGGAAATCATATTTGTACCCTCACTTGTTTCTAGTCACACACTTCTTCTTTCTAACATGGTATTAAGAGCGTAGGTTTAGACCTAGGATCGCTTACCTAAGGGCCCACCGTTCCGCTAGAAGCGCCCTCGAGCGCCTTAATGTATTAGCGCCCTCGAGCGCCTCTCTCCTATTGCGCCCTCGTGCGCCTCTCTTTCTCCTGCTGCCCGTGCGCAGCTCGCTAGTGCCGCGCGCGGCCTTTTTTTTTAGCGCACGTAGCCCGCTAGCAGCCCGCGCGCAGCCTTTTCTGCGCGCGCGCCGACCGTTAGCCGCCCGCACGACCAGCGCCGCCCACGAGCAGCCCGCTAGCCGCCCGTCGACTGGCCCTCCTGGCCGTCCAGAGCGTAGCAGCCCCGCCCGTAGGCCGCCGCGTCACCCGTGTAGGCTGTCGCGTCACCCGTGTAGGCCGCCGCTGCAGCCCACCCACAGCCCGTGGACCCGCGCGTCGCCCTGCGGCCCCCCCCTCCCCGCACACCCGAGTTCGCTTACTGTACACCTGAGTTCGCTTCCCGCACACTTGTACACGCTTCGAGCACACCTGAGCTCGCTTACCGCACACTCAGGGTATGGGGGTGACGGGTATGGTGGTAGCGGGTGTGTGAGCCGTCCCCTGCTCCTCCTCCTCCGTCTCCTACTACTGCTACTGCTTTTACTGCTCCTGCTGCTACTGCTGTTACTGCCGCTACTGCTGCTACTGCTGCTCCTGGCGTGGCCAGATGCAGCTCCACGGCCGTCCGCGTGTGTCCCTCACGCCCCAGCAGCTTCGTGAGTGGTACGCCAGTTGGGGTTGTCGGGGTGGCCGTAGTGGGAGTCGTCCCGGAGTGGGTAGTTCGGGAACTTCTTGTAGTGGCCCGGTGCAGCAGCAGCGTCGTCCGCGCGACCCTCTTTCGCCCCAGCAGTTTCGTGAGTGGTACGCTCAGAGTGGAGGGTCGCTGAGTACTGCTCGCTGCCCGTACGTTATTAGCACGGGTGCCTGGACTGGTCAGCCTTGCGGGACGCGTGGTCACACAGAGTCCCACTGCTTCGCCCGTCTGAGCGACGCTTGGCGTACAGAGTTTGGCGACGACGCTGAGCTCCCCGACTGGATGGAGCTGCTTAGGCAGAGGGTAGATATCTATGCTCTTGACTATGATGCTATCCTCACTGCCATGTATGCATTGTCTACTAGTGCTGAGAGTGCCTGTCACCTGTGTGTGTCGCCTGACCCCGGTATCCAGTCTGCTGCTCTAGGTACTGGTGAGGCTGCCGCTCTAGGTACTAGTGTGTCTGTTGCCCCAGGTGCTGGTGAGGCTGCTGCTCTAGGTACTCGTGAGTGTGCGCCCTCTGGTACTGCGTCTATTGAGGCACTGCACACCTTCACACTGGACTCAGGCGCTTCCCGCTGTTTCTTTCGTGACCGCACTGCCCTTGAGCAGCTTGCTCGGCCGGTTGCAGTCTCCCTCGCTGACCCCTCTGGGGGTCCGGTCATTGCGACCTCCTCCACTGTTCTCCCTTGTCCTGCGGTCCCGTCGGGCACACTGTCAGGTCTCTACCTCCCCTCGTTCTCTACGAACTTGGTGGCGGGTAGTGCGCTCCAGGACGGGGGTGTCCACCAGTTCACCCCTGCCTACGAGCGCGTGACACACTGCACGTGTGCTCGGACGGGTCGCCACCTGGCTACCTTCACTCGGTTGCCGGGGTCGGACCTGTACACACTGACCACTGAGTCCCCTCAGGTAGCTGCGTCTGCGTCTGCGTCAGGTCAGCTGTCGGCCCCCTGCTCGTGTCGCTCCTTGGCGCACGAGACCGTCCTCTGGCACCACCGCCTTGGTCACCCGTCAGTGCAGCACCTTCGTGGCATGCACTTCCGGTACCTTGTCTCTGGTCTTCCCAGGGTTCTCCCTCCCCTCCCACCCTCGCCTGCTCCTCCTTGTCTTCCCTGTGTCGAGGGGCGGCAGCGCGCCGCTCCTCACTCCTCCTCGTTTCCCCCGACGACTGCTCCCCTGCAGACGCTCCACATGGACGTGTGGGGCCCAGCCCGCGTCCGTGGACAGGGTCACGAGAGGTACTTCTTGATAGTTGTTGACGACTACTCGCGCTACACCACGGTCTTCCCCTTGCGCACCAAGGGTGAAGTCCCTGATGTTTTGATCCCCTGGATCCGCGCTGCCCGTCTCCAGCTCTACGAGAGGTTCCACTCGGACTTTCCTGTCCTGCGTCTGCACTCTGACAGAGGTGGGGAGTTTTCCTCCGACCTCTTGAGGGCCTTCTGTCAGGGGGAGGGCATTGAGCAGTCGTTCACGCTTCCGGCCTCTCCACAGCAGAATGGGGTTGCTGAGCGCCGCATTGGCTTGGTCATGGAGGTCGCTCGTACCTCCTTGATCCATGCGGCTGCCCCCCACTTTCTGTGGCCGTTTGCGGTCCGGTACGCTGCGCATCAGCTCAACCTCTGGCCCCGTGTCTCCTTGCCGGAGACCTCGCCCACACTGCTGTGGACGGGGAAGGTTGGCGATGCGTCGCGTTTCCGGGTCTGGGGATCTCGAGCTTTTGTCCGCGATACGTCCGCGGACAAGCTCTCCTCCCGCGCTGTTCCTTGTGTCTTCCTTGGCTTTGTCCCGGACGCGTCTGGTTGGCAGTTTTACCACGCCACCTCGCGCCGTGTCCTGCCCTCTCAGGACGTCACTTTTGACGAGTCGGTGCCCTACTACCGCCTCTTCCCCTACCGCACTGCCCCGCTCCCCCCCCCGCCTCTTTTCCTCGCGCCAGGTGCTGCTGTGGTAGACCCCCTCCCCCCTCAGGGTGCCGCTCCCTCAGGTGTGTCCCAGGTAGACCCGGTTGAGCCTGTCGAGGTAGCTGTCGACTCTCATCCTGCTCGGGGTGCTGAGCCTGAGCGTTGCGGAGTCTGGGGGTGCGGAGCCTGCGGGTGCTGCTGCTGGAGGTGCTGCTGGTGCTGCTGGAGCTGCTGGAGGTGCTGCTGGTACTGGTGCTGCTGGTGCTGGTCCTGCTGGAGCTGCTGGAGCTGCTGGAGGCACTGCTGCTACTGGCGGTGCTGCTGGAGGTGCTGCTGGCGCTGCTGGAGGTGCTGCTGGTGCTGGTGCTGCTGGAGCTGCTGGAGGTGCTGCTGGTACTGGTGCTGCTGGTGCTGGTGCTGCTGGAGCTGCTGGAGGTGCTGCTGGTGCTGCTGGAGGTGCTGCTGGTACTGGTGCTGCTGGTGCTGTGCTGCTGGAGCTGCTGGAGGTGCTACTGGAGCTGCTGGAGGTGCTGCTGGTACTGGTGCTGCTGGTGCTGCTGGTACTGGTGCTGCTGGTGCTAGTACTGCTGGAGCTGCTGGAGGTGCTGCTGGTGCTGGAGCTGCTGGAGGCACTGCTGCTGCTGGCGGTGCTGCTGGAGCTGCAGGAGGTGCTGGAGCTGCTGGAGCTGCTGGTCCTGGAGGTGCTCGTACTGGAGGTTCTGGAGCTGCTGGGACTGGAGCTGCTGAGGGGGTTGGAGCTGGAGTTGCTGAGCGGCCGCGGCCGTACTACGTTCCGCTCCTTCAGCAGGTTCTTGGTCTCCCGCCCTCTACTGGTCCTACTCCTCCCCTACTGAGTCCACCGCCTGTCCAGTCACAGTCACAGTTACAGCCTGCCTCTCCGCTGCCTGGTCCTTCTCCTTACACTGCGCCGACGGGTAGTCTTACTGAGCGTCGTGAGCCTGAGTCTCGTCCTCCGTCGCCCGAGTCTCGTCCAGAGTCGCCTGTGTCGCGTCCAGAGTCGCCTGTCCGGGCTGTCCGCGCTGGTCGTCGTGCTCTGCGTGAGCGTCCTCCTCCTGTCCTTGGCACTCACTATATGACTCTGCGTCCTTCCACTGCTCCACAGCGCGTCCCTCTGCCGTCTCCTCCTGCGTCCTCTCTTCCTGACGTTGCTGACCCGCCGTCAGACCTTACTCGTGCCGCCAGTCCTACTGTCGCGCGTCTCCTTGCCACTGTTGTCACTGACCCTACCTTTGAGTCCTCTGCTGCGTCTGCTCTAGTCGCTGAGCTTGTTGACTTTGCTGCCGCCTGTCGTCTAGACTACGCCGCTAGCCTTGTTGCTGAGTCTGAGTCTGTCTGTCTTCCGTCCGTCGGGGGTGAGTGTGCTCTTGGCACGGACGTCCTTGAGGACAGACAGGAGGAGTTTGAGTGCTTTGCTGCTGCTTTACCTCATCTCGTGTCCATGTTGATTGCCCCTGAGGGAGACCCGGATGCACCAGACATCCCGACCCCACGCTCCTACGCAGAGGCGATGGAGGGTCTCTACTCCTCTCAGTGGCAGACAGCCATGGACGCAGAGATGGCTTCCTGGAAGTCCACAGGCACCTACGTCGACAAGGTTCCCCCACATGGGGCGAACATCGTCAGTGGCATGTGGATTTTCAGGGTGAAGCGGCCGCCGGGTTCTCCGCCTGTCTTCAAGGCGCGTTACGTTGCACGAGGCTTCAGTCAGCGAGAGGGAGTTGACTTCTTCCAGACCTTCTCCCCGACCCCGAAGATGACCACTCTTCGGGTTCTGCTGCACGTCGCTGCTCAGCGTGACTACGAGCTCCACTGCCTTGACTTCAGCACTGCGTTCCTACAGGGCACCCTGCACGAGGAGATCTGGCTGCGCCGCCCACCTGGCTTCACTGGGTCGTTCCCTCCTGGTACCCAGTGGAGCCTCCGTCGGCCAGTCTACGGTCTCCGCCAGGCACCTCGTGAGTGGCACGACACACTGAGGACTACTCTTGCTGCTCTTGGGTTTGCTCCTTCTACTGCTGACCCGTCGCTGTTTCTACGCACCGACACCACTCTGCCGCCGTTCTACATTCTCGTGTACGTAGACGACTTGGTCTTTGCTACTGCTGACACTGAGGCACTCGCCCACGTGAAGTCGGAGCTGCAGAAGAGACACACGTGCACAGATCTGGGTGAGCTGACAAGCTATCTTGGCTTGCGGATCACCCGGGACAGAGCACAGCGCACCATCACCTTGACTCAGTCACACATGGTGCAGCAGGTCCTTCAGCGCTTCCGCTTCACGTACTCCTCGCCTCAGCCCACTCCTCTGCCTACCGGTCACTCTCTCTCAGCTCTGCCTTCGGATGAGTCCGTAGAGCCGAGTGGCCCGTATCCAGAGCTTGTGGGCTGCCTCATGTACCTGATGACCTGCACTCGACCTGACCTAGCCTACCCTCTTAGCATCCTAGCACGCTATGTCGCTCCTGGCCGTCACCGGAAGGAGCACATGGATGCCGCTAAGAGGGTGTTGCGCTACTTGTGCAGTACGTCGGGCATGGGGCTTGTGCTTGGAGGACGGCGCGACGTTGTCCTCACTGGACACTCAGACGCTTCTTGGGCTGACGACCAGGCTACTCAGCGGTCGTCTCAGGGTTACACCTTCAGCCTTGGCTCTGGCTCAGTTTCTTGGCGTTCTACACGCTCTTCCTCTGTTCTCAGCTCCAGTTGTGAGGCTGAGATCTACGCCACAGCCATGGCTGCCCAGGAGCTTCGCTGGCTCACCTACCTGCTGACCGACCTGGGAGAGCGGCCTCGTTCTCCTCCAGTGCTGTACGTCGACAACAAGGCAGCCCTTGCCTTGTGTCAGGAGCACAGACTGGAGCACAGAACGAAGCACATCGCTCTGCGTTACTTCCTTGCTCGAGAGCTGCAGCAGCGTGGTCAGCTTCGTCTTTCGTACGTGGTCACTCGGGCCAACACTGCTGATGTGTTCACCAAGGCGCTTCCGCCTTGTGATCATCAGCGTTTCTGTACTGTTCTAGGCCTTGTGCCTACTCTCCCTCACTTGCTCACTTCTTGACTCTGCTTGTACTGTGATCTCTATATATATACCTGCATGCTTACACTTGCTAGGTTGTGATCACTGTACCTCTTGTTATATTATCAAACTGCATGTGAACTGGTCTTGTGACCACTTGCTTGTGCTCGGAATTTGTGTGGTATCCTTGAGATCCACCCTGAGCTTGTTTTGTTTTGCTTTGCTTTGACTGGTCTTGTGACCCCTTGTTCTCCCCCACTTTGCCTATGGGGGTGTGTCAAACTTATATGGGTTACATTATCGTAGGCTACAGTGGGTTAGCCTTTAGGGGGTTCACAATTCTAGGAAATCATATTTGTACCCTCACTTGTTTCTAGTCACACACTTCTTCTTTCTAACACGCGTGTAGTGTATTATTCGTTTGTGTAAAAAGTGGTAGTTTCAGATAGTTACCCTGCTTTTTGGCGAACGCCTCGAGGAATACACCCCGCCCGATGTGATAACCGTCGCCCCTTGCATGCAGTCCGCGTTCGGAGTGCTACATGGCGGGACGTGGTTCCACCCGCATGCATGGACGGGAACGCACCCACGTCGGGATGTCCGAAGGGGCGCGCGGGTTCCTCCCCACCACGCGCAGTGCCCCCCCCCCCTGTCTGTTGCTCGCGCTGCCCCCATCCAGGATGCGACCCGCCCCCTATTAGGCCCTTGCAACAGGGTTTCACTTGCTCATTTTCCCTTTCTCACTTTGGTCCCCTTCCTTTTGTCATCCTGCTAGTCCTCTCCGCCTTCCTCTCGGTGCGAGCGCTTTTTCGAGCTGTAGCGTTTGTGGTCGCGTTCGCGTTTAGGTAGAGGGCCTAAACTCGTAGGGGTATCGCGTGCCCGCTTATCCTCGTTTGCACGCGTTCTGCCCCCGCCATGGCCGGTCGCGAACTGAAGGCGCTGTTGAACAGTGGCGAGCAGGGCGCTACTTACACTGCTACGATCTCGATCGCTGGCGCCACTGTGGAGCTCCCCCCCGAGCAGAGGAAGTGCTTCTCCGATGATAAGCATCCTTTCACCGCGACCTCCTTCGACTTTCTCGCGTGGTAAGTCTACCTTGGGATGGATGGATGGTTTAGGACGCCTTTTTGGGTCGCATCGCGGCTTTGTGCGGCTTGTTTAGGACGTCCACATGGGTCGCATCGCGGTCGCGTGCATCGCGTTCGCTTCACAAATTCGCCAGCTAGAAAAAAACCGTCCGAGCCATCATCTGACCCCTTGCTTCCGTTCGCGAGACCATTGATTCCCTTCGGGCTCGTTTCCACATACATCGCGACTACTGTTCCATGTACTGGCTTATCTAGTTACGCCCGCATAACACCCTGACCGCGATGATTATGTGGCCATATGTTCTCTCGTTTCCCGTACAGCGTTGTAGTTCGGAAGTGCGTGTCCCCGTCGCTCCAGGAGGCGATACAGGTGGTGCCCTCCAATGTTGTCGCGGACATCGTCGCGGGTGGTGAGGCCGCGCACGTGGTGTTTGATGGTCTGCTTGGATGTAAGCTGGTCGCGTTCTGCATCTGGCCCGGGTGAGTACAGCGGGACTAGTTGTGGGCTGGTTGTGCTTTGCGTACGGGTTTGCCGATGAGTGCTGAGGCGAGTCGTTTTGTGTCATATTATCATGTCAGGGAAATGACTGACAAGAAGGCCTCCAACGTGGGCATGTTGCTGCTTTTGCGACCGGACCACCTGGGGCTTGACGCGACATCACCCTGGAAAACTCGCTTTGTCCGCGTCTGTCACCCCACTGCCGCGGCCGAGCATCTTACCGCGATAGACAAGATTGTCAAGTAAGTCTGTACTAGCAGTGCTATTCTTCCGCTTTGGTTGCTACTACTATTCTTCCCTGTCTGAGAGATATCATTTGAACCGTGCAGGTGGTTTCACGGTCGCGTTTGCCTCTATTACGGGAGCGTTTCGGTCCAGTGCGACCGCGCTGGGAAGCTGGGAGATCCGTCGCGCCTCGTGGACCTGGTGAGTATGTGGAATGTCGCGTTTGTTTTGGTCGCGTTTGTTATGTCGCAGAGCCTAAACTCTACACGCCATCTTCACGGCTTCCTTTTCAGGATATTTCTTCCTGGAAGGCCCCTTGCGGTCCACTCGCATGTGCGTACGTGTTCGACAGAGTACTCAACGACCTCGATGCGGTTGTTGGACACGACCCTGCGCCTCGCATCGCCAAGCCAATTGCCAGTACGCTGACCACATTGCGGCAGGATGCGAAACGCGCCGCGGAGGAGCTCGCGTTCAGGTCCAGGTGCGGGATCGCGGACGGCCATGGGGGGGATGCTCACGGCAATGAACGTGTGAGGTCGCACGAACAGCCGGCGGGATCACATGTTTCGGGTCGCGATGCACCCGCACTCAATACAGCTCTTGCGCTCGCGAACGCAGGGGAGGGGGAGCAAGGGGAGGGGGAGCAGGAGAAACCGGACAAGGAGGAGGGATCGAGCTCTGACCGCGACGAGGACGCCCCTGTGAACGCGCCGCAGGGTTTGCGTGCCAAGAACGCGCAGGAGGAGGCAGACGAGGCAGAGGGACAGGGTCGCGGAGAGGACGAAGGGGATGCTGCGGAGGATGACCAGTGCGGTGATTTGGAGCTGGAGGCTTCGGAAGAAATGGAGGGGGAAGAGGATGAGGAAGAGGAGGAAGAGGTGGAGGAAGTCGCGGCCAACAATGCCGGGCGGGCGGCGAGCGCGGTCGCGGGTGCAGGGAAGAGTATTCGCGGTCTGCAGGCGGTGCTGTCCCCCCGTCACGGTAGCGCGACCCCGTCAACAGAGTATGCGGGCAAGAGTCCTGTCGCGGGCAAGCGTAAACACTCGGAGCTGGTGAAGATGGATCATGCTAAGCTGGCCGCGGAGATCCTCCGATTGGACGAGCAGGTGAAAAATCAGAAGCGCAAGCTGGACGAGCTCGTGTCCGCAAAGCCCGGTACAGAACACGCGGTGGTGATCACGCAGAGCTACGACGGGCTCGTGGCCACGGTAGAGAAGGCGCTGCTTCACGTGCGGAACACGGAACGGGTGATACGCAGGGAAGCCCAGCTGGCCGGGAAGGACAGGGAGGAGAACCGCGACATGCGGGAGGTGCTGAAACGCGCTGCTGTCCGCTTGGAAGATTGCGCGGCTAGCATGAAGGGGGTGGTCGTGGACTCCATGGAGAACGCCCAGAAGAAGCTGACGGACGAGGTCGCACGTAAGATCGACGGCGCGTCATCCATTATCGCGGGAACCGCCGAGAAAGCGATCACCACAAGCGGCGTCACCAACTCTCTCAACATCATCATCGCGATGCTTTCCGGTCGCGACGCTCTGCGACAAGTCACTGATGGGCCGCAGGGGAAGGTGTCTGACGAGGTCGCGGAGAAGGATGCAGGGAAGAGGGTCGCGGAGAAAGAAACGGGGAAGAAGGAGACAGGGAAGAAGGCCGCGGACAAGGAGACAGGTAAGAGGGTCGCGGACACAGTGAAGGGTGAGAGCAGCAGGGGAGGGAAGCGGCAGAAAGGTCCCGCGGCGACTAGCGTCAGCGATCTCCTTAAGAAGGGGGGCGCGGTCGTCGTGCACTGCGGGGGAACCACCATGCGGGATGCGGCTGCGGGACCACCGCATGCCACCTCGGAATTGGAAGCTGGTAAAGGCAAGGCCAAGGTCGAGGACGCCCCGCCCACCACCACCCCCACCACCACCGCCATCACCAACGCGATAGTGCCCGCGGCAGGCAACACCGCCGCGGTCGTGCATGGACAGCCTGGACCCAGCTCCATCGCCCCTGCAATCCCCCCCTCTGCAGATGTAAAGGCGAAGAATCAGGTCCGCGGTGGTTGTAAGCCGCCTCCAACCGCGTTGAAGGCGGACCACGAGGACGACGACGACTCGGACGCGGACGATGAGGTTGAGCTGGTGCTGCAGAGGTTCATGGGGCCAAGCGACACCAGCGGCACTAGCGGCAAGCGCAAGGGCTGTGGTATCCGCCCTCCGCCCAGGGGAGGAGAGGGGATGGTGGGCGAACCGTGGCTGGGGGGAGACGTCGCTGGCTGGGACATCACTCCTACCAAGAGGTGCAGTACCTGACCGCGATCGCGGTCATGTGTTACGACAAGAAGATAGACCCCGGGCTCAAGCTGAATGCGCAGCAGAAGAGTGAGTGGGCCGAGGACATCTCCGCGGCCGGGACGATGTGTACCGGGCTATTCACCACCATGCACCTCCGCAACCTTTGCGGCAATGTTGACAGGTACGGCCGTGTGATCAAACATTTCTTCCCCCAGGATGACACGAACGCGGTCACTCTCGAGCCTAACCATGTCGCGTGTTTCCCCATGCATGCAGATACCACCACATGTTCAAGGCCTACCGCGACCTCACCCGCCCCGGTTCCACCCTCGGCAACGCGGTCGCTTGGGCAGCAGCGGTGGGGAAGGAGGCTGCAGATGAGGAGCCCGATGTCACCAGCGCCCAAGAGGGCCTGTTTGCTGGCGCGGTCGCGTGCGCCATAGCGATGGTGTGGGAGACCTGCAACGGTCTCGATCTCGAGGGTATCGTGGATGCTGGATACGTCGCGGCGCAGAGTGCTGGCACTCCAGAAGAAAAGGCCCGCGCGTACGTCTCGATCGTTATCGCGGTTTTCAAGTGGGCCAGGAAGGAGAGTGCTCGCACGCAATCCCCCGAGGTCACACCGAAACAGGTCGCGGAGAAGATAGAGACCGCGGTCGTGAACCGCCTTGGTGCGCGACTTGGGGACCCCACACTGGTCGCTATGGTCGCGCACGAGGCAGTTGACGTGCTGATGAGCTGGAGCGACTGCAAGATCGCGGTCAAGTCCATGGAGGCGAACGGGCTCTATCTTGCTATGCCCGACAAGCGTCTGTCCGCGAAGAAGAGGTCCGCGTGAATTGTTGTGTGAACTCTTGTTGTTAGGGACACTTGTGGTCGCATGAGACTATTGATAGTATAGGTAGCCTGCCCACCCAGCTTGAGGATGTCTCGCGGTGGTCATTCTGTCTATGCTGTGTACTCCCTTCCCTTCTTTGCCATTAAACTCTTTTGCTACACATGCCACCTCCTTCCGAGCGCACAACGTATGCATGTAAATCTCTGCATGCAATGACCTGGAAGCTTACCACCCTTTAGGCACAGACATTACTCTGATAGCGAACAAGGGCAAATGAGTACAATTAGATACAACGCGACCGTGGTCAAACGCGATACACCATATCATGGGAGCCAACCATACTACATACACACTTTGATCGCGATACAATCAGTATCCGTCAGCATCCTCATGCAACCAAAACATTAGGAAGACTATAGTGTACTCAAATGCAAACAATCGCGATCTACACACTCTCTGTCACCCAACGCGACAAACCAAGGATTTCATCCATTTATTCTAGCGGTGGCATCTGTGCACAGTACTGAGGCCACGCGACCGTGAACTCAGACGCGGGAAGCGAGGCATCGACGAGGCGGTCGCGTACAAGCATCCATTTCACACGCAACTGCACCTCCACCAGAGTACCCTTCTTGAGCTGGCTCAGGTCCAAGTCAACACTCTTCTTCTTTACCGCGATCCCTTCCGATACACCCAACATGCCCACAGCAGCTGACACGAGGTCGAGCTTGTCGAGCACTACCGCGATGTTGTCTCCTTGCTCCACCCTGTGGGCGATGAAGTTCATGAGTCGCTTGACACGGTTTATCGCGTTCTGGCCGCCTCCCTCCTCCCCAATGAGCGCGACCAATCGTGTAACTGCGCCGCGGGGCTGGGCCAAAAGCGATTCTGGACTCTCGCGGATCAGCGGGTGCGTGGTCTTGTACAGCTTCCATCCGTCTGACGGCTTGGACGCGTTGACCCCTGGGAGCACGATCGCGTTCCGAATAGTCTGTTCCCTGGTCGGCGGTGCGGGTTTCTTCCGCGTCCCCTGGTCGGTGGGAGTGGTGGCATTGGTAGGCGCGGCTGCGGCTCCAGGAGTGTTTGCCGGACTCGGATCCGCGGTCGGCCCTGTGCTGCTCACGGTGAGACGCGACAGCTGGGCCTCCAAATCATTCACGCGCTCGTCCTTTGCGGCCAGCCTTCGGTCGCGATCCTCCAACTGACCCTCTAGCTCTGTCACCCGTTTCTGAGTCGCGACCAACTCTAGGCCCAGCCTTGTGTTGTCTGCCTGCGAACGGGTCAGGTACTCTGTGAGGACGGTCACTGTGTTCTGCGCGTCCATCCTGGTACTGACCTCCTGCATAGACAGAACGCGACCGCGAGCATGTGATGGTTTGGCATGGACATTACAGCCGAATGATTAACGCGACCATGCAGTACTCACCGCGCCCTGGGTCAGTGTAGGTGTGTTACGCTGTACTATGGCCAGTTGATTTGCCAAGGAGACATCTGCGGCCCACCGCGCAAATTCCTCCGTCTGGCAGAGCGGGTTGTTGACCACATACGGGTGTCGCGGCTGGTGAATGTAGTACATGGCCAGGTCTTGCGCGACCGCCATCCTAGCCCCCCCATCCAGCTCCTTCAGTATGTTTAGACCCGCGGTGTCCTGTTTCTCCGCCTTGTCCTCTTTGACCATCTTCCGGTTGTAATCCTTGCACTGTAATCCAACACAACAACGCGTTAGTGAACGCGGTGGCCGAGGGTTATGTTGAATGCTCGCGGTCATTAACAGGTATGGTGCGCGACCCACACATACCTGTTTCTGTCCTTTGTCCGGGGCGGCCCAGGGAAAAATGTGCTTCCTCAGTAGTTTATCCAGCTCCTCGCTCACCGGAACAGTTGCGCGACCCAGGAAGTAGTCACCGTCAACCCCTGTGAAGCCAGCCTTCAGCAGCACGGCCTCCCTCGGAATAGTTGTGAGGTAGTGCTTAGTCATCACGTCGATGAAGCGCCAACCGCCCAGTCTCGCCAGCTGATCCGAGGGCATTCCGTCCGCGGACGCGTGCTGCGCCCCACCAGCCCTGGTCGCGTGAACCACACGCGAGCAAGTAATTCCCGCGTCATCCAGGATCTTCGCCGCCCAGTCGTGATGAGTCGTTGGCGGTATTTGCTTCTCGGTGCCTGCGCGCAGGGGGAAGAAGAGGTACTGGTCGTACCACGTCGAGGGTTCCGTGAAGTCAAGAGGGGGGGCTATGTCCCCGTAGAGGTGGGGAACCAAGTCATACACCCAGTGCAGCCACAGCAGCGTGGCTCCGACCGCGCACAGCGTCCAATCTATGTGTCTCACTGCTGAGATGTAGTTGAGCGAGAAATCCTTGTTTGTCTTGCCCGTCCTGCACGCGCAGACGAACATGAACGCGTTCCTCACTGGATCAGTCTCAGATTTTGCGCCGAGCTTCCACATCATCATGTCTGGAAGCTGCAGGTTTCTGATCGTGCACCCGCGGGCGAGAGTGTGATGACCGAGCACGGTCATCGTCCGGATGCAGAGGTCGCGATGCAGTGCCTGCGTATAGGATTGCTTGGCTAGTGTGAAGCTGCTCAAGATGGCGGCCATGCTGGTCTTCCGCATCATGTGCTTGAACTCGTCCGGGGTGTACGTGTCCGCCGCCGTGCCCCGATGGCGATCCATGTGTTCCCTGCGCAACAAGTTGGACAATTGTGCCAGTGTTAGTGGACGCGCTTTGTTGGACGTTGAACGCGGTGCATGGGTGCTGATACTTACGAGATAAACCGCTTGTACTGGTCGCGTACTTGAACGCGGACCCAGGTGCGACACTCCGCAAAGTCGCGCAGCAGGTTCAGAACGGGTTTCCGGAAGATGGCCCCATCCAGCTTGATGAGCAGGTTCAGAGCCTTGAGACGCCCCATCAGCATTGCAGGGGTGCACTGGCGTCTCTTCTTCAATGTTTTGTCGGGCCGTTTGAGTGTTGCCATCCTGTCCGCCTGTGCGACCGTCTCGTTCGCGAGGAAGGTCACGTATTTGCGTAAGCGCCACGGATTCGTTTCAGGGCCGTGGAACCACTGCTCGTCGCCCCTCGCCATCTTCCAACTACCACCCATGTTCTGTTCGAGCGCGGCCCCGATCTCGTCTGGGTTCGCGTTTTTCAACGCGGCCTCCTCCCCGAACCTACCCTCGTCCAGTTTCGGCAGCTCGTGCGCCATGAACCGCTTGTACTCGTTCGCCCAACCGCGACACTTTTTCAGCGTGGCCTCGGAGAGACCGTAGAGGATTCCCATGCACATCTCTCTTTTCGCGGCAGGTGTGTCGTCCACACCTAGCCGGTTCCAATCCGCGATCGGGACCTCGTTGTCCGTCAGCGTTCCCATCACCCGTTCCCTGTCTTCCGCCTCCTCTTCATGGAGCGCGGACAACGAGTTAGCTAGGTAGTTCTCGTCATCGTCATTCCACCCGTCGCCGCTGTCGCTGTCATCATCATCGTCGTCGTCGTCCACGTCGCTCGGCCCCCCGCCCCCCTCCCCGGTTCCGTTGCGCTCGGTGTGCGGCACTACATCAACTCTCCGCCTCCTAATACGCGGCCTATGAACGGGCTGGTTCGCGGAACCGCCGTTCGCGTTACTACCGTTCCTTCGCACGCCGGTTCCAGTCCCACCAGGAGCGCTGCCCCCGTTAGCACTCCCACCGGCCCCTCTCCCACTGGCCCCTCTTCCCCGGGCACCTCTCCCACCGTGTCCTCTCGCACCTTTCCCTCTCCCCGCGGTCCCACCCCCCGCGTTCCCTCTACCCGCGTTCTCTCTCGCGCCGGCCCCCCTCCCCGCGGTCCCACCCCCCGCGTTCCCTCTACCCGCGTTCCCTCTCGAACCGGTCCCTCTACCCGCGTTCCCTCTCGCACCGGTCCCTCTCCCCACGTTCCCTCTCGCGCCGGTCCCTCTCCCCGCGTTCATCGCGTTCGACTGTGGTTGCATACCTCTACCGGTGGCGTTCGCGGTAGTTGGTTGCGCGGGGGTGCTGATGTGGACGTCCGGGTTCCCTGGCAACAGCGAGTTCACGTTCCATATCGGAGGCGATTGTGCACGCGCGGTTGCATTCATCCCCGCTTCACCAGTCACCGCACGTCCTATCTCCTCCGCACCCGCGATAGTTGTCGGGCCGTCCGGTCGCGCGTGTGTGTCCACACCGTTCTCCGATGGATGTATACGGTCTGGAGGCCCCGTTGTTGGGATATCCGCGTGAATCGCGTTAGGAAACGGGGTCGCGGGGGCGACCGGAGGCGTCGCGACATTTGCGGGTGCGTGCACCACGGGGTCTGGCTGAACGCCGATGTACCCGTACCTGAACCCGTAATTCGCATATTGCGGCCCGACGTAGCCCCGTACGGGCATCCCAAAGGGCTGGCTTGTGTGCCCGGACGCCGGGGACGAGTTGTGTCTGTCAGTCTGTGTTCCGGGGTGAGGCGTGAATACTCCGTGCGTGCACTGGTCATCCCGTTGAGTCTGAAACGCGAACGAGGCAGAAGCAAGTGGAATCTGTGAGCGTGGTGCGAGGTGAATCCCGTTGATCAGTTGCTGTGGGTAGAACGCGGGCAATCGCGACCCAAAAACTACAGGCACGTAGGGGGTGCTCCAGGTGGGATTGAGCGCGGGCATGCCTGGCACTGGAGCGCTAGCTGCTTCCGCAATGTGCATTATCGGCGCGGGCGTACTGCCAGAGGCATTATGGGAGTCGTGAATTAGCGTCGTCGCGACGCAATTAACAGTATGCATGCACCGTACGCGACTACCCCTACTCCTACCTAACGCATGCGTCAACATGATGCGAGGTCGCGTGTGTTATCGGTTCGTGAGTAGCATCGCGGCCAGGGAGCCCACTAACACTGAAGCGCGGCCCAACTAGTGACCGCGACACAAGATGCCCGTTTCCCGCCTAAGTCATCTGGAATCCTGGGTTCAAGAGAGGGCGTAGCTTGGTGTGCAACTAGCGAGCGTCAAGCGCTATTGTGGCCATGCTGGGTGTAATGACCGGCCACGGCAAAGACGTGCTTGACACGTCTCCGCGTTCGCGTCTCGACCAAACAGCAACACCTGTGTGTGGCGCTCAATTTGCAGCACGTGTCAGCCAGCATGGTGCCTGTCAGATCGCGCCAGGTGTCTCAGAACCAACAATCGCACCGCGCTCACCAAACCTAACCTTGAGCGATTTTTGTTCGCGAAATGTTTCGAGGCATCTTGGCCAATCACGACACTCCGTGTGTTTCGCGAACGCGCATTTCCATGCGCGCGGATTCCCTCTTGACTGTGATCCGACCAATCGCGTGCGCTGTTTACCGAGTCGCGCATGCATTGGCGCGTAAGAACGAGGTGGTTCTTTCGGTTTTTCGCCAGTCGCGGAGCTTTCGGTGGCAGCCTGGTGGGTTTCACTGAGCCACGCAGGGCCGCGCAAGGTCCAAAACTGGTGGGATCCTGGTGGGCCGACTTCGCCCCACGCGTCCCCCGATTTCTCCGCGCCCCGTACATCCCCAGGCGTGGGCGGGGTTTTTCCCGAGCCGCGCCGTTACCAAGCCATTCGCCAAGAAATCACTCGATTTCGAACGCCGGAGACATCATCACGGCATGCTATGCGACCTCAAGCATGCAGCGGGGCGCGAGACAGAGGCTTGTCACGCCCCTTGTCACGCCTACCCTCCGCGGTGCGCGTTTCACGCTTAGTCAAACCCCCGCTGCCTGCACTCTCGGCGTCTCTCCCCGTTCACACCTCGTTTCTTCTACGCGAGTTGTCGAGAAAATTCCTTACTACACTCCCCTTATTCACACTCGTGTGTCCCCTGCGAGCGCCGGATGCCCTGCTCACACTCCAGACTCGCTAGCTGGTGCCTTCCCAGCTTCTCCAGCCCTGCTGCACCAGGCTTGAGGTGCTCCTCTCTCATATAACGCCTTGCTACCCACTGGGTCAAAACGAGGGTTATATTTGAGGCGCAGCGGAGGCACTCAACCCTTACATCTCACGTTTCCCCGCTTTCATCAGGTAAGGCCGCCGATACATCATGATCCTTATGTATTGTTAGAATCTGTTCTCCCTTTTTTTGCTCCACGCTTCGTGACCTTGGGTTTCGTCCTTCTTCTGCCGACCCGTTGTTGTTTGTTCGTGCTGGTTCCACACCTTTCTTTATACTTGTTTACGTCGACGGCTTGGTCTTTGCTACAGCAGACAGGGCAGCTCTGGCTGAGGTGAAATCCGAACTGCATAAGAGACACACGTGCACTGACCTCGGTGAACTGCAGCGCTACCTTGGCCTGCAGATCGCCAGGGACAGAGCCGCTCGCACTATCACGTTGACGCAGTCACACATGGTACAGCAGGTCCTTCGGCGGTTCGAGTTTCAGTTCTCCACCACCCAGCCCACTCCTCTTGCTGTTGACCACAGACTCACTGGCCCTTTTCCCGACGAGCCCTTTGAGTCCAGTGGCCCCTACGCAGAGCTTGTGGGCTGCCTCATGTACCTGATGACTTGTACTCGGCCGGACCTCACTTTTCCCCTCAGCGTCCTCTCTTGCTTTGTTGTGATTGGGAGACACCGTCCTGTTCACTGGACAGCTGCTGTGAGGGTTTCGAAGTACCTGGCGACTACATCAGGCATGGGGCTTGTGCTTGGATGGACTCAGCCAGTTGAGTTGACCGGCCACTGCGACTCTTCCTACGCTGACGACGTGGAGACTCAGCGTTCAACTCAGAGTTACTGCTTCAGTCTGGGTGTTGGAACTGTGTCGTGGAGGTCCACACGGTCGTCGTCTGTGGCTTCGTCCAGTGCAGAGGCAGAGATCTACGCCGGTGCCATGGCGGCACAGGAGCTTCGCTGGTTGACCTTCTTGCTCACCGACCTTGGTGAGCGGCCTCGCTCTGCACCGACCTTGTACGCTGACAACAAGGCCATGATCCTCCTGTGTGGAGAGCACGGTTAAGCACATTGACGTGAGGTACTTCCTCTTGCGAGAGTTGCAGCGACGCGGCCATGCACGCTTGGACTTTGTGGCCTCAGAGGCCAATCCTGCTGACGTCTTCACCAAGGCCTTGGCGCCTGGTGGCCACCACAAGTTCTGTGTGCAGCTAGGGCTTGTTGAGGTAGGCCCTCGGTTGCTATAGCTTTGTCTCTTGATCCTTGCACTGATGTACTTGTCTCTATATTTTCTTGTGAACTTTATGAACTGGCCTTGTGGCCGTTTGCTTGTGCTCGGAGTCTCGGATTGTGTGATCCACCCTGAGCTCTTATGCTGTTGCTTCTCTCGACTGGTCTTGTGGCCATTTGTTTCGCTTGTTTGTTTTGATGCCCCTCACTTAGCCTATGGGGGTGTGTCAAATAACATTTATATGTTTTGTTAGTTTGCTAGGCTATAGTGAGTTGCCTAGTATATGGTACACAAATTCCCTCGACATTCCTACTTGTACTTCTTGCCCTTCTAGTCGACCAACCTATTCCGCTAGTACTTTGAGAGTCCTTCCTTACAACAAGTCCCATAGGAGCATTGTCCATACATCTAGGTTTGTTCATTGTGATACCATACACGAAATCTGTATATCTTTGAAACAACCGATTCAAATCTGGCTGCAAATACCATACTTATCCACAAAAGGCCCTCTTGAGTGTGACGAAGAGTCACCTCCCTCCGGGGGATGATGATAGGGGCTTTTTCAGCTCAACACACTCATTCACACGAAGGAAATCAATATGTTGGTCACATTCAACAAACAAAATTAACATCGGTTCAATCAAATAATACCATATGTGAGTTTGGTTAAAGCAGTGTTGCATGGTTCAGCATTAGATGTTAGCATCTCAGCTCATGGTAAGCACAACTTCATGCCCTCCCACAACGATGACACGGTACAGTCATACCCTCCATTGAGTGACCGAAATAGGTTTACTTTCCGCCTGTATCGAGACGCAATCAGCTTGCCGCACGTGTCACCACTCCGCACGTAGTAGAACCGGCGAGTGTCGCACTGCATCCCTCCGGAACCCGGCAGCATATCCGCCAAGATGCACACCTGTTGTGGGTGGGGGTCAAATCACAGAGTTGTCCGAACCTGGGCGATTAGCTTGCCATGCAGGCTGCGTCAAAACACATTCTTCAGCAATCCAACCATGGGAATACCACTTGAAGGAGTCCTGAGGTGAGACAACACCAGTGCCAACACCATCATCCTTAGCACACCCATGAACGAACCCATAACACCATGAACGAATTTATAACACCCCATGACCAAGTCATTAACTGCCATGAAGCAGCTTTGCGTAGCCCAGATCATGTGAGTGCCACGTGAAATTCAGACCCACTCACCGAGTCGACAACAGAGTTGTCCCACCCAGCTGCACCGGGCTCAAAAGCGCTCAACATATCAGAAAGGTCTAACTTTCACGTGCAAGTCAAAAGTGCTCACCGAGTCGACAACAGAGTCGTCCCACCCAGCTGCACCGGGCAGCAGCTGGTCGCAGTAGAGGGCAGGGTTGACGAGGAAGAGCGATGAGTAGCTCATGCGGTTAAACCCGTAGCCGAGTGTGGAGAGCCGCTGGCACGTGTGCACCTCGGGGTCGAGACCCTGGTGAACCATGCAGGCCGCCACCGGGGGCGTGGGCATGTCAGGGTTGTTCCGCACACATATGCGCTGCATGGGGGCAGTGGGGGGAGAGGGGGGGGCGGGGCAGAGGGAGGGGGTTGGGAGAAGAGGGAGAGAAGGGGGGAGGGTGGGAGTGGGAAGAGGCAGGGAAGGAGAGAGATTTTTAGGGTGGGGAGGCGCCATGGTGAGCCACAGAGCTGGTGCTGGAAAGGTGGGGCTCATGCCTTCCTTCCAGGGCTGCTTTTCTCTGCTGCCACAACATCTCCCTGCTGACACAACGTTTCCCTGCTGGCACAACATCTTCCTTCACAATCACCTGTCACACACACCGTGAACATTTAAGGCGTCCCGGCATCACCACGGTGGTAGGCAACAATTACCAATGTAAGGCTTGCTCACATGGTTAGCCGAACAGAGCAAAGGACCATACCAGAAAAGAACCTGAAGTCACCAAAAAAGCTATCAGGAAGGGATCGACTTTTGAGTCGACTCAAAAGTCACTAGAAAAGGTATCAGGAAGGGATTGAAACAGAGAGTTTGGGATGGGATTGGGATAGGATCTGACCTTTCCAGGAACGAGAGGTTGTGAGCAGTCAATGTTACGGTTTAGATCTGTTATGTTGGTGTCAAGAAGGGTGTTGATTGATGTGCATGTGTCACCCTGGGGTGGGTGGGGGAAGAGGGGGGGGGGGGGGGGGTGGGGATGGGTGCATGTGAGAGTGAGACGAAGAGTGGGTGAGAGGGGAAGTCAGTAGTACAATTTCAGTCTGAGTTTAATGCTGCGGGTTTTGAGAGTGTTTGGTTGGCGTGCAGTGCATGTGTCACTGTGGTTCCAATATTTTGCGGTATCAAATATATTGAGTGTGTTTGATTGGCACGCACGTGTCACGGTGGTTCAAATATGTTTTGCGGCACGTGCTGGTCAAGGGGTGTGTGACGCAGGGGTGTGTGGCGGGGGGAAGGCGATGATATGTGGCGATGGGAGGGCATGCATTTGCGAGCAGTGAATGGTGAAGGCTGCTACATTCGCCTTTAGGAACCCCAGTCTAATCAACGGGACGGGCACATCTGCGCATGCGCCATTCTGGAGTGTGTGAGAAGGCCAAGAAGGGGCAGAGGGGCATGCGTCATGTCAGGTCAGATGGGCAGAATAAGAAAGGCAGCTCGTAAAAGCATCCGTTCCTTTGACCAACTACCGACCGTGTTTCACCCTGTCATCAGAAGCAACCAGCCAGCCATGCCTCACCTGGTTGGTGGTATACATGCTAGTGCAGCTCTTGTTGGCAGATGCCGACACGTTGACTATCAACCCACGAGGTATGGGCTTGTCACATGCCATACCCTGCCGTACAGAGAGAGCCACAACAGAGAACAGCGCAACATGACGTTGATTGAGAGAGATCCCATGAGAAGGGCGAAACACAGAACAGCGCAACACAGAACAGCGCAACACAGAACAGCGCAACACAGAACAGCGCAACACAGAACAGCGCAACAGAGAACAGCGCAACAGAGAACAGCACAACAGAGAACAGCGCGACAGAGAACAGCGCAACAGAGAACAGCGCAACAGAGAACAGCACAACAGAGAACAGCACAACACAGAACAGCGCAACAGAGAACAGCGCAACAGAGAACAGCGCAACAGAGAACAGCGCAACAGAGAACAGCGCAACAGAGAACAGCGCAACAGAGAACAGCGCAACAGAGAACAGCGCAACACAGAACAGCGCAACACAGAACAGCGCAACAGAGAACAGCGCAACAGAGAACAGCGCGACAGAGAACAGCGCAACAGAGAACAGCGCAACAGAGAACAGCGCAACAGAGAACAGCGCAACAGAGAACAGCGCAACAGAGAACAGCGCAACAGAGAACAGCGCAACAGAGAACAGCGCAACAGAGAACAGCGCAACAGAGAACAGCGCAACAGAGAACAGCGCAACAGAGAACAGCGCAACACAGAACAGCGCAACACAGAACAGCGCAACAGAGAACAGCGCAACAGAGAACAGCGCAACAGAGAACAGCGCAACAGAGAACAGCGCAACACAGAACAGCGCAACACAGAACAGCGCAACAGAGAACAGCGCAACAGAGAACAGCGCAACAGAGAACAGCGCAACAGAGAACAGCGCAACACAGAACAGCGCAACAGAGAACAGCGCAACAGAGAACAGCGCAACAGAGAACTGCACAACAGAGAACAGCGCAACAGAGAACAGCGCGACAGAGAACAGCGCAACAGAGAACAGCGCAACAGAGAACAGCGCAACAGAGAACAGCGCAACACAGAACAGCGCAACACAGAACAGCGCAACACAGAACAGCGCAACAGAGAACAGCGCAACAGAGAACAGCGCAACAGAGAACAGCGCAACAGAGAACAGCGCAACAGAGAACAGCGCAACAGAGAACAGCACAACAGAGAACAGCGCAACAGAGAACAGCGCAACAGAGAACAGCGCAACAGAGAACAGCGCGACAGAGAACAGCGCAACAGAGAACAGCGCAACAGAGAACAGCGCAACACAGAACAGCGCAACACAGAACAGCGCAACAGAGAACAGCGCAACAGAGAACAGCGCAACAGAGAACAGCGCAACAGAGAACAGCGCAACAGAGAACAGCGCGACAGAGAACAGCGCAACAGAGAACAGCGCAACAGAGAACAGCGCGACAATGAAACATGATGCCGATTGAGAGAGATTCCACGAGAAGGAAGAAAAACAGCATCAACAAAGCATGAAGGGACCTTGAAATTGATGAAGTAATATTTCCAGAATCCAATGAAAGCATGTTACACCTGCACGCAATGAAGAAACCTGTCTCCAGTTTAAGTGTCCCGGCTTGTAAAGTCTCTGCTTCTTATCTCCGTCTGCTCCTCTAGCCCCTGTGCTTCTTAATGTCTTATAAGCAGTACAATAATCGTATAGGAACAAGCAAGAAGCGGCTCGGGAACCCAGGAAAATAAGGAGTGTTCAGCTCAGCACAACGTCAGCAAGTGTTCAGCAGCTCATTATTACAATAGTGTCTTTACAACAAGACTCACCTCATCAGCACGCCTCACCTGGTTGCCCTCCAGGAGCTATTGAGCTCTTGAGGCGACTCATACGCCATGGTACAAGGAGTACCACGTATGAGAGGCGTGTCTTCTCAACACACCTGACCTCGTTAACACCCCTCACCTGGTTGCTCTCCAGCAGCTCTTGAGGTGAGAGGTCAAAGATGTCGAGCAGCAGAGGGCATGTGAGGCCGGGGGGTGCTGGGAAGGATGGCACTCGAGTGGCAGACTCACTCACTGGTAATCAGAGGGCAGAGGGGGCGATGGAGTGGGAGAGGAGAGAGGGGGGGGGGGGGGGGACATTGGACAAAAGGGGAGAGGGGGGGTAGAGGGTGGAGAGAGGAGGACATTCCACAGAGGGGTGGGAGGAGGGAAGAGAGAGGGGGACAGAGGGCAGAGGGCGGGAGTGAGGCGACGCAGCAAAGCTCCTAGAGTTTAAAGCCGTGGAACAACGCAGGGCGTGTTGCCCCCCCTTCCCCCCCTTTCCCCCTTGCCTCACCAGCTCTCCCCTGTTCTTAACCTACCCGCCCCTAGCGTTCTATTAGCATCTCAAATAGTCGTTAGGCACCCGACCAGCCTTAATCATCCAACAGATCACAGGTGGTGAGAGGTGGAATGTAGAGGAGAGAATAGGAGTGCGAAAGCAATAGAGCAAAGAAGGCGCCTACGGAACACTCCATATGACACTCTGCTCGGTCGATAACGAGCCCAGCTCAGAAACGGTTGGGGTTCCCAGCAGGCATGAGCACAAGGGCGAACACCATTCGAGGCGAAACGAACAGGTTTGTTTTTTTTGCTTAAAGTGGTCGCCAAACTGTGTTCGAGGTTCGCCCGAACATGTTCGTGTTCGGGCCGCTGCTGCAATTTGCCCCGCGACGAACACGAACGTGTTCGAGGTTCGCCCGAACACGCCTTCACAGGCGAACGGCGAACACCTGTTTTTGCTTAAAGTGTTCGCCGAACCGAACAGTGTTCGGTTCGGCAAACGGATGTGTTCGTGTAGGGGCGAACACGAACATGTTCGTGTTCGCCCCTTGCTCATCCCTAGTTCCCAGTCCCACATAGTACCGAAAAATGAGGTACAATATGTGTTTTCAGAATTGTCAAAACATAAAAATTCAGTCTCAGAGAGTACCGAAAAAAATGGGTACTAGATAGCACCAGATAGCACTCAACAGAGTCGTATCATGAAGCAAGTGCAAATTAGTGTGTGACCTTGGAATTCTTGACAGAAGTTAAGTTACAGAGTCTCCTCACGAGGTCAGCACAGCACTCACGAGTCACAACAATGCTCGTGAGTCAGCTTCAAGCAAAAACAAAAACAGCCCTCAAAGAAGCAGCTGGTGCGTGAGTGCAGCTGGTGAAGTCAACAGGCAGGTAATTTTTGCTAAGAGTTTGCCTCACCAAAATTACCTTACAATTCATTCATTGCAGGTGCGTTGAAGATACCTCAATTGAAGCAAAGTTGAAGAGTGCATGAATAAAGTTAGAGTTAACAAGGAGGGGGGCAGAAGCAGGCTAACGTGCCTCAGTTGATTCCTTCCTGCAGTAAGAGAGATTCACTCGAGTCGAAAGAACATTGTCTCCATGGAGTGAGGTTAGTGTACCTTGGTTGCAGGGTCGCTTGAGGGGGTTAGAAAGTCTCACCTTGGTTACAGGGTCGCTTGAGGGGGTTAGAAAGTCTCACCTTGGTTACAGGGTTTCTTGAGGGGGTTAGAAAGTCTCACCTTGGTTACAGGGTTGCTTGAGGGGGTTAGAAAGTCTCACCTTGTTTACAGGGTTGCTTGAGGGGGTTAGAGTAGTCGAGGGGGAAGAAGGAGGGCGGGCAGAGGCAGAAGGATGAAGCATCATAGCCCTCGAGGCACACGCCAGGCGCACACGTGTCAGTGCTGTTAAGGCGACAGATAGGGTACTCTGGGCGGACAGTGGATGGGGAGAGAGGGAATGTAGAGGTGTTAGAGGGGGGATTTCAGGGATTACATGGTGAGTAGGAGCTGGAGGGATGACGAAAAATCCAAATGGATGACTGGGGCAAACTTGAGTGCGAGGAGAGGAAGCTGAAGGAGAATATACATGGGCTGGTTGAGAGGGCGTGATGAGCATGTGTGTTAGCCTGACCTGATACCACAATTGTGAAACGTTATTTCAGAATGCAATCATCCATTGTAATGTATTCTTGTATTGATTGATGGTATTATGATGTCACACCAAATAGGCGTTACCAATGTGGCACAACTGATAGGACTGGCTGCTGCTGGGCTGCCACTGAGCACTGAGTGCAATGCGTACACTCATGGGGGTGCACTCAAGAGTCAATACCATGACATGAGCCATGCTCTGCTGTGCCATGCTGGCTGTCGTGTAGAGTGCTGTCAGAGTTGGTGCCACAGATGTGGTTAGCACCATAGAGTAAGCTTGCAGCTGGGACAGGTGAACTGAGATGAGAGGGCAAGAGCACGGGCTAAGGCAATGGAATGAATACCCCTGTGAAGTGAAATTGATTCTAGTCAGGATTTAACCTTGTCAATGCCCTTGTGCATTCTGAGGTGACACATGTCCAGGCTTACCATTGTGGCACGATTGGAAGGCGGGCATTTGGGGGAGCTTGTAGCTGGGCTGGCTGAGAGGGCACGAGCACGTGCTGGTGTATGTGCCTGTGGCTGCTGACCGCACCGCAATGCACCTGCCAGCACCGCATGGATTCACGTCCCACGCCGTGCATGGGTTGACGTCTGTGTGACATGGGGAGTGAGGAGAGACACGGAGAGGATGAGGGCGATGAGAGGGGAACAGGGCTGAACAAAGGAGAAGGAAGGAGTTTGTCAGTTGAGTGGATTAATGGATGCATTGTTTCCATTGAACGGTTTTACACAGTGAAGGCATGCTCAATTACCAGCAATGCATGATAATTTGGGATAGAATCAGACAATGGATGTGGCACATGGAACCAACTCAAGTGTGCATGTACAGATGCATGCACAAGCATACCCCCCAGCCACACACAACTGTGAAACCAAAAGTTTACGTTTGATGGACTGAACACTTACACACACTGATGCACTTAAGCTACAAATACGAATCACACGTGACTGCGAACGAACACATGCACACACACACGCACACAACACTCACCCAAGTTACCGATGCATGCATGAATGCACACACACACATTCATAGACACACACATGCACACGCACTCACTGTGAAAGCTTAAAGTTGAACCAATGATGTGATTAGAGGAGGAACAAGCATACATAGGTTGGATGGATAGCTTGAAGGGAAAAAGTTGGGTTGACCATAGGTTGTGTAGGCCTCACTTTGGGAAGTGAGGCAACCTAAGGTCAAGTGCGTTGGGTTGACCACACTTTGTGGGAAGTGAGGTAACTCAACGCCCACTTGGGTTGGGTTGGCCTCACTCTTGGGAAGTGAGGCAACCTAAGGCCAAGTGGGTTGCATTTGGGGGCTCCACCACAATTGGGTTGGATTGGCACCCCACAATACAAGACTATACCCAAAGTTGGGTGTAGTCCCAACCCACTTGTACACCACAATTGGTGTACATTCACAAGTGTTAGCATGGTAGAACATACAATTCTAACACTCACCCAATCTTTCACACGAACCTGTGAATCGAATCGTCCACGCTTTGATGGACTGAACGCATGCCCGCGTGTTGGCACTGCTGAACCCAGCAAACACCGGAATCACTCCCTCGGTGCTGCTATTGCCATCATAGAACACAGAGCACAGGTCAAGAGTCAGCTTCACACTCCCCATCCTCGTAGCCCCTTTATAAGTCACTGCCTCCAGTGTCTTAGTGGCAGCTGTATAGTCCACCCTCATGCTGTATAACGAGGATGAAGTGTATCTCTTTTGAGACGAAAAAGCCAGCCGCCGAGTCACGTTAAAGTCAGTGTGAACGGAGAGAATCGCCACATCCTTGTTAACGTCACGGTTAGGGTCAAGGCCGCTGAAGGCATCAAACATCACCGCCACACTCCTCCCTCCGTCCGCCCACGTCCCATTCGCATCCCTCTCTTGCGTGTCCCTCCCATACCCCATACCCACCCCTCCTTGCCCCAACCCCGGCCGAGTACTTAGCACGAAAACCACCCCAAAGCCATTATAGTAGCTTCCCTTGAGCTCAAAAGGAAACCACGAGGTGAAGGATCGAGCCTTGCACACCAAAGCATCAACCTTCCCGCCCTTCTTCTTGCGAGGCGCAGGGGCGGGGAGCAGCGAGAGCAGGGGAAGGGGGAGGGGGAAGAAGGCGGCGCCTGACTCCTCCTGCTCGTTGCCTGGAGTGAGTTGCAGCGAGGAGAAGGTGAGGCGAGTTGAACCCGAGGCAGTGAAGCGGGTGCCCTGCGTGAAGAAGGGGAAGGAGAGCGACGGCGGCAGCCACAGGGCGGGAGGAGCCAGCGCTGGGAGAAAGGGAGGTGCGCGTTTTGGGGGACAGGAGGAAGAGAAGGGGAACAAAAGGGGGAAGAGAGGAAACACAGGGAAGAGAGAGGAGGGGGGAAAATATTAGAACGATATATATTGTGGCGTGCTAAGTGTTTGTGACTGTACATCAAGTGCGGTGTACTGTCGAGTTGGGCATGTACCTCATTGTGGGTATACATTTGTTCTTGTCCTTGGGTGTCAATCCACCCGCTTGTAATGGAGCCCCCAGTTACAAGCTTGTTGTTTGTCCCACACCCCGTGGTCCCAACTTTGTGATTGGTCTTTCCAGCCACATCTAGGGACCAATGATGGTTGAGTTGAGGTGCACAGCCAAAGGTGTACAACTATGTTGAGAAAGACGCACGGAGGACGCACGGCAATTTTTTTTTTCGGGCTGCCCGAAAAAAAAACATTCCCGATCGCGAAATTGACATTCGCGATTTCGACGCAAATGACGAAATCGCGAAATTTCGACCCCCCCTTGCCCAAATCGCCATTCTAAAACAGCCCCCCAACATTTCATAACCCTTGTGACATGTGTGATGTGACGTGACTCACCTTAATCTTGAGTTTTGGGGAAAAACTTGTTGTTGGGGACAAATATGGCTTGAAAGTGTGGAACGTCCCCCCCTCCTCCTCTTCCCATGCCCTATAACAAATATTTTTGCCTGCCCAAGGGGTTTTTTTGCCCTGCCCGGGCTTGCGTCTTTTGGTGCGTCTTTCTGGTCCTGGTGCTGCGTCCTGCGTCTGGACGCATGCGTCCACGACGCAAGACGCGTCTTTCTCAACATAGGTGTACAACCACCAAAAGCCCCGAACCATCCCCTTCCCTCCCCATCTTCACTTGGATTCGTATGTATGCCATGTACTACCTAATGCAAACTTATATATTAGATAATTGCCCACGGATATATCACCCCCCCCACATGCAAAGGTGGATGGTGTTGACGGGAAATGGCCCCGCCCTCGCTTGGGCGAAGCCGATTTCGCAGTCGGATGCGCGCGCCGGCTGCTGACAATGGTTGACGCCGATTTGGGCGAGCAAGTCGATAACCCTGATCGACTTGCATGGGACCACTGCGAAGCCGCCGACGACGGGAAACCGGCGGCCGACTTCCACTAGGGTGGTCGACGAAGGTGGTCGTGGACCTGAGGGCGCCGAAGACTTTACCCGGTCAACTTGATTACCTTGTAGACAAACTTCTGCGGACGTCATCTATGAGGTTTTGGCAAAGCCGATCTCGGGCTGGTATCCCGTGGTCGACGTGGCACTTCAGGCGCAACTGTCGCAAGTGGTCGACTTGGCACCTGCGCAATGTTCGGGGCGATGCATGACGCGCTCAAAGTGGGTGCGATGCGAACATTGCGCATACAATCACCTGCGGTTGCAACGATGGCAAGCCGCCTTGCTGCGGCGTTGGCAAGCCGCCATGTTGTCGCGCTGGCAGGTCGCCGACTTGCAACGTTGGCAAGCTGCCTTCTTGCTGTGTTGACGCGGTGTCGACTTGCAGTGCTAATAGACCGCCCGCATGCTGCGCTGGAGGTCGACCTGTCTGTGTGCTAGGTTTCTAAGCACCTGATGTAGTCATTTGTTGCCTTCGCCATTCCTATCATTGTGTAATCCCTTCGCTAGTGAAACTCTTGCGGCGAATTGCCCCGTGAATGCGCAAATTGTGAGAATACGAGCAAACGCTACCATCCGTGCCTACCCCGTAGTCTACCTCCCACTGTTGTCGAGTGACTCTTCGCAGATGGGGCATTGGGCTGATAGACAGATGACAAATGGGGGAGAGGAGCGGAGAAAGTGGGTAGGAGGAACAGTACGAGTACATATAGCACGCCCCTCTCATTCAATCCTCAGCTCTCTAAACTTTCCCACCCATGCAACTGCCCTTCCCCTTGCCACTCCCCCGCTCACCTTGGTTGTCGACGTGGAAGGCCCAGGAGAGGATGTCGTGCGTCTGAGTGTGCAGCGGCAGCAGCCCCGTGCCGGCTGCAAACCCCGCATGCACCAACACGGCCTCACCCTCCCCTCCGTCCTCCTTCGGAGCAATGTGGAAAAGTTCGCAGGCGTTGAAGGGGAGGGACAGGAGGGCGGAGGGGGGCATGACGGGCGAGGAGGAGAGGCGCACGGAGAGCAGCGAGGCGGTGGCGTTGTAGGCCACCCACGCATGCAGCGTCTCGTTCTTGTTGCCGCCCAGCGAGGCCATGCCCGCGGGGTGCACGGACGCATGGCCTGCTGACGTCATGCTGTAATCCACGTTCACCCCCACGTGGTGAGTGGTTGGGTCCGAAAACAGACGAGTTGATGACGTGTCAAACTCCACTGCCAGGCTGTGCTGATGTGGCAAGCTGCTGTTATATGTGATGCCACTGCCGCTGCTGCTGCCAATCGGAGTGCATACAAAGGCCTCGTTCACTACCACACACTCCTCTTCCCCTATTGCCCCACCCCCAAGTCCCCCCCCATCTGCAGCCACAAACAGCTCCTCCTGCCTGTAAGGCCTTTTGCCGTATCCCATGTTTGGCCCGGGCAGCCCGACAATCGGGTCGGGCAGGAGAACAAAAGCAAAGCCGTCGGCCCCGAGGGCAGCGGGGTGGGGGGAGGAGAGGCGGAAGGAGAAGGAGGAGGAGAAGGAGTAGGGGCGGCAGGGGGAGGTGGGGGAGGCGGGGGAGACGAGGGGGAAGGGCGTGGGGTGCAGGGCAAGGCCCGCTTGGTGGGGGGGAGAGAGGGGGGTGAGGCGCAGCGAGGAGGGGAGGAGGCGGGCCGATCCGGAGGTGAGGAGGGGAGAGGAGGTTAATGGGGAGTAGGAGAAGGACGGAGGGGCGGAGGCCGCTGGAATTTGAGGGGAGGAGGGAGGGACAAAAAGGGTGAAGGGAAGGGTAGAGTGAGCTGAGCAGCATAGACAATGTGAACAACATAGTTAATGTTCAAATTCAAAGGAGAGAAGGAGCTCCAAAGACATAGACACCAAGGTATGTAACTTCATGAAACAAGGTATGTAACACTCATGAAACAAATGAAACAAGGTATGTAACCCTCATAAAACAAATGAACCAAGGTATGTAACCCTCATGAAACAAGGTATGTAACCCTCATGAAACAAGGTATGTAACTTCATGAAACAAGGTTCGTAACCCTCATGAAACAAGGTATGTAACTTCATGAAACAAGGTATGTAACCTCATGCAACAAGGTATGTAATCTCATGCAACAAGCAAGGTATGTAACCTCATGCAACAAGGTATGTAACCCCTTAAAACAAGGTATGTAACCTTATGAGACAAACTATGCAACCTCATGAGACAAACTATGTAACCTCATGAAACAAGGTGCACAGAGAGGCGACTCATCCAAGGATTGCCCGTGCGTGCATCGACTGAACAGAAGCGTCATCAAGAACCTGTAATCCCCACGCAAGAAGCGCACCTGTGCTTCTGGGAGCCAGAGTGACCAGGTCAATGTCGATGTTCCCTGCTGCAGCTGCAAACACTGAAACACCTCCCAACGCAGATGCACCCCGTGGCACGAACGCACCGCACCTGTGCCTCTGGGAGCCACGGTGACCAGGTCAATGCCGATGTTCCCTGCTACCAGTGCAACTGACCTGTTGTGAGTGGAGTGAGCACCTGTGGTCCCATGCAAGAAGCGCACCTGTGCCTCTGGGAGCCAGCGTGACCAGGTCGATGTCGATGTTCCCTGCTGCCGCTGCAGCGGACGTGAGCGCTCCGCCTTCCACTGCTGCTGCTGCCTCTGCAGCCAATGGAACAGCTCCTGACGCGGACGCATCTCCAGTCACAGCCGCACCCCCTGGCACGGACGCAGCTCCAGTCACAGCCGCAACCCCTGGCACAGACGCACCCCCAGGCAAGGACCCACCCCCAAACGACCCACCCCCAGGCAAGGACCCACCCCCAAACGACCCACCCCCAGGCAAGGACCCACCCCCAAACGACCCACCCCCAGGCAGGGACGTGTCTCCGGGAGCGGGCACCCAGATGCTGCCACCCGACCCCATGCTGCTGCTGTCCGCCCCACTGCCCTCCAGCAGCACGAGGTGCAGAGCAACGCCTTGCGGCGGGAAGGATAGAGCAGCGGCGGAGGCGGAGGAGGGTGGGAGGTGGAAGAAGAAGGGCCCGTGCTGGCGCCAGGGCAGCAGGCCGGAGAGAGAGTTGGAGTTGTTGTTGCGGCAGGGAACGCCGACGGTCCATTGATGCAGCACCATCATCTCTCCGCTGCTCATAGCGGCTGCTAGCGCACTGGCCTGCTCGCCCTCGTCCACACTGCTGCTGCTGCTAGTGCTGCCGGCAGTGGCTGGGAGGGGCACGGCGACGATCATGGCTCGCATCGGCCGCAATCCAGAGGCAGAAAACGGATCCATAGTGCACTCGCGTGCCCTTGCATAGAAATACACCGAAAACTCTGCCTCCTCCTGCTGCTGCTGCTGCTGCTGCTGCTGCTGCTGCTGCTGCTGCTGCTGCTGCTGCTGCTGCTGCTGCTGCTGCTGCTGCTGCTGCTGCTGCTGCTGCTGCTCTCCCCCTTCCGCGACACACAGCAGCTGCCCCAGTCCCTGCACCGGCCACACTGCCCCTGCACTCTCGCTCGCCCCGCTGCCCCAAAGCTCGCCACCGGTGCCGCCACTGCCGTCGCTGGGCTGCAGGCGAACGAACCGACCGCCCTCAGCAGCAGGGGACGGGTCCCCGGGGGGACTCTCCCCTCCCCCTACCCCTCCCCCTACCTCTCCCCCCTCCCCCACCACCTGCCCTTGCTGCTGTGGTGCGCCGGGGACGAGCGGCACCCAGGACGACAGGGGCGAGGGCCAGTCTGCTGCAGAAGAAACTTCCTCGAAGCCCGCATTGCGCAGGAGGTTCAACGAGGGAGCTGGGGGCGGGGTGGGAGTGGGGAGGGGGGCCGGAGGTGGGAGGGGGTGATGGGGTGGGGAGGGAGAGAGGAGGAGGGGGATTATGGAGGGGAATTGATAAGGGAAGCGGGAATCATGACGTGAGATCGAAATGCACCTTTGAGGGCGGGACAATTAACGCACGAACGGGAAAAAAGGAGAGAAAAAGAAGGTGACAGATATATCTGACAGGGGAGGTGGGGAGCAACAGTTGAGCCGGGGGGGGAAAGGGGAGCGAGGGATGGGAAACGGGGTTCGTGCAGCAGATCTGGGCGGAGGGGTAGTAGTGCAGCAGAGACGCTGGCCGGGGGGAAAGAGGGGAGGCGTAGAGGCGGAAGGCTCGGTGGCAATGGAAGGCGGAAGAGACGCGATCATGATGCGATGACTCTTTTCAGAAGGTGGCTTTGAGTCGACTCAAAAGGTGACCGCTCTCAGAAGGCGGAGGCGATGCCGCCATTTGATGCTGCTGGCGTAATTTGGCTTGGTGTGGGTGTGGCTGTCGGCGAAAAAGTTGGGCGAGCGGGGAATAATTCGCCCGATTTTCTTATCGTCGATTGGTACTATCGGAATTGCAACGATCAGATCGAATTGAGCTGCCGCGGCGAGGTACACGCCACGTGTTTCCGAGACAGGAGCTGCGAGGCTGCTTGCGAGGCTTCCTTCGAGATGTCTACACCTTTTTAGACGTCGCAATGAGGACTACTAGTACTACCTTGAGCTGCGAGGCTCGCGCATGTCGGCACGGCGGCGTTAGCGACGGCGACGAGCGAGAGGAAGTGCGCGCCGGTTACCACAAGCAGGCGAAGAACGACGATGAGGCGGCCTGGACTTCTGATGCCACGTGGAGCCTGCCAATTCGAGGCATGCTTCGGATTTGTGGCATTCAGCAGGGACGCAGCAATTGACTCGCTATAGGGTGACCTGTTACGGATAGCGGACGGTCGGTTCGCATGTGGCATGGAGAAAGGCGCCGCGAGATCGGGCGGCGATCGCGAGGAAAAGGGAGAAGAAGCGAAATCTGCGGTGATGGCAGCATCGCGCGACGAAGGAGATTAATTCAACTTCTGCGGTTTCAGAAAAGCAAACCTCGTCATTGTCCTGTATCTAACCACCCCAACAACAGGACGAAGGCTAGCTGAGCCAAAGCTCTGGAGCGGGTGTTGAGGCGGAACATACGGCTGGTGGTAATCCTGCTCAAACCCTACCACACTGCACCCGACCTGTATCTCACGGAAACGCACCTAACAGCGTTGCACCTTTCTGAACTTCGAATCTGAGCTTTGTTCTACCAATTTGTTTTGAAGTCTTTCGAATGGTTCTAGGAGCATCACAGGGAATGCCTGAGTTGGGGTTACTCTGGTAGGTGGGATTTTGGAACTTAGTGGGGTTGATTGTTGGGTGTGGTTGAGTGAGGTTGACTGAGGTGTCTTGCCCTCTGAACCAACTGCCCTTCCAGCCAGTGATATGCGGTGCAATGAGGTGGAGACCATTTAAGCGATTTTTGTTTCTTTCCCTAGTAGTATTTTCAATTGTTTTTCTCTCTGCCCGCTTGTGAATCACGTGCATGTTGGAGTGCTCAATCATTTTGCTAGGCGCACGCAGGTGCACAAGCTAGGGGAAGAACTGGAATGGCTGCGTTATCAAGGAGTACCTGAGAATATACCCTGTATTGGGCCAATCTTCAGGGATTAATAACCCAACATGAGATTATAATGAAAGGGGCTGCATGGGATAGGTTTGATGGGACAATGGCGAGCGAGGGAGAAGAGGAGGGAGGAGAGGAGGGAGGAGGAAGAAAGGAAAGAAGGGGATGTGGTTGGGGGTGATTCGGATTGGTTCTAGGAGGTAGAGGGGAAGGAAGTCTCAAGGAAGGAGCGGTTGGGGGAATCGCTAGAGGAGATTCGATGTTGCAAGAAATGAAGGGGAAGGTGAGTGTACAGAAAGGGTGATATTAACAAGAAGACGGTTGTGCAAGTTGCAAACCCTCAGGATGGCTTGAGGGGGCAGTTGGGTGTAGAGTTGTAACCGAGGAAAGGGAGGGAACCAAGTGGTGGAGGGGTTTTGTGGCAGAGAGCAGCCGAACGGCCGCGCGCATCGTGCTGATGTTGGAGTTCGGTTGAGTGAAATCAGGGCTTTTGATTCGACGAATCTCTCGATCGCTCCCTGGTCCCTGACTCGTGAGCGAGAGGTCAACAAGGCTCACCCTGCAGTGTTCCTGGCGCGGAAATGCCAAGAAAGTTGCAAAGCAGATAGGGTAAATCGTCCTGAAATCCTGAGCCCCCAAGAGTGTGTGGGGAGGAGCGACCGAGAGGCTGAAATGTTTGTTGGGCAAACGCTGTTGTGCTTCCGTCCGCACGCGGCACAACCCGACGAACGACAAGCTGCCTGCCAGACTGGCACGTTGACATTGTTGAAGGCCAACGCCTGGGTTCTCGATTCGTTTTGGGGAAGTGGTTTCGGCGTTGTGGCGCATTCAATATACATTTTATTTTGGTGATTGACTTATTTACATATAATCAATCTCCCTATAGAGCTCCCTAGGCCATATAAAATATTAGCTGGTTATACACGGCCCTTAGTAAATGTGAGCCTAAAAATGACGGGTGGGCATAAAGTCGCTCGAGTCTATGCATGCACTCCATTTTCAAAAGAAACGGGGGTGCTGAGGGACGAGCGTGAGAAACAGGTGGGCTGGGGGACGGGGCGTCAATTGTCAAATGTTGTAGCCTGTAGTGAGGTTTGTCTTAGGGGGTACAAATGTTAGGGTTTGCTATATGTACCCCAACCCTCATCAATAACACAACACTTTCATTCTTGACATGGTATCACCTAGATTAGGATCCTGTGGGATCCCGCACCTCTCGCCCTCGTTCGTTCCGTCCGAGCCTATCTCGCTCTCTCGTACTAGTCGTACCCGTCTTGCCCGAGCCTAGCGCCGGCCCGATCCAGTCTCGCTCGTTCGTTAGCGCCGGCCCGATCCAGTCTCGCTCGTTCGTTAGCGCCGGCCCGATCTAGTCTCGCTCGTTCGTTAGCGCCGGCCCGATCCACTCTCGCTCGTTCGTTAGCGCCGGCCCGATCCAGTCTCGCTCGTTCGTTAGCGCCGGCCCGATCCAGTCTCGCTCGTTCGTTAGCGCTCGCTCCGCAGACCCGCTTTCCGCGTAGCGTAGCGCCTTCCCTCCCTGCCCGTTGCGTCGTGCTCTCCCCGGCTTCCCGTCCCGTCACGCCCTCCCCCGCTGCTCGTCGTGACGTGCCCTCCCACCCTGTCCGTCGCGTCGCGTCCTCCCCCCGCTGCCCTAAACGCCCGCTCGTCGTCGCCGCGGCGCCCCGCATTTCGTCGCCGCGGCGCCCCGCGTTTCGTCGCCGCGGCGCCCCGCATTCCGTCGCCGCGGCGCCCCGCATTTCGTCGCCGCGGCGCCCCCCATTTCGTCGCCGCGCCTGCCCGTACCGCCCGCCGCCGCGCCTGCTCGTTAGGCACGGCCGCGGGCCTGCTCGTCCCGTCGCCGCGCCTGCTAGTTAGGCCCGCCGCGGGCCTCCCTTACAGCCGCCGCGGGCCCTCCCTTACAGCCGCCGCGCCTGCCCGTACCGCCCGCCGTCGCGCCTGCTCGTTAGGCACGTAGCGGGTCCTCCCTTAAAGCCGCCGTGGGCCCTCCCTTACAGCCGCCGCGCCTGCCAGTTCAGCCAGCCGCTGCGCCTCCTCGTTAGGTCCGCTACGGACCCGCTCGTTAGGCCCTTCCTTGGCACCGCTGCGCCTACTCGTTCAATCCGCCGCGGGACCGCCCCTAGCCCCGTTGCGCTCGCGTTTTGCGCCCGTCACGGACTTGCCCTAGCCGCCCACCGTCCCTACCAGTGCCACCCACCGCTGGACTTGTCGCTTCTACTTACACTATGACGACCCCTAGGGTTCTTCGATTTGACGCTGACGGTAGACCGCTCGAGTTTCCGGTCTGGCTCCTACGCGCGCGTCGTCTTTTAGAGAGTCAGGTTCAGGCGGGCGAGTCCCTTTGGGCGCACGCTACTGGTGACCTTCCAGCGCCCGACGACCCTACGCCTTTAGGCACCGCCCCTGACGACGCAGCCAGGGACCGCTTCACCCGCCAGCGTGCTGACCTGACTGCGTGGAAGTCGCGTGACGCTGCGGCTTGCATCGCTCTTAGCAGCCTCCTCCCTGAGTCTGAGGAGGCCCACTTCACTCAGGTTCGCACTGCTAGTGAGTTCCTGACTGCGATTAAGGCCCGCTACGCTACTCCCACCACTGTCTCTCTTGGCCGACTCTTCCTACCGTTCCTGTTCCCTGACCTCGCCTCGTTTGAGCGCTCTGCTGACTTGATTGCTCACCTCCGCTCGCTTGATTCTAGCTACCGCGCTGCTTGCACTGAGGCACAGCTTGCACTGCTCCCTCCCCCCATGGCGATTACTATATATTTCATCGCCATTAGCCTCCCTGACCGCCTTGCCTCAGTCCGTGATACGCTTCTTCTGAAGCACCCTAGTGAGCTCACTATCGAGGTCCTTCTGGTCTGCCGGCCGCGGCGGGTGGAGCAGCGGCGTGGTACCTGGCCCAGCGGCAGCAGCAGCAGCAGCAGCAGCAGCAGCCCCTCCCCTTGCAGCAGCCCCCGCAGCAGCAGCGGCAGCAGCAGGTTTCGGGGCCAGGACAGCGTCAGCCTCAGCGAGGTGTTGTTCACTCTTCGTGCACCTATCAGCTTTTGACAGGTGCTCGCCGAGGCCAGCCTTGTGGCCGCACCCACCCTCCTGGTCAGTGCTTTGCTCAGCTCACTGACACAGTTCGCTTGGCCTTCGGCGTTGGCGGCCCTGCCCCTAACTGGTTTCCTCTTGTTCAGACGTACGGCTCCGCTCTTTGGGGCATGTCAGCTTATCATTTGGTTGATCTCTTAGGAACTCCTCATGCAATGTATGCTGTTGTTGACTCTAGTGCTTCTGGCTCAGTTTACTCGAGTGTTGTTAGCTTAGGTGCTAGTCTTGCTGAGTTGCCTGTTGCTAGTGTAGGCACTTGTGTAGACACTAGTCCAGGAGCTACTTCGGAGGACGCTTCGCTGTCTTTCACTTTGGACTCTGGGGCTTCGCACTGCTTCTTCCGGGACCACACGACACTTACTCCGCTTCCGGCGCCGGTCTCTGTGGATCTAGCTGATCCCACCTCGGGACCAGTCACTGCTCGCTACACTACTACTCTTCCGTGCCCTGCGGTTCCCTCTGGGTCTCTGACTGGCTTCCACGTCCCCTCGTTCTCGCGGAACTTGGTGGGCGTGAGGCCTCTTGTGAGTCAGCACGTGGGTGTGTGGATTGAGCCCTCTGGTGAGACGGCGGTTTGTGTTGACGGAGACACTTACACGCCTCTTGCCACCTTTACAGCTGAGCCGGGCTCTGGTCTCTACACACTTCACACTAGCTCTGGTGGGCAGCAGCAGCAGCAGCCGCAGCAGCAGCAGCAGCAGCAGCAGCAGCGACTACTGCCCCCGGCCCCTGTTCCTTCCCCCAGTCTGGTCCCTGCGTCTCACCATGTTGCTGCGTCCCCCCAGGTAGCTGTGTCCGGGCAGGTTCCCGTTTCTTGTCCAGTTGCTGCGTCGTGCTCCTGCCGGTCACTTGCCCACCCCACCGTTCTGTGGCACCACCGGATGGGGCACCCGTCTCTCCCTCGTCTGCGCACTATGTCTCGTCAGCGTCTTGTCTTAGGCCTCCCACGTGTCTTGCCATCGCTGCCGCCTTCGCTTGCACCACCGTGCGGTCCCTGCGTCGAGGGTAGGCTGCGCGCCACCCCTCACTCCTCCTCCCTTCGTCCGGCCACCGAGCCTTTTGAGACGCTCCACTTGGACGTCTGGGGCCCCGCCTCTCGCCTTGGCCCTAAGCGTGAGCGTTTCTTTCTGGTGGTCGTTGACGACTACTCCCGCTACACCACAGTGTTCCCCCTTGCGAAGAAGTCTGAGGTGACTTCTACGCTGATCAGGTGGTTGCTTACTACTCAGGGCACTCGTGGTCGTCGAGTCAGCTGTCTTCACTCCGACCGTGGGGGTGAGTTTCGCTCCGGCATTCTCGCTGGATTCTGTCGCGAGCAGGGCATTCGTCAGTCCTTGACGCTTCCAGAGTCCCCACAGCAAAATGGGGTTGCTGAGCGCCGCATAGGCTTGGTCATGGAGATCGCCCGCACCTCCTTGAATCACGCCCATGCCCCCCATTTTCTGTGGCCCTACGCGGTTAGGTACGCCGCTCACCAGCTGAACCTCTGGCCACGTGTCTCTCGGCCAGAGGTTTCACCGACTAGTCTTTGGACCGGGTCCCCTGGTGTTGCGTCGCGGTTTCGTGTCTGGGGTTGCTTGGCTCTTGTTCGCGACACCTCCGCGGACAAGATCTCGCCTCGCGCCGTTCCTTGTGTCTTCCTTGGTTTCCCAGAGGACTCCTCTGACTTCACCTTTTACCACCCTCCCCTTCACCGGTTCTTTGACTCCCGTGACGTCGGTTTCGACGAGTCCGTCCCCTACTACGTCAGGTATCCCTGCCGAGGTCTCCCGGTTCCTCCTCCCCCTCTCTTCCTGACTTCCGCTCCCCCTCCTGCTCCCCCGGTACAGCCTCCCCCCCCTGGTCCAGCCCCGTCAGGTGTGTCCCACGCTACCCCTCCCCCTTCGGTAGCCCCTCAGGTACAGCCTCCTTCCCCGCAGTCCTCCTCGCAGCCTGCGGCAGACCCTGCGGGAGCCGGTGTTCGTGGCGAGGACCCTGTCGGTGCTAGCTCTGGGGGTGCCGGAGTTGGGGCTGAGCCCGAGGCTGCAGGAGACTCTCGCCTTCAGGGAGCTGGTGTAGGTGGTGCTGACTCTGGGGGTGCTACGTCTGGGGGTGCGGGTGCGCCCCCTTCGGGTCCTTGTGAGCCTGGCCGTGTTGCTGTTGGTGGTACTGCCTCTGGGGGTGGTGCGCCGGGTGCTTTGGAGGGTGGTCCTGGGGCTGCCGCGGCCCCGGACACTACTCCTCCCCCCCACCCCTACCCGACCCGGCACCAGGCTCGTGTTCGCCGTGCCCGTGAGGAGCAGCTGGAGTTAGAGAGAGAGGAGAGAGAGTTGCAGCGGCTGGAGGTGGAGCAGCAGCAGCAGCAGCAGCAGCAGCAGCTGGAGGAGCAGCAGCAGCAGCAGCAGCAGCAGCCGCGGGAGCAGCAGCAGCTGTCGCAGCCGCACCAGGAGCAGCAGCCGCAGCCACCTCCTCCTCCTGTCTCTGGTCTTCGGACCCTCGGTCTCCCCTCTCCCTCTCCTTCCTCCTCCCCCTCTCCTCCTGTCTACGGTCCCACGTTTCCTCCTCCTGACTCCTCCCCAGCTGTTCTCCCTCGTTCTCCGACTCCGTTGTCTCCCCCTCCTTTGCCCGCCTGGCCCTCTCGTCGCTCTCCTCGTGCTCGTCCCTCGTCCCCTGTCGCTCTCACTGACCTTCGTACTGCCCTGTTCCGTCCTAGTCCGCCTCGTTCGTCTCAGTCTGTGCTTCCTTCTCTTCCTGAGTCGGCCTTCACTGCTTCCCTCTCTACTCCTGTCACTGACTACTACCGCACGTACCGACCTGTTCTCCCTCGTGTTCTCGCCTCTCTTGTTACGGACCCTCGTGCCTCTCTGTCCTCTGTCTCCGCCCTTAATGTCGCCGTCACTGAGTTCGCCACTAATCGCCGCCTTGACTACGCCACTTGTCTCGTGGCTGCTCCTCCTACCAGTCCTCTGGCCGTCGGGGGTGAGTCTGCCCTTGGCTGTGACGCCCTAGAGGACAGGCAGTTTGAGCTGGAGTTCCTGGCAGCCGCTTCCCCTCATCTCTGTGCCATGCTGCTCTCCCCTGAGGGAGACCCCGACGCCCTTGACATCCCGACTCCTCGCACTTACGCTGAGGCAGTGTCAGGGCCTTGGGCCTCTCGGTGGAGAGCTGCCATGGACGCAGAGATGGCCTCCTACAGATCCACAGGCACCTACGTCGACGAGGTTCCCCTCCCTGGGGCGAACGCAGTCGATGGCATGTGGATCTACAGGGTGAAGCGGCCACCGGGATCTCCTCCGGTCTTCAAGGCGCGCTATATGGCTAGAGGTTTTAGTCAGCGCGAGGGAGTTGACTTCTTTCAGAACTTCGCGCCTAGCCCGAAGATGACCACTCTTCGGGTGTTACTACACGTAGCAGCACAGAGAGACTACGAGTTACATTCTCTCGACTTCTCCACTGCTTTCCTTCAGGGTAGCCTTCACGAGGAGGTCTGGCTGCATCGTCCCTCTGCCTTCACTGGCACTTTCCCTCCTGGGACCCAGTGGAGGCTGAGGCGACCTGTCTACGGTCTCCGTCAGGCTCCTCGTGAGTGGCACGACACCCTTCGTTCTACCCTCTCTGACCTTGGTTTCCAGCCGTCTTCTGCCGACCCGTCGCTGTTCGTCCGTCGTGGCTCCACACCTTTCTTTGTTCTGGTCTACGTCGACGACCTGGTTTTCGCCACTACTGACAGGGTTGCCTTGGCAGACGTGAAGTCCGAACTGCAGAAGAGACACACGTGCACTGACCTTGGTGAGCACCAGGGACAGAGCTGCTCGCACCATTACACTCTCACAGCCACACATGGTGCAGCAGGTTCTTCAGCGGTTCGAGCTTCAGCACTCCACAGTACAGCGCACACCTCTTGCTGTTGACCACAGACTTACTGGACCCTTTCCTGACGAGCCGTTTGAGTCTAGTGGTCCCTACGCAGAGCTGGTGGGCTGCCTCATGTACCTGATGACTTGTACTCCCGGACCTCGCCTTCCCTCTCAGCATCCTTGCTCGCTTTGTTGCGCCAGGGAGACACCGTCCTGTTCACTGGACGGCAGCTGTGAGGGTGGCGAAGTACCTAGCGACGACATCAGGCGTGGGGCTAGTTCTTGGAGGGCAGCAGTCTATCGTACTTACTGGTCACTAGACTCTTCTTACGCTGACGACGCTGAGACTCACAGGTCTACTCAGGGGTACTGTTTCAGCTTGGATTCTGGAGCTGTTTCGTGGAGGTCCACGCGCTCCTCTTCGGTCTCGACCTCTATTGCTGAGGCTGAGATCTACGCTGGTGCCATGGCGGCACAGGAGCTGCGTTGGTTGACCTTCTTGCTCGCCGACCTTGGTGAGCGGCCGAGCTCTGCACCGACCTTATTCACTGACAACAAGGCGTCGATTCTCCTCTGTCGAGAGCCGCGACTGGAGAGCAGAGTGAAGCACATTAACGTCAGATACTTTCTTCTGCGTGAGTTGCAGAGACGTGGACAGGCTCGCTTCGAGTTTGTGGAGTCCGAGGCCAACACTGCAGACATCTTCACCAAGGCGCTTCCGCCTTGTGACCACCAGAGGTGTTGTGTGCAGTTAGGTCTTGTTGACACAGGTTCTAGTCGTGTGTAGGCTTGAGTTTACCGTTTGCATTGCTTGTACTCTTGCCATACACCTTTGTGAACTCTTGGACTGGCCTTGTGGCCCTTGTTGCTTGTGCTCAGATTGTGTGGTGACGTTGTGATCCACCATGAGCTTTGTTTCTTTGTGACTGGTCTTGTGACCGTACACTTTTGGTTTTGCTTGACACCCCTTACTTAAGCTATGGGGGTGTGTCAACTGTTGTAGCCTGTAGTGAGGTTTGTCTTAGGGGGTACAAATGTTAGGGTTTGCTATATGTACCCCAACCCTCATCAATAACACAACACTTTCATTCTTGACATCAATGCCTCAGCATTATGGTAAGCACAGTTGCATCCCCACCCACAACGACGAGACAGTACAGTCAAACCCGTCATTGAGTGACCGGAAAAGGTCCACTTTCCGCTTGTATTGAGACGCAATTAGCTTGCCGCACGTGTCTCCTCTCTTCACGAGGTAGAAGCGTTTAGTCACACACTGCATCCCTCAATAGCCTGACAGCTCATCCGCCAGCAAGCACATCTGGCGTGGGGGGTGAGAAGGTAAGAGAAGGGAGAGAAGGGAGGCAGCGATGAGTCACACACTGCATCCCTCCATAGCCTGATAGCTCATCCGCTAGCAAGCACACCTGACATGGGGGTGAGAAAGGAGTGCATTACGACTCAAGTGAATGAACCAGTTCACACAACTCCGCTTACGGTCCAAGCCGTACGCGTCTCAATAAATGACGCTGTAACAAGAAACTTTAAAATGCCACTGTACCATCCACACAAGCACGACGAGATCTCTTACCGCATTCGGAACTGATCTGCAAGGAATGAATCAGGAGAAAAACTAAGCAAAGGCCTAAACTTTGCAAGGCCTGCACCATTTCTTGGACGAAAAAGAAGATGTTTGCTTAAGCAACCCATGTGGTTTACGCACACACTGAAAGGAGGATGCGACAAGTCCAGGCAGCAGCGGGTCACAATAACGAGCCGAGTTGAGACACACGAGGTAACGAAGGCTCCAAAGAGATGAATAAAAATTACATGTGCATGTAACAAGTAGCCACTCACCTTATCGACAACAGAGTCGGTCCAGCCAGCAGCATTGGGCAGCAGGTGGTCGAAGTAGAGAGCGGGGTTGACTCGGAAGAGCTTTGCGATGCTCATGACGTGCCATCCAGGGCGGAGCACAGCGAGCTGCTGGCACGTGTGCGCGGTGGGGTCGAGAGTCTTATAGAGGTTGCAGGCTGCCACCGGGGAGGAGGGGTACCTGGCCTTGTTCTCCACACACACGCGCTGCAGGGAGGGGCGGGATGAGGGGAAAAGGAGGGGAGAGGGTGGTGAAATCCGATGGGAAGCGCATCAAGCTTATGGCACGTGTGCACGGTGGAGTCGAGAGTCTTATAGAGGTTGCAGGCCGCCACCGGGGAGGAGGGGTACCTGGAGTTGTTCTCCACACACACGCGCTGCAGGGAGGGGCGGGATGAGGGGAAAGGAGGGGAAAGGGTGGTGATGAGGTGCCTTCACGGACAGCTGGGCTCGCAAGCCTGAGATGAGACACATGTAGGTCCAAGGTGTCGTTGACACACCCGTCAGATTTAATTTTCCTTATTGGCTTCACAAAAGGGCTCTTCTTGAAAAGGGATTGGAACAGGAACTGACCTTTCCAGGTATGATAAGTTGTGAGCAGTTAATGTTACGGTTCAAGTCTGTTATGTTGGTCCCCATGAGTTTGTTGATTGACGCGCACGTGTCATCCTCGGGTAAGTGGGATGGCATGAGGGTGAAGTTGAGGGAATGTATGTTATGCGATGTAAGGATGATATGTTGATTCTCAGACTTGTATTGCATGTATCTTTCAGGGATGTGTGGGGTCAGGAAGGGGCAGAGGAGCACAGAAGGAGGTGGAAGATTGCAACTCGACGCAACAAGCAACAATTTCACTAATCCTACTAGCCCAGTCCAAGTTTGGTAACCTCTTCTTGCATAACATCATTTCCTCTCCTTTATCTCTCCTAGCGATGCTAATTTTTTCAACCTGGTGGGTGCTGCACATGCCTCACCTGGTTAATGGTATACATGCTGGTGCAGCTCTTATTAGCAGATGCCGACACGTTGACTGTCAACCCACGAGGTATGGGCTTGTGGCATGCCAGGCCCTGCCAAGCCAACCACATGGGAACGATGCAGCACGGCATCAATTTATCAAGCTGGTTAAGATACAAATCATTGGGCCCACTGAAGATATTGGGTACATTTTTTTTCTGCGAGTGAAATAACTACAAAACGACACAACACATCACACCATCAATCAGCGAAGAAAGAAGGCGGGACCACCGAATACAAACAGCACCTCATCAGCGCGCCTCACCTCATCAGCGCGCCTCACCTCATCACCAAACCTCACCTGGTTGCTCTCCAGCAGCTCTTGAGGTGAGAGGTCAAAGATGTCGAGCAGCAGAGGGCATGTGAGGCCGGGGGGTGCTGGGAAGAATGGTACTCGAACAGCAGATTTTCTCACTGGTGGTGAGAGGGGAGCAGCGGCGGGAGGGTGATTGGGTGGTTGTGAGAAGTAGGAGAAGCACAGGTTAATGCTGGGAGGAAAAGTGGCACAGGTATGAACCAAGCTAGCAACTAGGAGAACCTTACCAGCCAAAGCCACGGAACCTTCAGGTGAGGTTCCTCAAACATAAAATAATATAATAAAACTATATAGGTCAATCAGTGGTCACTTTGTGAAGTTATTCGTTGTTAAAAAGAGCTACAGGAGAGAGTTGGCAACGATTCTCCTCACGAGCATCATTTATCATGTAACTTACCAAAGCTACAGGAACGGTTCCTAGCAGATAAGCAGCGGCCGTAGCCATTGAAACACGCCGCTAGCATAGCAGCAGCGGTGCGTCAATACTAATCTAGGGTACAGGGCCTCACACTTCATCAAGTTAGAGACGTCACGGCGACAAGGAGTAAGGCCCGAAGCAGGTGAAATTGTCATAACTAGCTAGAGAATGGCCCCTTCATGAGATTAGAGTAGTACCTGGGTTACAGGGACGCCTCAGAAGGTTAGAGTAGTCGAGGGGGAAGAAGGCGGGCGGGCAGAGGCAGAAGGAGGAGGCATCATAGCTCTCGAGACACACGCCGGGCGCACAGGTGTCAGTGCTGTTAAGACGACATGCGGGGAACTCTAGAGGGACAGCGGATGGGGAAAGCGGCAATGTAGAGGGGTTAGAGGGAATGTGATGGGGATAGAGGCAATGTAAGTAACAACTCTCACAGGGTGGAACTAAGGGAGCATGAACCTGGGGTGGTTGTGATTTCCTCATAATCTGAACAAAATTAGCTGTTGTAAGATGTTAAGTTAAAATACATACAATCAAGCAGGCAGGCAAGCTGTAGAATTGCAGCTAGGTTGACTGAAGCAGGAGGCCAATCAAGAGCACATATGGACTGGATACACTTTCAACATGCTGAATGGATATCTTTCCAACATGCTGAATGGATATCCTTCCAACATGCTGAATGGATACCCTTTCAACATGCTGAATGGATACCTTTCCAACATGCTGATTTGATACCCTTTCAACATGCTGAATGGATACCATTCCAACATGCTGATTTGATACCTTTTCAACATGCTGAATGGATACCCTTCCAACATGCTGATTTGATACCCTTCCAACATGCTGAATGGATACTCTTCCAACATGCTGAATTGATACCCTTCCAAAATGCTAAATGGATACCCTTCCAACATGTTGAATGGATACCCTTTCAACATGCTATGCCACGTGAATTTACCATTGAAGCACGTTTGGAAGGCGGGCATTTGGGGGAGCTTGTAGCTGGGCTGGTTGAGAGGGCACGAGCACGTGCTGGTGTATGTGCCTGTGGCTGCTGACCGCACCGCAGTGCACCTGCCAGCACCGCATAGATTCACGTCCCATGCCGTGCATGGGTTTACGTCTGTGTGACATGGAAGGGGGGATATGAAATCGGAAGATATAGAAGGTGTGGAGGGGGGTGGGCTGATTAGGGGAGGCGAGAAACATGAAGAAGGGAAATGGTTGTCGATGGATGCATGTCGTGGTGTGGTGAGGCCGAGGCATGTTGCATAAAAGAATCCATGATGTCATGTGGATATATGTGACGCTGGGCGCGGTTAACAGAATAACATCAAGTGTACACATGCACACATTACACACACAGATGCATCGATGCATGAGTTCATATGCACACCTCACCCCACATGCACCCAACCCTTCACACGAACCTGTGAATCGGAAGGTCCACGATTTGATTGACTAAATAGATGCACGCGTGCTGGCACTGCTGGACCCCGCAAACACCGGAATCACTCCACTGGTACCACTGCCGCTGCCGCTGTTATTGCTGTTGCTGCTGGTGTTGGTGTTGCCACTCGCCCCATCATAGAAGACAGAGCACAGGTCAAGAGTCAAGCTCACGTTACCCATCCTCTGTGCGCCGTTATAAGTCACTGCCTCTAGTGTTTTAGTGGCAGCCGTATAGTCCACCCTCATGCTGTACAGTGAGGGTGACACGTATTTTCCCTGAGCAGAGAATGCAAGCCGCTGAGTCACGTTAAAGTCAGTGTGAACGGAGAGAATCGCCATATCCTTGTTAACGTCATGGTTAGGGTCAATGCCGCTAAAGGCATCAAACATCACTGCCACACTCCTCCCTCCGTCCGCCCACGTCCCATTCGCGTTTCTACCTTGCGCGTCGCTCCCATACCCCATACCTGCCCCTCCTTGCCCCACCCCTGGCCGAGTACTGATCACAAAAACGACCCCAAAGCCATTACCGCCACTCGCCTTGAGCTCAAAGGCAAACCAGGAGGTGAAGGAGCGAGCACTGCACACCACAGGGTCATTAGAGGGCTTAGAGAGCCCCACTCCCCTTGTGCGCTTCCTCCCCTTGCGAGGCGGAGGAGCGGGGAGGAGCGAGAGCAGGGGCAGGGGGAGGGGGAAGAATGCGGCACCTGACTCCTGGTCCTGGTTGCCCGGGGTGAGTTGCAGCGAGGAGAAGCCGAGGCGAGCTGCACCCGAGGCAGTGAAGGGGGCTGCTGGCGTGAGGAAGGGCAAGGAGAGCGACGGCGGTTGCCACACGGGGAGAGGCGCCGGCGCTGGAATGGGGGAAGGGTGTTTCATGGGGAAGTAGGAGTGAGAGAAGGGAAACATAAAGGGAAAGTGAGCAGGGCAGCACACAGAGCCGACACAACGAACAGTGGAGGGGCTGAAGAGGAGTTGAGGGAGTAGGAAGGATGAACGTTTTCAACCCTTTCATTCGACTGTTGGATCTCTCTTGACTTTGTTGGAGGAGCACTGGGATCGGCCTAAGGTCCTGGGAAAGGGTCACATGCAAGGATGGCTTGGCGGGTTATGGGCGCGCTCACCTGCTATGGAACAAGCTCCTGTAGCTCAGTGAGATTTCCAACATGGTATCAAAACGAAGGTCTCGGGTTCGATTCCGAGTGTGCACAATGGAATGTGCTTGTGGTCCTAAGGCCTACAAAAATAAAGGGTGTTGGAGGAGCACTAGGATCACCCTAAGGTCCTGAGAAAGGGTCACAATCAAGGATGGCCTTGGGGGGTTATGGGTGCACTCACCCTCTATGGAACAAGCTCCTGTAGCTCAGTGGTTAGCGGCTGAGTTTTCCAACAGGCACTACACATTTTGCCCAGCCTGCTCTGTCTACTTGCCATTCAAGCCTGCTCTGCCTGCCTTCATTGAACACCTTGAATCTTGGCTACAGCACACATTGCCGTGACTACTGCCACTCCGTCTCACCTTTAGTGTCGACGTGGAAGGCCCAGGAGAGGATGTCGTGCGTCTGAGTGTGCAGCGGCAGCAGCCCCGTGCCGGCTGCAAACCCCGCATGCACCAGCACGGCCTCCGCCTCCCCGCCGTTCGCCGAAGCATTGTGAAAAAAAGCGCAGGCGTTGAAGGGGAGGGAGAGGAGGGCGGAGGGGGGCATGGCGGGCGAGGAGGAGAGGCGCACGGAGAGCAGCGAGGCGGTGGCGTTGTAGGCCACCCACGCATGCAACGTTTGGTTGGCAGCCAGAGAGGGCATGCTCGTGGGGTGCACGGACGCATGGCTTGCTGACGTCATGCTGTAATCCACGTTCACCCCCACGTGGTGAGTGGTTGGGTCCGAAAACAGACGAGTTGATGACGTGTCAAACTCCACTGCCATGCTGTGCTGATGTGGCAGGCTGCTGTTGAGGGTGACGCCACTGCCGCTGTCAACCGGGGTGCAAGTGACGATCCCGTTCTCTTCCACACAGAATTCATCTCCACCCCCATCGGAACCCCCCCCTCCCGCATCCAAAGGAGCCTCCTCCTACCGGTAAGGCCTTCTGCCATATCCCATGTTTGGCCCGGGCAACCCGACGGTCGGGTCGGGCAGGAGAACAAAAGCAAAGCCGTCGGCCCCGAGAGCAGCAGCGGATTGGGGGGAGGAGAGGCGGAAGGAGAAGGAGGAGGAGAAGGAGTAGGGGCGGCAGGAGGAGGTGGGGGTGGATGGAGAGACGAGGGCGAAGGGCGTGGGGTGCAGGGCAAGGCCCGCTTGGTGGGGGGGAGAAAGGGGGGTGAGGCGCAGCGAGGAGGGGAGGAGACGGGCTGAGCCGGATGTGAGGAGGGGAGAGGAGGAATTCAGTCGGGAGTAGGAGAAGGACGGGGGAGCGGAGGCCGCTAGAATTTGTGGGGAGGGGGGCAGGAGCGGTGGGAAAAGGGAACAGAGGGAGCAAAGGAGAGAACGAGGTGAGTGGGTTGTCTGGAGGAAGAACCAGCTTCAAGGATTTCACACCAAGGATGAATTGAGCTCGTGAATGTGCCTTGTCGCATGAGCTCCCAAGGATGCATGTGGTGGCATGAGCTCCCAAGGATGCATGTGGTGGCATGAGCTCCCAAGGATGCATGTGTGGTGGTATGAGCTCCCAAGGATGCATGTGGTGGCATGAGCTCCCAAGGATGTATTATAGTCACAATAGGCTTGAATGTGCCTAAAACGAAAGATAGAGAGCACAGACGGATTTCTGCACAGCGGCTTCAAACGTTGATAGCGTTCTGCTCACAGCTGAAAATGACTTGATTCAAATTGGATCTGGAGCGTCTTCACGTCGTCTACAATTAGCAATTTAGATTGCACGATTTGATAAAGAATTGACGACACAGCGTTGGTTTGAACGAACGGTACTATGGCAGCCACTATAATCTTAGAACACAAGATAGGAAGAGTTACGAGTTGGGAATGACTCCCAGCTCCTACAAACCCCAAGAGCCGAGGTACAGTGATGTGGAACAGTGCCACACTGTCCCCAACCACGAAGGGTCTCGAAACTACCCTTCACTAGGGCCTACACCAAGTGAAATGTTACACTACACAAAGTAATGTAACTATCTTCAATATCTTGAGGTGTACCCTTTTTTGGCGAGCTTCGAAATCACTTGAGGCTTGACACCAAGGCTCGGGCTCTTCATCACAAACTCATCCTTGAGTTCTTGATGGGTCTGCTGCACACACCTGCGACACGCCGAACGTTCGACACAGGACAAAATAGAAACCGCGCACGACAAAATAGAAACCGCGCGCGAGACACAAACGACCGCGTAACACGCGTCTAGCGATAACTCGCTATTGACTCGACACACACACTCGACATCATGACTCAACATTCACACACAATTATAAGCATGAAATATATATTATCCCATGCCTTCATACCATTCCATACACACACACATTCACGCACACGGACAACAAGCCGAGTGCAAACCGTAGGGTTGCACCAACAAACTCCCCCTCGGATTGTTGGCCTTAGGATATGTTGCTCTCTCAGTTCAGAGCCATCCCAGCCAGCTTGCAACACTTCCAATGCTGCTGCTCCACCAGCCTCTTGGTCATCATGTCAGCCGGCTGCCCCGTGGTCTTCACGTAGCGCAACTCAACTTCACCCGCGGTTACCATGCTCCTCGTCCAATGCCACTTCACCCTCATGTGCTTCGTGAGTCCATGCAACACAGGGTTCTTAGCAAGAGCAATGGCACCCTGGCTGTCACAGTACAGTGGGGTAGGTCCTTGCTGCTCCTCCCCCAATTCAGCCAACAAACGCCGCTGCCACACAATCTCCCGTACGGCACGGAAGAGTGCCATGTACTCGGACTCCACCGAGCTCAAAGCTTGGTCAACCTGCTTCTTGCTCTCCCAAGCAGTTGGGCCTCCACCAACACAGCATATGAAGCCTCCCACACTTGTCATGTCCTCTGGTTCTGATGCATATGAAGCATCCGAGTAGGCGGTGAGGAACAAACGCCCGGGTTCAACACCATCCGCGCCCTTTTGGCGCCTTTGTGCCGCCGCCGAGTATTGCAGCCCAACGGTCGGTGTTTGGCCAAGATACTTGGCCACCCTCATTCCAGCTGCTACCTGTTCCTCATTAGGGCATTGCACAACCCTAGCCAGCTGCCCGGTAGCAAACGCGACGTCCGGTCGGGTGTTTACCGCCGCATACATGAGGCTGCCCACCAACGAGTGAAATCGGCGCCTCTCCTCTTCACCAACGCTCTCCTCCTCTGGTCCCTTCACACACTTGAACCCAGAGGGAAAGGGTGTAGCCACATGGCCTTCACTCTGCCCAGAGTTGGCAGCCAATGCCTCCAGGTACTTTCGTTGATGCACCCGCATGCACCGCTTCTCCACATCTCGTTCGATGTGGAGCCCAAGGTAGAAGCTCACGTCACCAAGGGCCTTGCACTTGAACTTGTCTTGAAGCTTCAGCATCACCTCCTTCACAAGGTCAGAAGAGGGTGAGAAAATGAGGATGTCATCCACATAAACCACCATCAAAGTCCTCTGCTCCCCCTCGCCAAGCATGAACAAGGAGTGATCGGCCGTTGAGGGAGTGAAGCCGATCCCCTCCAACACTTCGCGCAGCTTCATGTACCATTGCCTAGGGGCCTGCTTCAGCCCATAGAGGGCCTTCTTCAGCTTCCACACTCTGCCACTACCATCATCAAACCCCTCTGGCTGCGCCATAAAAATCTCCTCCTCAAGGATGCCGTTAAGGAATGCCGTTACGATGTCCATTTGCTTTACTACCCATCCTTTGATGGCGGCTCCCGCGAATAGGGTTCGCAGCGTCGTCGGCTTCACCACAGGGGCAAACAGCTCTTTGAAGTCCACCTTCTCGTTCTGCTGGTACCCCTTGGCTACAAGCCTAGACTTGTAGCGCTCGATCTTGCCGTCGGCATCCGACTTGATTTTGAAGAGCCACTTGGACGTTATCGCCGTACGCCCCTCCGGTAGCTCCACCAATTCAAACGTGTCATTCTCCTCGATGCTCTTTAGCTCACTCTCCATGGCCTTCTTCCACTCCTCAGCATCACTACTCTCCAAAGCCTCCTTGAGAGTTGCTGGTTCTCCCGGCATCTCCACCGGAGAGAAGAACGCGAAGGCACACTCCTCGTAGTCACTCTCCTCGTCGTCTCCGACCATCATTGCCGCTCCGGCCAGGGCTGTCTTGCCTTGCTTTCCCGGCGCATCATAAATCAGCCTATTAGGGGGTTGAACTCTCCTCTTCCCCCTTCCTTCCTCCTCAGCTGCAGGGACTTGAAGGCCTTGGCGTTGCTGCGGTGTGGCTCGAATCCGTGGAGCACTCGTAGTACGGGAAGGGAGTGACGATGCACGCTCGCTCACTTGCTGCACCTCCTCCTCTTCTTCCTCTGCATCATTGGCCTCCTCTCCCCCATTCACAAGGGAGGATTGCCTTGTGGTTGTGCTGCCGCTGCTCAGCTCCAAAGGCAGCTCCACATGCTCCAAACCGGAACTCTTCACCTCCCCAAACCGCACGCCTATCTTCGCCTCATTCTCCGCCTTCCAATCCTTGTACATGAAGTTCTCCATGAACTTGCAGTCCCTGCCCACCAAGAACTTCTTGGTGAATGGGTCCCAAAGAAGCCATCCCTTGCTGTTTTGAGCCATGCCCAAGTGCACGGCCCACACCGCCTTGGCACCAAGCTTGTTGTGCCGAAGATGCTTAGGCACGAGCGCCATGCACATGCACCCGAACACCCGAAGCATATCCACCTTTGGCTTCCTTCCTAGCCACTCCACATAGGGCACCCATTTGTCTGCTCCCACATGAGTCAAGGCTCTGTTCTTGGCCACACACGCGCTCCGCACCGCATCAGGCCAGAAATAGTCGGGTAGCCCGGCTTCAATGAGCAACCCGCGTGCCGCCTCCGTGATTGTGCGGTTCGCTCGCTCGGCGATGCCGTTCATTGCAGGGGAGTATGGCATGGTGAGGGAGTGCCGAATACCATTCTTCTTCAGCCACAACCCAAACTCCTTGCTCAGGAACTCTCCCCCTCGATCGGTGCGGATTGACTTGACTAGACGGTCTTGTTGCCGCTCCACCATCGGGAACCAATCCGTCTTCAACGTTTCAGCCACGTCGCTCTTCTTGGCCAGCACGTACACCCAAGTCATGCGGGTGTAGACGTCGACAATGGTGAGAAAATACTCAGCTCCAGCAGCTCCAAGCTTCAGGGGGCCCACCACGTCCATCACCACCTCATCAAGCGGTGCCTTTGCCGTTGCCTCCGAACTAGGGAACGGAAACCGGGTGAACTTGGCTTGAATGCACGTCGGGCAGCCAAGCACCTCATCGGGCTCCCCCTTCACACGTATGCCAGCAACCATCTCATTCTTCACTAGCTGCTGCAAGATGGGCAGGGCCACATGCCCCATGCGCCGATGCAAGGTGAGCCAATCACACTCCCCCGTAGCCGAAGTTGGATTGGAGAATGCCGCGCTCGCAATAGCGCCCCACATACTCTCTCCGTAGTCCTCCTCCGCTGCTGCCTCTGGGTTCTCCTCACCCTTTTGCTGCTCCTTGGTTGCTGCACCACTCTCCTTAGGTTCACTGAACTTGCTGGTCCCTCCAGGCTTGCTCTTCTTGAGCTCATTCTCCTTAGCGCGACCGTTCGCGCCATCGTCGCTACCGACCGCTCCATCCTTGGTGCTGATGCTTGCTGCCACTTGCCTCTCCTTAGGCATAGGGACCACTGGGATCTGCCACATCTCGTTGTAGACATCCCTGTCCTCATGAAGGTCCCAAAGAATTCGATCGCCAAGCCTTGCGGTGTAGGTCTTGGCTCCCTTCGAGTTCGTGTCCATGCCGGCCTTTGCCAACCGCCGCACGGAAATCAGGTTTGCAGCAAGGCTGGGCACCCAAAGCACGTTCTTGAGGCCCACCATCTTCCCATCAGCACCCTAGAACATGGCCTTGCCCATGCCTTTCACCTCTGCTCGCTGCCCCAAAGCCGATGTGACATGCTTCACCGGTGACGGCTCGAGTTCGGTGAGCAAGTCCGGGCGAGGTGTCATGCTATAGGTAGCGCCACTATCAATCACCCAATAGTCCACGGGGTGTAGGGTCACCTTCCCCACAGCTGCTGGCTCCTCAAAGCCTTCATCCTTCTCTGGACCAGCCAGTACTTGCGTCGACACGAAGTAGAATAGACCCGGGTATCGATCGTCGCTCGGGTCCTTGTCGTTGTCTCCGCTCTTCATGTTTGCAGCTCCGCCACCGCGACCGCCACGGCCTCCACGGCCTCGTCCTCTCCCTCCTCCTGCTCCTCTACCCTCTTGGCCTTGAGCAGGGGTCCAACCATCAGGGAGTTTGTAGCAGTCGCGCCACATGTGTCCGCTCTTGTGGCAATAGTGACACTCGCCGTCGAATCGGCCGCGACCGCGTCCGTAGCTCTTGTCGTCGCTGCCGTAACCGCCACTCCTGCGGCCTCCGCCGAAGTTGCTGCCACCAAACCTTCCTCCCCCTCGTCCTCTGCCTCTTCCTCGACCATATCCACGGCCGATGCTCGCTGCCCGAGCGCCATCCGCACTCGCCAACTCACGGCGGCGGAAATCCTCTTGAAGGATAGCTCGCTTCACGTCTTCAAGCGAGAGGCGGGGCAAGTCGCGATTAAGGTTGATGATGAGCGAGGACCATGACTCTGGGAGTAAGGCCAGCAACTTGGTCTTCTTTTGGAGCTCACTGTAGTTCAAATCAGCTCCCTCAAGCCGCGTCAACAAGTCGAAGAATTTCTGCACCCCTTCTTCAACCGCTTCGTCTTCTTCAATTCGTAGTGCCGCCATTTGCCGTTCCAACACCACCGCTACCGCCGCTGTTGCAAGAGCATGTACACCCTTGAGAGCAGCCCATGCCTTTGGTCCTTTCTCTGGTTCACGCTGGAATGGCTTGATGTGACGGATCTGACTGCTCCCCAACGCTTGCCCAAGTAAGAGATAGCCTTGTGCGCTCTTCCGCACCCACGGGCTCTTCTCCGGGTCGTTCTCGGGGCGCTTCTCCGTTCCTTCCATCACCTCCAGCAGGTCATAGTGGTCAAAGATGTTCTCCATCTTGAAGGACCATTCAGCAAAGTTGTCACCGTTGAACTTGTCAAGCCCAAACACCCTAGGCTCATCCCTAGGTGGGCCAAGACTTGGTTGCATGGGCGCCATGGCTGAATCACGGGGTTGGCCTTGAGCTTGAGCTTCTCCACTGCCACCAGCACCTCTGCCACCCCTTTCCTCAGGTCCAGACATTGTCGAAACTGCTCCAAGGGGCTCTGATACCACTTATTATAGTCACAATAGGCTTGAATGTGCCTAAAACGAAAGATAGAGAGCACAGACGGATTTCTGCACAGCAGCTTCAAACGTTGATAGCGTTCTGTTCACAGCTGCAAATGACTTGATTCAAATTGGATCTGGAGCGTCTTTACGTCGTCTACAATTAGCAATTTAGATTGCACAATTTGATAAAGAATTGACGACACAGCGTTGGTTTGAACGAACGGTACTATGGCAGCCACTATAGTCTTAGAACACAAGATAGGAAGAGTTACGAGTTGGGAATGACTCCCAGCTCCTACAAACCCCAAGAGCCGAGGTACAGTGATGTGGAACAGTGCCACACTGTCCCCAACCACGAAGGGTCTCGAAACTACCCTTCACTAGGGCCTACACCAAGTGAAATGTTACACTACACAAAGTAATGTAACTATCTTCAATATCTTGAGGTGTACCCTTTTTTGGCGAGCTTCGAAATCACTTGAGGCTTGACACCAAGGCTCGGGCTCTTCATCACAAACTCATCCTTGAGTTCTTGATGGGTCTGCTGCACACACCTGCGACACGCCGAACGTTCGACACAGGACAAAATAGAAACCGCGCACGACAAAATAGAAACCGCGCGCGAGACACAAACGACCGCGTAACTCGCTATTGACTCGACACACACACTCGACATCATGACTCAACATTCACACACAATTATAAGCATGAAATATATATTATCCCATGCCCTCATACCATTCCATACACACACACATTCACGCACACGGACAACAAGCCGAGTGCAAACCGTAGGGTTGCACCAACAGGATGCATGTGGTGGCATGAGCTCCCAAGGATGCATGTGTGGTGGTATGAGCTCCCAAGGATGCATGTGGTGGTATGAGCTCCCAAGGATGCATGTGGTGGTATGAGCTCCCAAGGATGCATGTGGTGGCATGAGCTCCCAAGGATGCATGTGGTGGTATGAGCTCCCAAGGATGCATGTGGTGGCATGAGCTCCCACCATCATGCAAGTGCGACCGCTGGTCCATTGAACAAGTGATTCCAACCAAGCAGCGCACCTGTGCCTCTGTGCGCACCTGTGATCCCAAGCAGCAAACCTGCGAGCGATCCAAAGCAACAAGCGCACCTGTGCCTCTGAGCGCACCTGTGCCTCTGAGCGCACCTGTGCCTCTGAGCGCACCTGTGCCTCTGAGCGCACCTGTGCCTCTGAGCGCACCTGTGCCTCTGAGCGCACCTGTGCCTCTGAGCGCACCTGTGCCTCTGGGAGCCACCGTGATCAGATCCACATCGATGCTCCCCGCTGCCGTTGCAGCTGACATTAGCGCCCCGCCTTCCACCGCTGCCGCCTTGGCAGACAATGAAAAAACACCCAACGCAGATGTACCCCCAGGTACGGACGCAGCTCCAGCCACGGAGGCAGTTCCAGTCACAGACGCAGCTCTAGGCACGGAGGCAGCTCCAGTCACGGACGCAGCTCCAGTCACGGACGCAGCTCCAGGACCGGAAATGAAGCCAGACGACATGCCGCCGCTGTCCGCCGCAGTGCCCTCGAGCAGCACGAGGTGCAGAGCAACGCCTTGCGGCGGGAAGGATAGAGCAGCGGCGGAGGCGGAGGAGGGAGGGAGGTGGAAGGAGTAGGGCCCGTGCTGGTGCCAGGGCAGGAGACCCGAGAGCGGGAGAGGGTTGGCGTCGTCAGTGCGGCACGGAACGCCGATGGTCCATTGATAGAGTACTATTATGTCTGCTCCTCCGCTGCTCATATTTGCTGCTAGCGCCCGGGCCAACTCTCCCTCATCCACGCCGCTGCTGCTGCTGCTGCTGCTGCTGCTGCCGCTGCTGTTACTAGTGCCGCCACCGCTGCCAGTGCTGCCTGTGCTGCTGTTGTTGCTGCTGCTGTTGACAGGAGGTGGCAGGGGCAGGGCAACGATCATTGCTCGCATTGGCCGTACTCCAGAGGTCATATACATATCAAAGCCGCATTCCCGTGCCCTTGCATAGAAATACAGTGAAAACTCTTACTGCTGCTGCTGCTGCTGCTGCTGCTCGCCACCTTTTGCAACACACAGCAGCTGCCCCACTCCCGGCACTGGCCACGCTGTCCCCCCAATCTCGCTCGGCCCGCTCCCCCAGAGCCCCCCGCCACTGTTGCCACTGCCGTCTCTGGGCTGCAGGCGAACGAACCGACCGCCCTCAGCAGCCACGGACGGGTCTCCGGGCGGAATCTCCCCACCCCCGTCCCCCCCGCCCCCTTGCTGCGCTGCTGCGCCGCCGGGGACGAGCGGCACCCAGGACGACAGGGGCGAGGGCCAGTCTGCTGAGTCGGAAGTTTCCTCGAAGCCCGCATTGCGCAGGAGGTTCAAAGAGGGAGCTGGGAGGAGCGGAGGGGGAGGGGGAGGGGAGGGAGGGAGGGGAGGGAGGGACGGGAGGGAGGGAGGGGAGGGAGGGAGGGGAAAGCGGGAATTGATGGACAACGAAGGTGCAGTATGAAACGACGCAAATGGGCAGAAACGACGCACGCCCCGGGGTGCTCGTGGGGAGGGGAGGGAGAGGGCATCGCAAAAAATCAAGCCTCGTTTTCGGGAGTTTAGGATTACGAGGGCATCTTTTAGGGTTGTGAATGGTCGTTTGTGCTGTGCCCCGTAAATGGATTGGCGTTCAGCCCATTGTGAACCCAAAACGAGGCACTTCGTACAGCTGTGTAAACGACCGAACTGGCCTAGCACTGTTCATCTCGAGCCCCGGCCTTCAATGTGTGTGAATGGCCGCATAAGCCTGTTCATCTCGGTTTGTCACGCAGGCAGTAAACAGGGTTGGGGTGTGTCCCATTTACGAGGACCCCTGTTTCCGATGGTAAGTGAACGTTCGCGGGGTGTTGATCGCAGTTTACTAGCGCGATGACTTTTGCCAGACCAGGTTACATTGTGTTTGTAACTGGCGGCGTAACGCTGACTGTAACTTCGTCACCGCGTAACAACTGTGTAACACTTAATTTATCCAGGTGTGAAAACTCTTATTTTGACTGATATTGAGTGAGTTGATAACGAGTATTTTTGCAACCTCATATAACGTGGTAACAGAAAAGGTTACATTATAGTATAGCGGGTGAAATCTTCCGGGCCAAATTTTATTATGCATGATCACAAGAACTTTTACTACTAATGCATCATTAATACAAGCAGGAATTAATTACCAAAAAACAGATACTAGCGCATTCAATCAAAGGTGATTATCAAAGCAGCAGTTAGACAAACATTCCTAAGGGATGTTCTACACATCAATAACTGGAGGGAAAAACTTCTGCTCATAGCCCTCGACCAGAATTCTTACAGCCCCCGTGCCTAGCACAAACCCAGGAGGGCTCTCTGGAGAGTACACAGATGGGTCACGCTGCAGCACGTCCTGGAGCCACGCAACCACCAAGACAATTTTTTCGTTAACCGCATTACGGTTTGTTGTCTCGCATGTGTCCAGGGACGGCGAGCCTTTGCCCTTGTAGGTCTTCATGGGAAACTCAATCTGCCATACATGACGGAAAAATAAGCGTGAGAACAGTCAGCTAGGGTTCAAATCTTGACAAAAAAGGCTAAGGATGTCCACTGAACTCAGCAGCTTACCACGTTGCAGAGATAGGCAAGGGCCGGAATCTTCAGATTGAAGCGAAGACACTTGCTGCTTCCGAACCCCTTGCACACGGCCTTCTCAAATGCAATGGTGGCAAAGGGACGACCATTAGCCGAGCAATGCCAACTGGAGCCATACAGCACTGCAAGGACACACATGGGGAAGGAAGAGAAGTATTGAGAGAGATGTGAGAAAGATGACGGTCGAAATGAAGCCGGGTATACAAAGAATTGTGAGTGAAAACTCGGGTTTACTACTCACCATGCTTGAAATGCGCCCACCAAGCTATCACATCCCGTTCCTCAGAGACCAATATCCCTTCCTTGGCGAGTTCTGGCCACTTGTCCTTAGGCACGTAATATCCTCCCGCGCCCCACCCGTAGTACTTGAAGGTTTTGTTGGTGTTGGAGCGCTTGTTCGAAACCTTCTTCATCGCACTATCCGCCCGGGCCTGATTGCCGCCATTGAAGTAGTAGTACAGGTCCTTCACAACGCCGTTCCGCATGTACTTACGCACCAGGTGCGGCTGAAACTCCTCCCACGACGGGTAGAACAGCATCTCCTGTGCAGGCGCCTCAGTAATTAGGTTCACGTACGTCTCCAGCGCCATTTTCTGCACGGGAAACAACTCACAAGAAGTTTGTCAGTAAGAAACACTATTCATTTTTCATCACATAAACAAAAACACCGGCAAGCAGGCGGTGTTTAAATAAGGAGAAAACGTTACATTCCCCACTCACACCGTAGGTGTTGTCGTCGGAGAGTGCGGTTGGTACCAGAACGTTACCAGCCTTATCCTTGGAAAGAACACTCATGTTCACCCCGGGGTTGTCAGCTATCACCACAAGGCTTGGAGTACCGAGCGTCCCAGTTGAGAAACTTTCGGCCTGCTCTGCCAGCGACTTCTGGAGAGATGCAACCTGCTCCAGTAGTTGTCCCCGCTCTAATTCGAGGTTGCTCAACGCCGTCGCGTTTTCGAGCAACTGACACTGGTACGCATGCACGGTCTTCCTCATATCCTCAAGTTGGGCCTCCAGATTGCGAATCATGTTGCCATGGTGGTTAACTGCGGGAGGGGACGAATCAAACAAATGTATTTAAAACCAGGTTAAATTAAATAACGACAAAAAGGTACGAAAACTAACAGGAAACTGCGTGGCTATAATAGTGACTGATAAAGATACCGACCTGCGGACCGCGGCGCACGGACTGCAAGGTCTTGAGACGAAGCAACTTCTGGGGCAGCTGGGACTGAAGCGGCAAAGACTGGGGATGCTGGGAGAGCAGCTGCAGGAAGGCCATTGCTGGGCAAATTCTGCATCTGAGCAGACCCAACGCCCTCGCCGCCTTGCTCACCTCCCCCAACCTCGTGCGACTGCTGGTAGTCGCCAGATTCAGGCGCGTTGAACGTCTGAAACAGCTGTGGTGCTACTGGTGCAGCAGCCACTGGAAGGACTTGCCCCCGGGGGACCTCAGGTTGACGAAGAATCTGACTCACAGAGCCCTTTTTTTATGCTAAGAGCTGCTGTTTTTTTTGCTGTAGGGCGGCTATTACTCTGTCCTAGTGTATATGTGTTCCTCTGGTGAACATCATGTCAAATGGGGCAATACAGCGTAAGCCGGCTTGTGAACAGGAGATATCTTCAAGGTCTGGCCCTGGTCAACCTTCCGCACCTCCTTTTGTAGAGTTTCCCACCACAATCCACTCTCCGGCGTCGAGTAAACCCGCTCCGTTCCCTTGTACAAGGTAGTGGCCTCCATGGCCATCCTTTTTCCCAACTCCGGATGTTTCAATAAGTCTTGAAGTGCGACAATGCCGTCACAATGCCAATACTCCAACCATCCCTTGTTCGCCGAACGAATCAACTTCCGCTTCCACTTGCGATGCGCATCCAGGGTCCTCGCATCGGCGTGGCGTTGAACATCTCTTAATGATTTCCACGTAGCAATTTGCTCTAGATCGGCGCCCACATGATTTAGTATGTCACGAAGATTGTTGTTCTCCTTTTGTGACAACCGGTTCGAGAGGATCCAGTGAGCAAGCGCGTCGGTAAATATAAAGGGGGGGATAGGGGGTATATCCTCCCCCCCTCCTCCCTGCCCTTCCCCCTCCATCAAACCGGCTTCCGCGTCCCTTATATCATGCAAGATTACATCATCATCGCAGGGCAAGCTTTCATTCTCACTTAATCTATCCAAACTATCACTCGAGTGTGTTGAACAAGGTGAGGACGGAATGGGCGTATCGTGTTCTACAGCAAGGTGTTCAATAGGAGGTATCTCGTCATGATGCACAGGAGGTGGGCTCGTAGAACCGGATGGGGAAGCTGGATATAAAGGGGTGATTTCAGGCCGTGCACGTTTGGATGAGCCGGGCTCGGTTGGCGTTCCTGTCCGGCATCCCTGTAGCTTTTTGCCTCTGCATTTGGTCCCGCCTAAGTGCCCCTTAAGTGCTTGCCGCGAGTCAAAGACAGCGTCGTCGCATTTAGGACACCTTATACTCATCCTGAGCTGTAACGCACAAGTACAGGAAAAAGGGAGTGTGGGGATTACAAGAGAAGACTGGGAAAGGTCAGAGGGAGTGGGGAGATGGCATCTAGGGGGGAGGGAGGAAAGAGTGAGGGAAGTGCAGAGACTTTGAAGGGCTGGCTGGCGGAGGGAGGGAAGGTCAATGAGGGAGGGAGGAGAGGGCAGGAGCAGGGAGAGAGATTCAGAGGGGGTGGGGAGAGGGCTGGGGGAAGGGGGGAATGGTAAGCGCGCGTGAGGAAAGGGCTGGAGGGTCAGAGAGGGACAAGAAGAGTGTACAGCGCACTGATGTGTGAATGAAAGGTCAGAGGACTCACTAACCTCTAGTTACAGGTTCTTGGTGATCGCTGTGAGTGGATGCAGGCGCAACCTTGAACGGCATCGACAAGGCACCACCAATATCAGAAACCTCCCATAGTATAGGGCGCGGATAGAGAGAGGGACAGAGGAGAGAGAGAACGCAGAGAGAGGGGAAGGAGAGAGAGGGAACGCAAGGAGAGGGAAAAGAGAGAGAGGGAACGCAGAGAGAGGGAAAGGAGAGAGAGGGAACGGAGAGAGTGGGAACGGAAAGAGAGGGACGGAGAGAGAGGGAACGGAGAGAGAGGGAAAGGAGAGAGAGGGAACGGAGAGAGAGGAAACAGAGAGAGAGGGAACGGAGACTGAGGGAACGGAGAGAGAGGGAACGGAGAGAGAGGGAATGGAGAGAGAGGAACGCAGAGCGAAGGGAACGCAGAGAGAGGGAACGCAGAGATAGGGAACGCAGAGAGAGGGAACGCAGGGAGAGGGAACGCAGAGAGAGCGAAAGGAGAGAGAGGGAACGGAGAGAGAGGGAACGGAGAGACAAGGAACGGAGAGAGAGGGAACGGAGAGAGAGGGAACGCAGAGAGAGGAACGGAGAGAGAGGGAACGGAGAGAGTGGGAACGGAAAGAGAGGGAATGCAGAGAGAGGGAAAGGAGAGAGAGGGAACGGAGAGAGTGGGAACGGAAAGAGAGGGACGGAGAGAGAGGGAACGGAGAGAGAGGGAAAGGAGAGAGAGGGAACGGAGAGAGAGGAAACGGAGAGAGAGGGAACGGAGACTGAGGGAACGGAGAGAGAGGGAACGGAGACTGAGGGAACGGAGAGAGAGGGAACGGAGAGCGAAGGGAACGCAGAGAGAGGGAACGCAGAGATAGGGAACGCAGAGAGAGGGAACGCAGAGAGAGCGAAAGGAGAGAGAGGGAACGGAGAGAGAGGGAACGGAGAGACAAGGAACGGAGAGAGAGGGAACGGAGAGAGAGGGAACGCAGAGAGAGGAACGCAGGGCGAAGGGAACGCAGAGAGAGGGAACGGAGAGAGAGGGAACAGAGAGAGTGGGAACGGAAAGAGAGGGACGGAGAGAGAGGGAACGGAGAGAGAGGGGACGGAGAGAGAGGGAACGCAGAGAGATGGAACGCGAGAGAGGTAACGGAGAGAGAGGAAACGGAGAGAGAGGAAACGGAGAGAGAGGAAACGGAGAGAGGAACCGGAGAGAGAGGAACGCAGAGAGAGGGAACGGAGAGAGAGGGAACGCAGAGACAAGGGAAAGGAGAGAGAGGGAACGGAG